ATGCACTATAGGAAAAGACTAAGAAGCCAGTACAAACAATTTTCGTTGAAGCGGAGACCATAACATATCTCGCTAGTTTTGTCACAAAGTGACGTTACCTTCAATGTTGCTTTTTCTTTTTCACGAGTAGTTTTATGTAGGGCGAATAGAACTTTTCCACCCCTAGTAGGATGAATATGACATAATTAATCATCAAACGATCCCGTTCAAAATCATTTTTTTTCAAATAAAAAATAAAAAAAATTATGAGCTTTAGTTAAGCTGGTATTAATATTTCTTTTCTTTGAAGAGATCTAAATTCAAACCTCTCATTACTATATAGCTAAAAACAGATGAGGGTTTTAACAGTAAAAATCACTCTACGCCCTCTCATAAATCACCATTTCTTGCTGTAGCAAGGGGTTTTTTTTTTTTTTTCACTATACATGCTTTTTTTTTGTCTTTTTCTTTTTTCCAACAATTTAGGTACATTTTTTTTTTTAGGCTGTTTGATTTTGGTTTTTAAAATTTTAAAATAAAAATTTTAATCCCGTAACTGATGCATTACACATGCCTTTTCTTTTTATTTTTTCATTTTTTTTCATCAATTTATGTTTTTTTATTTAATTAAGTGTTAAAATTTTTAAAAATCAATTATTATATTTTTCTACACGAACTAACGATTATATAATATATATGATATTTTTTATATTTATACAATATGGTTTTAGATTTTAGAATAAATATAAACTACTCTTATTGTTTAAAATTGATTTTTTCAATAAAAATTCTCATCAAGTTAATTTTTATTCTTACTTTTTTATAATTTTATTTATTAATAAATATGATTTATTTTCTCTATGTATGGATTAAAATAAGTTTTTCTATACTATTTATATTTACTTAATTCTTATATAATAAAATTTTAAAAATTAAACATATGTATTTTATTTTCTTATTTTTTATATAATCAAATTTTTTCGAAATCGAGTTTATAATTTTACTGCACTCTATTAGCTTCAACATATATTTTATCATTTAATTTTTTAAAATATTTTTTAATTTATTTTATACATTCTCACCTATTGAGTATGGTCATGGTGTATAAAAAAAAATAACATTAGAGTCATTGATTTATTAGAAATCAACTACGCATTTACACGCACAATACCAACTATTTGCTATTGTTTTTAAATATTTAAAATAATTTTTTCAAATAAAATAATTGAAATAATATTTTAGAATAATTGCCTAATAATTCAAATGCGAGTTTTGTATGTTAATATTATTCATTATTTTGTAAATAAATATATATAAATCAAATGTATATATTTTCAAAAATAATCTTCTCATTCGTAAAAAAAAATTTCATTTGTTAATTTTTATACAAGTTTTTATATTAATTGTTGTTTTATTTCTTCGATCCAATGTAATGAAAATATATATTAAGATATATTTTTAAAAAAATTTATATTTAAATTTGTTTATCATGGGTTTTTATTTAAGAATAGAAGCATAATAAAGAACAAATCATATATTTTTTACTTCAAAATTTATTCAAAACATAAAAAATATATAAATAGATACAAAATTTTGATTAAAAATTATAAAATTAGATGAAATTTTATCTTTATACTTAATTTAATATATTTTAATTAATTGACAATATAATATATGTTATCAAACTGAAATAAATATGTTTAGTTCGGTTCATAGCGTGGCGTGAGAATCTAAATTGTTCATATCTTTAAAATTTATATTCTCTTACTCGTTCATATGGATAAAATTATTATTCACTTAATAGAAATTTAAGTGATTGTCATGTGTGGTTTTTTTGTGTGTTTTTGGGCATTAATATGCAAATTTAACGAGTTTTTTCTATTTTTCATCCCTCATGTTGTAAAAGTTTTTTTCAATCCTTAGTTTTTATTTTTCTTGCATTTTTACACAACAAACACACACACCATCTTTTTATATTTTAAAATTAACATATACTTCAACGTATATTACTTTTATCATTTAAAATTTATTTTTTGAATTATCATTTTTTATGAAAATTATTATCTAATTAATATTTTTTTATAAAATTTTATTTACTGATAAATATAATTTATTTTTCTCCATGTTTAAATTTTAGAATAAAATTTTAAAACATCATTTTTTTCCTTTTTAAAAAATAAATTGGTATAATATATATCATGAATTCTTAAAAAAATTTTAAATGATAGTTGCATATGTATAAATATATAATTATTTTATTCTAAAATATTAAAAGTGTATTTCAAATAATTTGTCTCAATTCATTACGTATGGCCAAGACATATAAAAAAATTATTGAATTGTTGATTTATTAAAAATTAACTATACATCTTCCAACATAATGCAAATTATTTACTTGTGAATATTTTTTAACATTATATAACCAATTTAATTGAAATAAAATAATTAAAATAATTTTTAAAGGAATCAACCAATTATTCAAATACATTTTTTTATGCTAATTTTATTGATTATTTTATAAATAAATATTTACAGATCTAGTGCATATACTTGAAAAAAAAATCTTCTCATCTATATTAAATAAAAATAAAATTTTATTTTTTCATCGGTTAATTTTTATGCAAGTCTATACATTAATTGTAAATTTCTTTTTTGGATACATTGTTATAAAAATATATAATTTTAAAGTTTTTTTTTTGAATTTTTAATTAATATTTTAGGTTTAAATTATTAAAAAATTTTATTTAAGAATCCACGAATAAAGAAGAATAAATCATGTTTTTAGAGCATAAATTTTATGAGAAACACAAAAAATATTAATAAATAAATAAAGAAATCAATGAAAAATTATAAAATTTTTAAATGATTTTGTTCTATCTACTCGTAGCGTTGTGCGAATAATTTTTAAAATTAATCTTCTTATCGGCATTAAATAAGAATTTTTTTTTCATTTGTTAGTTTTTGTAAAAGTTTGTCCATTAATTATAACTTTATTTTTTGGAATACAATATTATAAAAATTATACTTTAAAATTTTTTTTAATTCTTGATTAACATTTTAGTTAAAATTATTATATTTTTTTATTTTAAAATCAATCCATAAAAAAAAACGATTTATGTTTTTTTAAACAAAAAAATTATATAAAAAATTAAATAATTAATTAAATAAAGTTTTGTAATTAAAAAATTTTTAAATGATTTTTTTCTATCGGACTCATAGTGTAGTACGAACAAGCGATTAGTTTGTAACTAAATTAATAATAATAATAATAACCATAACCCCTTGCATATTACAATTTAGTTACAAATGAATTTCCATCAATATTCTCAATCATTTTATAGCTTATGAATAACAACATTTGTGAAAAGGAATATTTTAAAAACTTATGAATAAAGTTATGTATTTTTTTGTTTTCTTTGTTGAATTGAAATTAAAAATCCTTAACAATACAATTTTTAGATTCAATCCACTAATTTCACAACACTTGCTGAAAAATCAACTCCATATTAATCTAAATTATATTTTTAACTTATTGTTTTACATTAAATCATTTATCTTATTAGTTTGAATTTTAAAATACTAGTTAGGTTATTTAATTGAAAACGCAAATGAATAAACCTGGAAAGAGCTAGTGGGTGTTAAATTCAAAAGACTTATTTTACTTCTAAGTTCTATGGATATAAATTCGACGGTCTAAATAGCCTTAAAACTGAAGTTGCCTTAATATTTTTTTAATCCAGATATAATTAATAAAATATTGCAATATATAAAAATAGATTTATAGGCTTTCCCAGATCCCAGGAAGAAAAACTCTGATTTTCCCCCGTCATTTTCAATTTTAATTTCATAGATGAACTTAAAGTTTAATCGTAATTGCACGACTCACGATAAAAAAATAATGCTGCGGACACAAATTTGTAATCACAGTAGTTGGTGACAATTATAACAAAATTAAAGTTGACTTTAAACTTTAAAGACTATAAAATATAGAATGTCTTGTCAATTTATCTAGTCAATTTTTTTCCTAGAAAATCTATTGATTTTTCTTTAATCATGCGATAATTGATACTTCTCCCACTTACATTATTCTTTTTCTTTTCTTTTTTTCAATTTACATCACTTGCTATATTTAAACTACAAGTCTGATTTCACTCTAAACGTTGGAAATGATGACAAATAATGGATCTAATAAACTAGACAACACATATTTATTTGAAATTCAAAATTCATCAATAGAAAAAAAAAAGGACAAGCAGAAATTATTTTATTGATATGTTCTATCACTTCATGGATCAAATCAATATAATTTTTATATTAATGTATTATTAATTATTCCATTCCATAACTATGAATATATTATCAATAGAAAACATTCACACTCTAAAGTGATTTACTAAATATAAAATTTGTATAATTATAATTATTTACAATAACTATCTTCATTTGATTCATTAATTTAAATTAAGAATCAGATACATATAATAATTTCTCATAATCATGGAATTTACTTTCGCATCCTTGACCATAAATTTTGCCCACATTTGATTTGTCTTTCGGGTCCCCGTCCGGTCTCACAAGAACGTGACCCAAACACATCCTACACCGTGAGATGTAATTGGACCACCTCGCCTTCGTCAAAATCCTCCCAAAAACGCAAAATCTTTCTGCTTCTCCACGTGTCCACCAACCCGCAGCGAGTTTCAACGTCTCATTTCCACCAGCGACCACAACAACTAAACACGAAAACAAAAACGAATCCACAACCAATAAAATAAAAGTAAAACCAAAAACCCGCCGTCACGCACGTGCGCACCCACTCGCTCTAAACCTGAGACCTCAGTTTACTTTCACTTTCTCAAGAGCCGTCGCTACAGGAAGAGAGTCATGCAGAGTCTGGCTCTTCGTTAAATCAAAAAAGCCAAATTAATATCCGACCCGACGCCCGTTTGATTGCCGGAGAATCCGAGATCTTTTTAATTCATAGAGTTGATCAATTACGGTTTTCTTTTGGTGATTGATCAATGGCATCGGAGGATGTGAAGACGACTGAATCGGCTGTGACTACGATTGTCAATTTGGCGGAGGAAGCTAAGCTTGCTAGAGAAGGAGTCAAGGCTCCTAGCCATGCTATTCTTAGTATCTGCAAGTCTCTTGTTGCCGGTGGTGTTGCTGGTGGAGTGTGAGTTTTCATTTCTATTTTAGCTATTACTATTTAGTTAGCTTCATTGCTCCTTTTTTTTTTTTTTTTTGTAATAATTTGAAGGAATTTAGTATTATTTGTGTAATTGTAAAGGCATTGTTTTAGTAGGTTGAATGTGAAATTTTGGAGCCTCTTTTTTTATGCTAAATATGTATTAAAAATCATACTTTTAAGCTATTTTTTATTTTGTTCAATTTTAGTGAGAAGATTTGAGGAGAAATGAAAAATGATAAAAAAAAGAATCAAAACGAAGTTTCTAAAAGAGATCAATCTATATGAAGCAGCAAGGATTAAAAAAAAAAAAAAAAAGCTGTGACACTGTCCTGTGTTGATATTTGAAAGTTTGGTTTTCAAGAATGTTGAGAAATTGGAATTACTAAAAATTCGAATAATTTCTGTTTAGGTTAATGACATTCCAGAGACATTGAAGCAGCATGAAACTTACAATATTGCAATTGCACTAGTCTCTGCCTTTTTTATTATATTTTTTGAGTCAGGAGTTGTTGTTCCTCTTTGTTTTTCTTCTAATGCAGTGAACATGGAAAATTATTAGATTATCTATTTCAAATCCATGATTTGTTATTAAGTTTTATTCAGGACTTGTCTTGTACCTTTATATAATTTGTTTTGCTTTGCAAATAAATGAACTGTTTGCTTTCACACTGGCAAGATGGTTTTTGTTTTTATCATGTATGGTGTTGTAGATGTTGTGTAAGGTTTTGTACTGCAAGGATTACCCTTGGATGTGTGTGTGGACGGCAGGGGTTGTGCACCTTTTATGATTTTTTGTTGTTGCTACATTGCATTTTCTCCAACTGAAATGGTTGCATGTGCGTTCAGGTCTCGCACTGCTGTTGCTCCCCTGGAGAGGTTGAAAATATTGTTACAGGTTAGATTTCCCAATGTTTTTGTTCCACTGAATATGTTTCCTTCACATCCATTGGAACATGTGCCCACATGTAAATTTTGCATTGATTAACTCTAAAGATTTGCAGGTTCAAAATCCACATAACATAAAATACAGTGGAACAATTCAAGGGTTGAAATACATATGGAGAACTGAGGGTTTTCGTGGACTGTTCAAAGGCAACGGTACCAACTGTGCTCGTATTGTCCCAAATTCGGCAGTCAAGTTCTTCAGCTATGAACAAGCTTCTCAGTATGATTCTTTGAAAATTTAAATTTTTTTGATCTTAAAAAAAAGCATAGATTTTATAATATATGGAACCGCAACATGCTGGTGGTGTTAATTATCCTCATTTTGCTTTGATCCATCAAAATGATAGAAATTTGTCAAGTCTGTTTAATTGATGAATACATTGCGGATATGATTTTAGCTGCTGGTAACATGTGAAATATGCAAATGGTTTAAAAATTGATTGCTCATTGGGAGAAAATGCATTTAGGCATTTTACTCTCCTTTTTATCTTTATATCTGCGGAAGACTGATTTTTCTACTCATACACAATTATTACAAAAGAAGCCCATTATGCTTTCTTCTGTTGCTGTTGAAATTTGGGCAGACCTGCTATTGCACTGCACATATTGTGCTTTTTTGCTTGGAGGTGTTGTTGGGCTTCATTGTTGATTTCAGGAACAATCTCCACCAGAATGGCCTAAGCCATCTGGTGGTTGGTTCCTTAAGACATATATTGCCTTGCTTTCTTCATTCTCACTGACATGGGATTTTTAGTTCCAACATTTACACCATACTGCTTGTTCCAGGTGTTGACCTGCATCTCTTTCTTCAAACATTTGAAATCACCTCTGTTCATGATTCTTAATTTGTGTACAATCCGTTTGTGTAGTTTTTTTTTCTTTTGCTGATGGGCCCTCTATACTTTATGACAGGGGAATATTGTATCTCTATCAACAGCAAACTGGCAACGGTATTTCAATCTTTGTCATCCATCACTTTGTTTTAGATATTCTTTGTGCATTTACATTACAATCAACAGAGATATTTTCTGAAGTTTTATAATTGGGCCAGAAAATTTTGGTTCAGATTAGGCAGCCTGCCAGAATTATATGGTTCATTAATCATTATTAATAAAATATAGTTCCTTAACTTGTCCAATTAGTTGCAGAGCAATGCAATGAAGAACATATAATTAGTGGAGATTTGGTTTTAGTGAATTTGAATATAGAAGTCACCTTTCATCACATTTTTTCTGTTGGTATCCTCCCATATATGCCACTCAATAGAGAAAACGTGACTTATCTGAGTCCTTCCCTTGTTGTTCCTACAGGTGATGCTCAGCTTACTCCTCTTTTACGCCTTGGAGCTGGAGCATGTGCAGGAATTATAGCCATGTCTGCAACTTATCCTATGGATATGGTACGAGGCAGGCTAACTGTACAGGTATGATCACTGAGGTTCTATTGGAAAAGCCCTGGGCGTAGGGTTTCTTTCTTTGTTTTATATGCTCAAAATATTTTTATTTGATTTTAAGCCACAGGAAAACATTTTATATCTATGTAATAAGACATGGAAAGGAATTTATACCAATGAAATTACTTCTTGGAACAAATGAAAATTCATTTTATTTAACATGCCCCATTATTCTTCTCTGACTATTTGGGGTTTCTCTGCATTAGGTTTTTGCTATATGAGTTTTTATTTTTTTCATGTCTTGCTTTTGCAGACTGAGAAATCGCCTTATCAATACAGAGGAATGTTTCATGCTCTATCAACTGTTCTCCGGCAAGAAGGCCCACGGGCTCTGTACAAGGGCTGGCTTCCTTCTGTCATTGGAGTTGTAAGTCATTAGTCGCCAAATAACAATGCATATTAACATTCTCAATCTGTGTGGATTACCGGGCAGGGGGTGGGGGATGGGGAAGGCCTTCCATTGGTTTATTTGATAGATTATGTTCTATTGTATTATCTTCCCAGTAGAAATATTGTTTCCTTGGATGATTGTGTTACTTCTGGCTAGCAAGGAGATGTTATCTGATATCATTTTCTATCATAGCCACCACTCTTTTCTTGGTTATGGGGTCTGAGAGATCATTTCTATTATAGATTTTCTTTCTGTCTGATGTTCTCATTCCTTCTAAAATGCTTGTCATGTTAGATTGTTTTTCTAAAAAGAGACTTTTAAGGTATATTTATTGTAATTTGGTTCACATTTTAATTTCATCCAACTGATAACTTGGTATCTTTGTTTCTTTGTCTACAGTTGGAAAGTAAAGACATTGCTTTGTCTATCATGATTTCTATAGCTGCTTATACTATTGATATTTGTATTCCACGCTTAGATGGAAAGACTATTTTGAGTTCTTGATTTGATGATTTAAGTATGCAATCTTCTTTGTGCTTGGAATTATTAGTACTAGAAGAGAGAATGTGGGAGCTATGATGTATGCTTTGGCTTCACTCTCTCCTTCTCTCTTTTCTTTCTCTTATATTTTTCAAAGGGTATGGCTTAATCCCATAATATGTTTGCTGGTTCTGTTAATATCACTTCTCAGAACTCTTATGTAACCTGCGGATCAAAGTGGTTTCCCTCTGCTTGCAGGCTGTAACTCTGTACTTTTGGCTCTTGTTGGCAGGTTCCATATGTGGGTCTCAACTTTGCAGTGTATGAATCTCTAAAGGATTGGTTGGTTAAATCTAGACCATTTGGATTAGTTGAAGATTCTGAGTTGAGTGTGACTACAAGGCTAGCCTGTGGGGCTGTTGCTGGAACCATTGGCCAAACTGTTGCTTATCCTCTTGATGTTATTCGCCGACGGATGCAAATGGTAGGATGGAAAGATGCTGCTTCCATTGTCACTGGTGATGGGAGGAGCAAGGCCCCACTCGAGTATAATGGCATGGTTGATGCATTCAGGAAAACTGTTCGACATGAGGGTGTTGGAGCGTTATACAAGGGTTTGGTACCCAATTCAGTGAAGGTGAGTCATTCTATTTTCAATGTTCGTGTGTAAATAATTTTCAGGATTGTCTTAAACTCCCTGATCATGGTTTCCTAAAAGAAGGATTTATTGTGGATGGGAAGACAACCAATGTTGACTTGTTGGTTGCATAGGGCTTTCCTGTTGTTTTGTGGCATTTTCCTCTCTAGAATCTTGTTGTTTTCAGAATCAGTGTCAAGCATCTAAAATTCTTTTCATGCTCTAATTTATGGAGCTATCGTGGCGCTGCCTAGTCTTGGATTCCAACCCACCACGGTTTCTGATTTGCAAACTAGGATTGGTTGGTTGGTTCTGGAGTAATTGATTTACTTTTATCCTGCTTAATAAAGATTATGTTTAAATGCCATGATAAACAGAAAAAATCCGGCATAGTCAACTAGTAGCATGAAGACAATGATAATCATATCTATTAAAGCCTCCGTGTCAAACATTTTGCTGGCAGTCTGAATGACATGTTTACATTTAGTTAAGCCATTTAAATTGAACCTAGAACAGGCATATTTTGGAATTTTTTACTCATATTTGAGTTCAATGCAGTTTTAATCTGTGCCTATATTCCGATTTTTCTCTTGAAATTCTATTAGGGAATAGCATTCAATTTAATTTCTTCTCTCCTTTTCAGGTAGTCCCATCCATAGCAATTGCATTTGTTACATATGAGATGGTGAAAGACATTTTAGGAGTTGAGATCAGAATATCAGACTGAAGTCTGGGGTCTTGCCTGGTATTTGTTGAACCAGTGTGCTATTTTTTTAGCAAGGGAATACAGAGAAGGTAATTTAGGAAAATTTTTTCCCAGCTCTTACAAAAGAGCGAGTTTAGAAACATGTTTAAGCCCGTGTTTATGTATTATTTCCCCTCGTTTCCTTTCTTTGTTTCCCTGAGAACCAGCTTAGCCTTAAGCTTCTCATTCATATGCTGTGTCAATAAAGTATGCTGATGGGACAACTCATGATTTGCAGTTGCATGCCTCTTCATAAGAGCTGAAGGCATTTTCTGAGGCTCAATTTGCCCTCAATGGCTATTAATTGAACTTCCTTTGCATCTTTTGTGTGCATGCATGCGTGGCAGCGTTCCACAAATAATACTAAAATTGTACTTGCATTATGTCTGGTGTTACTAAAAGCATGCCTTAAGCTTTAGGTGCAAAGTCAAAGCGCTTTTAGCATCATAGGCAACGGTCCTTCACCTACATGTACTTTAACATAAGCCTTGTGCACCTAGGACTTAGGAGGTGTGCTTTTTTGTGCCTAGAAGAAAATGCCATTATTTCCTACTCTTATTATTAGACTTTGTGAGTTTATTTTTTTATGTTCATTTTGTTGTGAACCAAAATTGTTTCCAAAAAAGAAGTTACAAAATCTAATCATGTTAATAGGATTGATGATGTTTTGCAACATAATAGATACAGTACGATTTAAAAAATTACACGGTTGCGTAGAATTTGAACGTACAATCAATGGGCAAAATCACAATGTTGCTGATTATGTCTAAGCAGATGCCTGATAGCTGTGTTAACGGGGATTGTGTCTAAGAAGATGCCTTTCTTATAAAAAGCTGCGTGGCTGCATAAGCATGTTGCCAGCATTTACTAGGATAAGAACCTGCTTTTTGATCAGCTGAGAGTTATGTAAATCATTTATTAATTGTTCAAGTGATCAAAAATCGATAGACAAATTTGTGCATACTGCAGGGAAGTTACTCTTGACAGCAATACCAGGAGAGAACAGTAACAATTGATTAGTTTGAAGAATTTGAGGAAGAAATTTCTTTCATTGTTCCTGGGGATTTGCCTCTTTATTTCTGATAAAGTTCTCCTCACATTCTTCTGCCATGCTCGCACATGATATTGATAGGAATGCTTCATCGAAGTAACGTCAGGATGAAAAGGGGGAAACCAGAGGTGATACTAATTATGACAGTAAGTTTAAACTAATTTTTGTGAAATCAAATTAGAAATTGTACCTGCAATCCTGAATCGCTGGTTGAAATCTTTGTGCTCGCCTGCCCACATGCTTGATTTCATGCATGTCCTGCCTTCTGGATTCTAATCGTGATATGTAGACTTGCTCTTTTTAATCTCTCAGAATTTGTGCTTCTTTTTCTCCATACTTAAGCAATCTTCTGACGTCAGTGACACCAAGGAAAGAACAGTTACAAGGAGTTTGAGCTCTAGTAGAAAATCCGGGTCTGCCTCTGCTGAAGTATCAAAGGTATCATCGCAGCTTCATAGTTTATTCTTTGACAAAGTTCTACTAATATGCCTATTTGAAAATCTGTATCAAGAATGTGATTATCAATTATCGCTGCAAGATCGTTACGATTCTTGATAGATATATAGAAAAGAAACTATAATGAGAAGACAAGTATCAAAAGCAAGTAAAATCAATTGGGTTGCTGCAAAAAGTGGAAAGAATAATAACCTACTGTGGTTGCAAAATAACCTCGAGGGGAAGAGTGAAAACAGAGGCTCAAAAGAACATGGGAGGTAGAACACGTGAGGTAGAAAGAAGACCAGATCCTGTCTATAAATAGTTTTGGTGAAGTCTCGTCCGACCACCTTTAACCTTTTTAGCCAAAGCCGGTTTAGCAAGAACTAGTTTATTGTCTGTGTTATGATACAGGTTGAATAAATTAAATTATTTATCACGTTGTTTGCAGATTTATTAAATATATCAAATTAAAGACAAAAATAAAAAACAATCAAATTTAAAACTTCTTAATCAAAATCTTGTGTTTTAATTGATTCTTTCTTATGTTTTCTATAAATTTTCAAGTGAAAAAAAAAACATGATTTTCCCCTTTGTATGTATTGATTCTTAAATACAAACATGCTACAATCTAAATAGAAAATTGAATTTAAAATTCTTAAAAAAACCTAATATTTTTTCCATAAAGTTCTATAAAAATAAATAAAGTTACAATTAATGTAAAAACTTATTTAAAAATTAACAAATAAAAAAAATAAATTTTATTCTTATTTAATGCCGATAAGAAGATTATTTTTTCAAAGCATATATATATTCAATCACAAAAAAAAAATCAATAATATACTATTAAAAAGTGTATTTGAATTATTTGGTGGTTCTTTTAAAATATTATTTTAATTATTTTATTTGAAAGAAACGAATTTTGAAATATAAATAAAGTTACATAAAAAACCTATTTAAAAATTAGCGAATAAAAAATTAAATTTTATTCATATTTCATGCTAATAAGAAGATTGTTTTTTGAAATCATATATATATTCAATCACACACAAAAAAAAAATTCAATAACATACTATTAAAAACCGTATTTGAATTATTAGGTGATTCTTTAACAATATTATTTTAATTATTTTATTCAAATGAAACTAATTTTGAAATATTCAAAAGAAAAAAAAATCAATAATAAATCAATAATAAACAAATTAGTGTGTGTGTGTGTGTGTGTGGTGCTTTCATTTATGAAAAATGCTAACAACACTCTCTAATATGTTTAATGGCAAATTTTATCCAAATTCTGTTGTTATTTGGCAATTTCGGATGCATAGTATCAAATTGCATGATTTGAACCTCAAAGTATAAGAGATCGGACAAATGTAATCCAAATTGTGGAATCTTCATTATGTGTGATGTTCAACTAGGTTAACCTTACTTGAAATGTCAAAATAACGTCGTTTTGACATTTCACTCGTTAATTATTTTCTTAATATATTTATATATATTATTTTAACTCGCTCTAATCTTTAACTTTTTTTAAAAAAATTGTTTTATAAAATATTTATTTTATAAATTATATAAAAAAATTTATAAATATTTTTAACCTCTTAATTTCGAACTTTAAAAAAATTATAAAATATTATTATAAAAAAATAATTAACAATCAACAATTTTAGGCCTTAAAATATATTTATAAATTAAAATGAGCGTAATTAAGGGTTGACCCCCCTAATTATATATATATATATATTATAAAATCTTGATAATATTTTATAAAAAAAGTTAAAAAAAATTCAAAATTAGGGGGTTTAAAAATATTTATAAATTTTTTTATATACAATTTATTTTTATAAGAAAAATGTTTTTTAAAAAATCAATATTAAAAAGTTAAAAATATTTTTAATTTTTTTTTAAAAAAACATAATTAAAAACGTAATGCCAAAACGATATCATTTTGGCATTTCAAGTTATATATAATAGAGATTGGATAATTTGGATCACAATTGCCCAATCTCCAATAATTTAATATTCAAATTACACGATTTGATACTATGGATCCGAAATTATCAAATCATAATAAAATAGAGGCAAAATTTTCCATTAAACCTTTTTTAATGCTTTCTTTTAAAGACTTACTCAATAAAAATGTCCATGTCAAACTTTTTTAACTAACTCAAATATCTAAGTAAAAACATTAGCAATCAGAAGATAGCTAATGTTCCATGTTTTTAAAAAGTTTTTAAATTACAACCAATCTCATATTATTTAAAAGATTAAAATATATTTTTTTATTCTTTTGCATAAAGCACCAATGTAATATATAATTATTTATTTATTATAAAAATAAAATCCTTAGTGTTTGCATTTAAGAAAGAAAAAAAGAAGATGAATTTTAACTCTTGGTTTCAACTTAATAGTTTTTTAAGGCTAAACAAATAAAATAAAATAAAATAAGAGTATTCTAGTCTTTTAAATAATATAAAATTATTTTTAATTTAAAAAATATAAAACATAAGTTTATTCTGTTTGCGATTTTTTTGTTTGGATGTTAGAAACAGCTTAAAAAGTTTCAACATTTTTATTGAGCAGGTGTTTGAGAGAAAGTGTTAAAAGAAATGTTGCTAGCATTCCCCTTCATTAAAATATTATAAGAATTCATCATATAAATTATATTAATGTATTTAAAAAAAAAGAAAAAAAATCACATTCTAAAACTTTATTCAACAATCCATACAAAAAGAAATATAAATCATATTTATTTAACAAATAAAATTATATAAAAAATAAATTAAGAAATTAATTGGTTGTTTCCATAAAAATGAAAAATAAAAAAATCATCTAAAATCTGAAAGCAAAAAAAATCAGAAATGACAAATAAAAAAAATTATATTTCTTCATCACGAGGTCGTATGAAAAACTAAAAACGACAATGATTATTTTTCCATAAATTTAACACAAAATCTATAATAAAAAACAATAAAAATTTGCTAGAAAACAAATTCAAGGATCAAAATGCAATATAAATGAAGTTAGAGATGAAAATAAATCTTTTAAAAATATGAGAGATAAAAAATGTAACATTGAGTAAAACTTGTGCATAAATGTTTGAACATAACCCAAAAATGAAGTATGAGTGAATAATGGGTTGTGAGTGGGAGAACAAGCAAGGTAAATGGTAATTTCTCCGATTCTTTTGGTGTTTTATATAAACTAGTTTTTTTTACTCACATTACATTACGGGTTGGATAAAATATATAAAATCTTTTCAAAAAATCATTTCAATTTGATAGTTTGTTTTACATTGTGAATCTATAAAAATATATGAAATCAAAGGTGAAAAAAATTATTTATAATTTTTTAATTAAAAATTTTGTGTTTAACTATTTCTTATTTGTGATTTTAATAATTTTTCCTTTAGAAAAAGGATTTATCCTTGTTAATCCATTGATTATTAACTAAAAAAAAATAAATATTTTTTTTTATTTAATGTTGACGAGAATATTAGTTTTTGAAAAAATATGATTTAATTTTTATATATTTTTCACGAAAGAATGAATAATATTAAAATAAAAAACTATATTAATTTGACTTTCAACTATGAATTAATTAATTCGAGTTTTTTTCTTAACAAATCGAGAAAAATAATTTGAAATACACTTTTAATCTAAAAAAGTATTTTAGATAAATTATATATATTAATCATGCCATTATAATTTAAAAGTTATCTAAATCTATTTAAAAAAAAAATCATTTTCTACAAATTTATGCCAAAATTCATACATATAGAAAAATAAATCAAAATTGTTACTAAATGTACTTTTAAATTAATTGGATGAGAATTAAAAAAAAATAACAAATTAAAGTAGTAAATTTTAAATAATAAAAATAATTAACAAAAAAAATAAAACAAAATGGTACCAAATCACAATATAATTAAAGTTTAAAATTAAAAAAAATGACAAATTAATGTAGTAAATTTTAAATAACATAAAAAAAGCTGAGAAAAAATTATTTGAAAAACACTTTTAATCTAAAAATGTATTTCAGAAAAATTGTATATATTAATCATAACACTATAATTTAAAAATGATCTAAATATATTTTTCAAAAAAAAATAATAATCATGTTCTAAAAATTTATTCCAAAATCTATACGAGATAGAAAAATAAATCAAAACTCGTCAAGTAAATATAATTTTAAATTAATTAGATGAATTTTTTTTAAAAATAATAACAAATTAAAGTAGTGAATTTTACATAATAAAAATAATTAATAAAAAATATTAAAATAAAATGCGACAAAATCACAATATAATCAAAGTTTGAAATTGAAAAAAAAAACGAGAATTTAAAAAAAAATGATAAATTAATGTAGTAAATTTAAAATAATATAAAAAAATAGAGAAAAAATTATTTGAAATACATTTTTAATCTAAAAATGTATTTCAGTATAAATTATATATATTAATCATGTCATTATAATTTAAAAATTATCAAATCTATTTTTCAAAAGAAAAAATAATCATGTTCAAAAAATTTATTCTAAAATCCATAAATATAGAAAAATAAATCAAAACTATCTGTAAATATAATTTTAAATTAATTGAATGAGAATTTCAAAAAAATGACAAATTAAAGTAGTAAATTTTAAATAATAAAAATAATTAACAAAAAAAAAACTAAAACAAAATGGGATCAATTCACAATATAATTAAAATTTTAAATTGAAAAACAAAAGAGAATTTAAAAAAAATGACGAATTAAAATAGTAAATTTTAAATAATAAAAAAATTAACACAAAATATTAAAATAAAATGAGATCAAATCACAATACAATTAAAATTTGAAATTGAAAAAAAATTATAAAAAGAATTGAGAATCAAAGTGTTATTAAAATATTATAAATAATAAAAAAAATAATGATTTGTGAGTGTGTGAATAGTATTTTAAATAAATAATGAATGAATAGTTCGTTAGTTTTATTGATAATAATAATGGATTCTATTAATAGGATTAGCCCAAATGGCTCTTTGAAGCCTCTTGACGGCCCAGATGTCTGGTCTTGAACGACGAATGTGCTGAGCTCTTTGCCAGGGACTGCAAGCCGACAGGATTGCAAGGACAAAGTGATTAAGGGCATCGTGATAGCCGACGTTCTATGTCCGCCATGCCATCCAGTGGCACGTGCGAGTCGCCAAGTAGAGCCCACGACATGTAGGCCTACCTTGCAAAATTACAGGCCACCTGTTTCTTTCCAATCCTGTGGACGTGTTGTCGTTAACCACCTCAAGTTTAAAGTACGGAAAATCGGGTAGCACATCGCTAATGCCACTCTCTTTCACGGAAATTACGAGAAATACTCAAACATAAAAAGGTAATACAAACAAGTAAAAAAATATGTATATTTATAATAATATCTGACTTTACCGTTTAGCAGATGGGCTAATTGGCTGGGAACTTAATTAGTGGCTGCCCTTTTTTTGGCTCAGACCTGCGTAGCAGCAAAGTGGCAATCTAAACTTTCCCAGACTCAATAAAAAAATCTACTTGTCTCTATCACCATATAAAATATGAATAAACAAAATTCAAAAAAATATTGGCCAGGGAATTTGAATGAGAGATTAAAAAAAAAAAAAAAATCTAACATTTCGACAAGACGCTATTCACAGTATGATATCCATATTATTAATGTCCCAAAATGTTATTTTCCAAAAAAAATTACTTTTATACAAACTTTTAGTTTTTACTTAATGAGAATTTAATTATGTTGTTCTATTTCTGGCTATTTTTATTTAGAATCTCACTATGACGTAGAAAAAACGGTGAAAATCCCCATACTATTGTCAGTTGTCAGCCAGCTTGTATTGGAAGATATTTAAGTTCCATTTGAGGCAAGTTAACCTCTCCTTTCTTCTGCCTTTTTTTTCGCTCTCCACAGCTCTGGAGTATTCCTTTTTTTTCTTTTTTTTACACAGAAATCTATTTGCCTTCCCTTGCCTCTCTCTTTCTTTGGTAATTCTGAATTTTATTTATTGCTTACTGAAGTTTAACAGTTTTTTTGATGTTGCAAATAGATTGTTTTTAAGAATGTGAGAATTAGAATTTTTATGTTGTTTTGGCTTTAAATTATCACTAAAGAGCAAAATTCTGGTTACTTCACCTGAATGTTTCTTTCTTTTTAATTTTTGAAATACATTTTATTCTGCTAATGCAGAATTGGAAGCGTTCGTGGTGTAAGCTAATGTGTTCGAACATGATATTAAGATTATAGGTTTTTTTTTTTTTTTTGTCAATTGAATTGCGTCTGTGACCTAATTTCACTTTTAAATTCTGCATGTGTGCGATTCGAGCATGTGACCAAGTGATGAATTTGGAGTATAGGATTCAAGCTGTGATCACTTTATGTTGATTTGGTTGCGTGATTCGATTTTTTTTTTTTTTTTTTTTTGAGGTTTCTATCATGCTGTTCTTCTTCCATGAATAAATAAATAAGTATGCGTACACCTTCTTTGTGCGATTTTGTAGTATTAATATGCGGCGTCTGTGTAGCTGAATTTGTACATGCTTTGTGTGATGAAACTTGTTTTTTCACAGTATGGACCGAGCTGCGGAGGAAGTAGTTGCAAATGATGTAGTTGGGAATGCAGAACTTCAACTTAAAGGCTGTGATATTCCCTTGACATTAGAAACTCGCAATACTTTGGAATCACCAATAATGTATGCATCCGTGAGGAGTAATTGGGCGCAGAGCTCGACCGATGATTATTTGGATACAAGTAGAAAGGAAGAAAAGGATTCAAGTAGAAGTATAATTTCTTTGGCGGGAGCCGAACCCCCGTGTAGTATCCCTTGCTCTGTGAAGGATAGTGGGAATGTGGTTGAAGAATTGACAGTGGGAAACTATAGGACTTCACATCAAGCTTTAGGTAGAAGCCTAGACAGTAACAGGCAACACAGATGGCAAAATATATATCAGTTAGCAAATGGGTCTAGGTATAAGGCTTCACATGGTGATTATGTGCATGAAGACAAGGAAAAACTGCTATCGAGAGCTGGAGAGCAGTTATTGAAAATGCGTTCTGAATTGTGGGGTAGCTTGAAACCTTTGCTGACCAAGCAAATTGAGGATGACAGCAAAGAAATTTTTCCAAGTTCGAGGACCAGTGACAAGAGGGTTGTATCAAGCAGTATACTGCCTAGTGAGGATGTTCCCTTGAAGACCTCATCTATGCCCGACTTTTCTCAACCATTGCTGAAGAAAGCCTTGAAAGGAAAGGGGGTTGTCTGCAGAAACCAAGAAGCTCTCACAGAATTCGGGGGTGAAGATGCAGGCCATATTGATGGAAAACTGGATCATGCAAGGAAAGTTGCTTCTGATGCACTAGCAAGATCAAGTTCCAATAATGATAAGCTTTCTTTGAATAGGGTTGATAGGTCTGGTCCTGAATCCTTACATCAAGGGATCAGTTTGAGAGAGTGGCTGGAACCGGGGCATTGTAGAAGAGATAAAATTGAAAGCCTGCTGATATTTAAGCAAATTGTGGAGTTGGTGGATTTGACACACTCTCAAGGAGTTGCCTTCCAAGACTTACGTCCATCTTGTTTTAGTCTATTGCCATCAAATCGGGTCATATACACTGGTTCATCTACCAAGACAGATCAATGGTTTCCTATACACTCTGGTTTTGTTAAGAAAAGGCCACTGGAGCAAGTTGTGGATTCCTATTGTAGTTTAGTTCCAAAGCGGCAAAGACTGAGCGAAGAAATGAAATCTCTTCGACAGCAGTCTCAGTATACCTCTAGTTCTGGCTTTGGGACAAAGGCAGCGGATGGAAATAATTTTCATGAAACTGGTCTACAAGAATCTAGATTTGTGGAACTTCAGTCTCAGAAGCATTCTAATCACCAAAGTTCATCTATTGCAAAAAGGAATCCATCTTTTTCTTTAACTTTACAATTGGAAGAAAAATGGTATAAAAGTCCAGAACTGCTGAATGGAGGAATCAACACCTTTTCATCAAATATCTATAGCCTTGGGGTCCTGCTTTTTGAGGTGAGGAGATGTTAGTTTTTCATGCTGTTATTGTAATTAATAATAGTCTTGCCGCTTAGCATGCTAAATTAAATTTACGATTGTTTTACCGTGCTTGAAAATGATAGCTCAATTAAAATTGATTCATATTTAAAGTAGCTTTTCAAATATGTAGTAATTTTTATCCTTGTTGATGCTTTAGAGCTTTATTTAAACTATTTAGAAACTAGTCATTCTGCCCCATCAATTAATGTTGAGCAATATTTGTGTTCAATACAATTACATAGATGAGGAAAGAATTACTTCCCATACATAAAAGTGCTCCTGCTTAGTAGTTGAGCCGAAAATCTGTCTTTTCATTCTATTGTTTCTGTTGCTAGCAGTTGCTCAGCCGGTTTGAGTCATGTGAGGAGCATTCTGCTGTGATGTTGGATTTGCATGATCGGATTCTACCACCAAATTTTCTTTCAGAAAATCAGAGGGAAGCTGGGTTTTGTCTTTGGCTTCTTCATCCTGAACCTTCATCTCGTCCAACAGCTAGGTATAACCATGTCAGTATTTGATTTATCTACTGCCTTCTACTACAACTGTTAAATGGTAATGCTCTTTGATTTCAGTGGTTTATTTATTTTAAGGACATTGTGTCATTACTGTTGGAATAGATGATTCATCGAATCATTGGTGATAATGGCTGAGGCCTGAGAGTAGTGAAAATGTAGTTTTTATATTCCTTTCCTTTAGCAGCCTTCATCATCCTAGCTTAAACCAATCCACTCCTTTTTTAGTATTTTTGTGATGGTGCCACTTTTATGCTGTCTAATGAGCATCATTAGCAACTAATTATAGGGAGCCTTTTGGTAAACTCGAGTCATTTCTTCAATGGTGGTTTAGATTCTAGTACAGCTGCAATTGTTATTTTGGATAGAGTTGCTGGGCTCAGCATGTAGTTCTATACAGTAATGGGCTTCTTATGATGATAGTTGAATGCCACTAAAGTGAGCAAGGGGCTCTACTCATAACAATCAAGCTTTGTGTTTCAAACTGCCTGTTTGTATTTCTAATAGATGTGCTTCTTATGCTTGCAATGTTCCTATTCCTTTGTAACCCAAGATATAGCGGATATAACTTCAGGTATGAGATCTATTGTGATGGTCACAATCGAGAAGAAAAGAAGATTCATTAAATATTATTCCGACAGTGACTTTAATGATTCAGAAGAAGATTAAAGTTCATTATTTATTGCCCTTTGGAGCCAGATGGGTTGGTTAATCTTTGACAAGGGCTTGTTTTTGCTATCCTTTCTTATCAGTGGATTCTGTTATTGCTTGCATGCAAGCATGTCCTTCCATTACGATAGTTTTTACTATTTATTTCTTGGTTTAATAACCTATGTAACTCCAGCTGCCAACAGCATGCTCTTCATTCTGTGTCATGTAGATTGCCGAACAGCTGCAATGCATCATAATGATAAGTTAGATTCTGTATGTTTTAGTATGTGAATATGTTTAAACATGATGCATTTCGAAGTCTTTTATTTGGTGTGCAACAGGGAAATCTTGCAGTCTGAATTGATATGCCGATCCCAAGAATTGTTTTCTGGGAATAATGTATCAACATCTCCTAACAATGATGATGCTGAACCAAGGCTGTTGCTTCATTTTCTAAGTTTATTGAAAGAGCAAAAGCAGAAACATGAAGCTAAGTTGCTTGTAGATATTAAGTGCTTAGAAGAAGATATCAGAGAGGTTGAGGAAAGGCATTTATTGAGAACACCCAAAGTTTTTTCTGAGACAGAAGAGAGATGTCTTGATCCAAGAGAACAAGGCACGTTTCTTGGTTCTGTTGCTATTTCTAGATCGTTTTCAGTGTCAAAGAAGAACGAGGCAAGGCTGAGCAGAAATATTAATGGAATTGAGAATGCCTACTTCTCCATGAGATCTCAGATCCGCCATACTTCTTCTGCACCACGCTCGGATAAAGACTTGCTCAAGAACCGAGATAGGTGGTTTGCAGTCCATAATAACAGTGAGCAATCAAACATGAACCAGAGATCGGATGATCCCCTTGGAGTCTTTTTTGAAGGTTTGTGCAAGTTTGCTCGATATAGTAGGTTTGAGGTGTGTGGATCACTGAAAAATGGAGACTTTATGAACACCACAAATGTAGTTTGTACTTTGAGTTTTGATCGCGACGAGGATTATATTGCTGCTGCTGGGGTATCAAAGAAAATCAAGGTTTTTGAGTTTGGTGCACTTTTAAATGACTCGATGGATATCCATTATCCCTCAGTTGAGATGTCAAACAAATCTAAGATCAGTTCTGTCTCCTGGAACAACTACATCAAGAACTATTTGGCCTCAACAGACTATGATGGTGTGGTTCAGGTATGTGTCCTTTGTACCTCGAGAAGTATTTACCTAAAGTATAACCTTTACCAGTTGAGCATTCAATTTTCTCTCGCATCCTTTATGATATCTTATTATGTTTCAAGAGCTACTCATTGCCCTGTTAATAATGAATATCACATTCCCTTTGTGGGTTATTGACTATGTGAAATCAGCAGCTTGAATTTGTTTACCATTTTGGGTTGGAAGGCATGAATTTTGAATTGTTTTTTTTTTTTTTTTTAATTTACTCACCCAATGCTCCTAATGGAACTAGTCTGTAAGGATTCAAACCCGTGGCCTCTTGTTGCAAGAGACCACCGCCGCTGGGCTACAAGCTTTTTGGTGAGTTGGTGTGTTAGTGTTCTCTGGTCATAGTCATCTTCAGAAGAATAGTTGCTAGTTTTATGTCTCAAGTGTTGGAGATATATTACAGCATCATTTCACCATTAGGAACATATTTTCAAACTATGCTTTGCCTTATTCCTGCAACTTCAATTGTTAGGTATTCAATTCAAGGAGATGTTTATCATTGTCGTATAGGTTTTATGAAAATTGAAAATGAAAAGTTGTGTCACCTATTTGACCTTTTAATTACTTCATTCATTTGGGAACACTACGCTAGTCACCATGGTTCTTATTTTTATGCTCATCATCTTTTCCCTTTATTAACGAACTATGTCATTGTTTGCAATTGCATGGGTGGTTTCAGATGTGGGATGCAGGCACTGGTCAAGGATTCTGTCAATACACAGAGCACCAAAAACGGGCTTGGTCTGTGCACTTCTCTCTGGCTGATCCTATGATGTTTGCCAGTGGAAGTGATGACTGTTCTGTGAAACTGTGGAGCATTAATGAGGCATGTTTTCTCCTTTATCATTGAATGTCTGGCGCTCTTGTATCATTGATTTCATGGCACCAACTTGCATGGCTATTATCTCTTAGCTTTCCTTTCGTTTAACAACACCTAGTGCAATTGCAAGCATAGAGTTGAGCCCAAAAACACTGATACACCATCCTGAAATGTACACTCCCCCGTCCCACACATTCACATACTGGGGTTAGGGTATGAGTAGAAAGAGTGAGGTTGTTTTGAGGATACTGTAAGTTAGAAGCAAAATTTTGCCTCCTTGCATGTCTCTAGAGGCATGTTTTCTGTCTGGACTAGCGATTTGGTGAATCAACAGAGGAAAGATTTCCTTGGTTCAACTTATAATTCTTTCACAACGGATATGCATATTCAATTGACTTTTTGCTGACTGAGGCATCAAATCCATGCTATATCCGGGCATTGAGATTTGTTCAGCTTTTCCTGATTCTATACACTTCTTCTTGCATTGAATTTTGGATTATGTTCATTTATAAAGCTGTCAGAAATATTTTGACTGTTTATAAGTATTTTGCAGAGAAGTTCTATTGGTACCATTTGGAACCCTGCCAACGTCTGCTGTGTTCAGTTCTCTTCCTCCTCTACTAATTTGTTGGTTTTTGGATCTGCCGACTATAAGATCTACTGCTATGATCTTCGGCATACTAGGATCCCTTGGTGCACATTAGCTGGCCATGGAAAAGCTGTTAGCTATGTGAAATTTTTAGATTCGGAGACCCTTGTTTCTGCATCCACAGACAATACTCTGAAGCTTTGGGATCTCAACAAAACTAGCTCTACTGGGCTGTCCTCTAGTGCTTGCAGTCTGACCTTTGGTGGTCACACCAACGGGAAGGTTGGCCTTAATTTGTACTGATGTATTATATGTTTTGACTAGCTACGATTTCCTTAGTTCTAACTGTTAAAATTATGCTTGTTTAGAATTTCGTAGGTTTATCTGCACTGGATGGTTACATAGCATGCGGTTCAGAAACCAATGAGGTAAAGCCATTTAATCTAAACAGAAACATAAATTTGAAAAATAATTTTAGTCATAGGTTTGTTCTTTGGTATAGACTTCCCTACTTTTATTGATCCTGCTTAATTAGCTGTGCTCATATGGTGCGTGCTGTGAGGTTGGTTCCATCTAAACAATCAAATAGTGAATTTATATTATTTCTTTGGGTATTTGTCTCTATAATTTTGTATAAAAATAGTCTCTGTCTCTGCACATAGTACATTCAATTTCTCCATTGCTTTTTTCTCCCTTTTTTTTTTTTTTTTTTTTTTTTTTTTTTTTTTTTCAGATTTTGGCTCCTGTGGAGCCATCTTTCCAGAGTCAATTGATTTAAGTAGTTCCCAGAAAAGATACACTACTGCAAATTTTCTGTACTAGAAAATGAGTATGCTTGGAAATAAAATATTCTTTGTTCATGGATGAGGCATGGATTAACTGGTAGCTACAGCTCTCCTTCAAAGAGGGGGTCCTAAGCTCAAATCTGCCCCTCTCCAAAACTATCGAATCATTAGAAGAAGAAAAAAGAAATTTGTGAATAGAATGGGTGTTTACATATCATCTGTCCGATATTATGCGCGTGATTCATAAGATAGCTATTGCATCATAATTGAATAAGAAAACTGTGTTCTGCAGCACTTCAAGATTTCTTTCATTTGAAAACTATGGGAGAAGTACATGTCATCCTGCACCTCTTCATCGTTATTTATTCTGCCAATATTTTCCACTCTTCTTAAATGCCCCATCCACCCCCCCCCCTCCAATCATACACACACACAACACAATTAAAATAAAATAATGAAAAGAGTGGATATCTGAAATCTTAACCATTCCCAGTTGTCTTGCTTTCTCAGGTTTTTAGTTATTATAGATCTCTGCCAATGCCAATTACTTCTCACAAATTCGGACGTGTTGATCCTGTCTCTGGAAACGAGATTGGTGATGGTAGTGGACAATTTGTTTCAAGTGTTTGTTGGAGACGGAAATCGAATATGGTTGTTGCTGCCAACTCAATTGGAAATATGAAGGTGTTACAGATGGTGTGAGGTGCTGAAAAAGCTTGTGCTTTCTACATTCATCCAGGGAGCTTTGCAGTTCTGTGAGCATTTCTTATTTGAATGCCAGTACCAAAAACTGTCTTATGCCTTCTTGGGAGGAAATGTTAGTTGGAACCAGAAACCTGAACAGGTCAAAGACTTGGAAATGGAACCGTTTTCAACTGCAGTAACTTATTTGGTCTCGTATAATTTCTGCGGACAATCATTAATCAACGCTGGCACGGATCATACTGGTTTACAGCTAAGGCTGTGAAAGAGTTAAATGGTTTCAAAACTCCTACGAATTCAGCAAGACATATATATATATATATATAGCTGTTACAAGACCAGGGTTTTGCGCTATACCTCGTCTAGAAGTTGGAAGCCAGCTAAAGATTATTTGACTGAGTGATCAAGCGATTTCTCCTTTTACCTGAAAGAGATCTTTGAAACAAGTTATTTTTTACTGTTAATTTGGATAAGATTAATGAGGTCTGGTATTTAATGGAGAGCATAGTCATGTAAGCGTTTAGCTGTTGGACTAACGTGAAAGAGGATTGTAAATAATTGAAACTCAAAATTTGAGAAAGGCTCATAGCTATGGATTGCTTCTGGGAACTGTAAATTTATACGCCCAAGTGTGCAGTCTTTTATTAAGTGAGGCACACATGTAAGAAGCTGCTTGTTTTTTATATGAGTATCATCTTGTGTAATTAATTTAATTATGTTCATGTTAATAATAAATGTCTCGTATATTTCATTTAATTATGTTCATGATAATAATAATAAACGTCTAGTATATTTAACTAGCATGCATCTAGGGCATTGCCGTGACATGAGCTGCACTATCTTATGTGTTCAATTATATAAAATAGAGGATTCTAATCATCTATATAATGAATGTAATAAGACAGTTTAAAATAGTATAGAAATAAATTATTTTAAAACTTTAAGATAAATTTATTTTATAAGAATGAAAAACAAAGGGTCTCATATTGACTTTTTATCAAACAATAGTAAAAAGAAAAACAAACAAACGATGATGGCAATAAAAGACATTTTGTGTAAAAATAGTTATTTAGAATGATCATGTGAAAAAAAATAAAAAAAAATAATAGAAAAGCATGTGAAGTTGAGTAATATAATATTGTTAATTAAATATTGTTTGATCCTATTAGGTGTTTTATTAAAAATATGTATAATAACTAGAAATTAAAATAATAATGTAATAGCTTTTCGAATATTGGATAATAATAGTTTCCACCATTTGTTTTATATCTATAGTTTGTTTGTCTTGATATGATAAAACTTTTTAGGTATTGCTAAATAAAAATAATGACAAGAAATATTATGTCCAGATAAATGAATGAACTTAAAAAATTCTATTTTAGCTTAATGTAATACAAAACAGTAAAGATTTTACAGAACACTTACAAAAAAAAAAAAAAAAAAAAAAAAGTCACTAAAAGCCAAAAAGGGTATAGGATCAATAAAACCAAAAAACTCATAATAAGGTTGGATCAAAAAATCATATATAACAAAACTTCTATAATCAAAATAAAATAAAGATCACACCAAAAAAGGAAAAAAAAACTTTAGGTAAAAACTAAAAAAAGGGCTTTAAAATAGTACAATTTTAGAGATTAAATTATCTCCAGACAGAAATAAAAAAAAATAACTTAGTCTCTTTTTTTTAGGATTTAGGTTTTGTTATACTTCTATATTCATATTTGATATCAATAGTTATAAAAATTGTTCACTTACCTGCTAAATATAACTAATTTCTTCAAAAAAAAAAAAATTGGATTATTTATTTAAATAATATACATGTTAATTTACTCTAATAATGTATTAAAATCAAATCAAATAGCCTATTTTTAATAATTCAATAAAATATTTTAAGGAAAATTAAAATACAAAAATAAAAATAAGCACAGTAAGAATAATTATAAACTTTGAAGGATTGAAATAAAAGGATAATATAAAGAACCCAAACGAAAAGGCAGAGAAAAATTTGTAGGATGGGTCAAAAATTGCATGACCAAAACTCTAATGACCAGAATAGAAGTTAGATCACAAAATAAGGACCAAAATAAATACAAAATTTTCCAAAAGCTAAAAGAGAGGGCTTAGCTATGGTACAACCCCATTTTGTTTTATTATATTTATTAATTTAATTATTTTCATGTTAATAATAAACGCATGAATTTCAAGTTTTGCATGTACCTGTAATTTTATCTTGACGAGACCAAAAACTTTACGAATCTTACCCTGCTGCATGGATTTACTGGAAATGTAATGAACTTTCAGCATTCTTTCTAGTTATTTTCATTTTTCAGAGAACAAGCATTCATGCCAATGTAGATATAACTTGCGCAAAATACAAGTGAGCAGAACGTCAGTAGATTTCTATTATTGGTTCTACTGCTAAATGAGATTGGATGCTCATTCATTACAGCTGATAAGCTCTGTCACTAGGATCAAAGGAAAGTCATTACACGAATTTAATCTCCTGCGACGGCAAGGAGGTTGTGGATTATATGAAGTCCTGCATAGCATCTATCCTCCCAGCTGCCTGAAAAGTGTCAGATGTAAAGTACCCTGCCTATTGACCTTAAACATGTCTTGCTGTTGTTGAACTTTTGACTGTGTTTCAGCTCTTTTCATTGGAAAAGAATTGAAAAAAAAAAATTGAGTCTTACATAAATTAAGTCTGTGGTTGTTTGCACCAACTAGTAAATATACGAAGATGGGGAGGGGGAGGGGAAGGGCGGCAGTCAATGCAAGTTACACTGTTCTTGTGCTGACAGACTTCTTTTCAGCTTTATCTGCAGATATGTTCTCTTCTGGAAAGCCACCAAGGCTCTAGATCCTTATATTCTAACAAAGCAATGATCAGGTATGTTTTGTCTAAGAGATCTCTGAATCTGATGCATGACCAGAAGATGTTCTTCTTATTCTTGGACTGATCATCATCAACTGGCTTTCTGAACCTGTCCTTAAACTACGCCTGCACTGCAGTTGGGGAGGTCTTGAACGCCCTTTTGGTGTTCCTATGGGATCAAACCCACAGGATGTTAGTAAACCAGAATTTAACCCTTCTGCGTAAACAATTGTAGGATACAGCAGAAAATAATCAGCCACGACATGATTATATGAAGCTAGAGTTACCTGATTGCTTAATTGTTTTCACATCTGGCAATTTCTTCGATATTGAAGGTCTCTTGGCCGTAGTTTCAGTTACACTTGACAACCTTCTTTCAGAAGGGGATGTGAGAGAAGGCGATGGACATGGATCTTCTAGGATGGCAGAATTTTCATCCCCACTAAATGAGGCCTTATCGCTCCCTGATTCTGAAGTTTCTTTCTGAGTTGTTCTTGTTTTCTCTTTTTCAACAACTCTATAAACAAACATCTGAAATGGAATTTGTGCTACCATTGATGATTCTGCTGCATCCCAAGAAGGGAATTTCCTTAAAAGCTTTGTCTCCATGTCTCCGTAGTCTACCACAGGCATCGGCGGCTCTGGTTCTCTATTATAATCAGGGTTCATAATGAGGAACCGTTTTACATAGCGAAGAATCCTACATATGGATGAGAAGCTTGGACGTTGATTTGGGTCAGTATGCCAACATCTCTTTGTCAAGTTGGTCACATATTTTGGTGAATAGAATGGAAATAGAGGCCTCTCTCCAGCTAGGATGTTTCGGCTCATTTTGTCTCCTTGAAGATGGCTGTCCTCGAACGGAACTTTCCCAGTCAAAAGTTCAAAGCAAACCATTCCAAAACTGTACACATCAGCCTTTTCTGTGTATTTAAAATTCTTGGCACTTCCTGTCTGCTCGTTCTCTTCCAAAACTTCTGGAGCATACCAGATGAATGAGAGGGTTTCATTCTGATTTGACGGGTTTTTTGGAGTGAAGTTCTTGACTGAAGAGAGCCCAAACCCTGAAACCTTCGCTTGCAGGTACCCTTCTGAAGTGATGTTTCTTGGTTTAACAAGAATGTTGGAAGGGTTTAAATTACCATGGTAGATTTCCTTTGAGTGGAGATATTCCATTCCTCTGGCAATTTGAAGCATAAGATTAACTACGATGGGAGAAAATGGAATTCGCCTTCTTGGGCCACAGGTCTCTTTGATGTAGCTGCAGAGGTCCCTAGTCATTAGTTCCATAACTAGATAACACTCTTTCTTCTCCTCATCAGTGAACCCACAAAGGAAGTGCAATATATTGGGGTGGGAAAGGGATAACAATGAAGAAATCTCAGGAATTAGGGGCTCAATGTCTCCAAAAAGTGTCTCAAGGCAAAGCTTTCACCCAGCCATAGTATCTCCTTGTACTGACTCCCACTCCCAAGGCGTCTCCTTATATGGTAGTCCTTGGACCGTAATAGGATTGAACATGGTAAGAGTTTCCCATCAACAGTCTCCGATCCTTCCAAGTTTGTCAACAGAATATCTGAGAGTTGCCGCTCTTGCCTTGTTGAGCCTGACATCTTCTTTTCCTGGATTTTGTTTAGGAGTATCCACCTATCTTCTTTCCAAACAGTATCGTACCGATTGCAAAATTCCTGAGAAACAAGATATTGCTTTGCAAACTTCCACTGGAAAAGTCGCGGGTCTTTCCATTCCTTCTGATATTTGTTGGAGTACACAAGTCTCTTCTTCTGTATCTCATCCTGATCCAATCCAGAAAATTCTCCAGCAATTTCAATTGCTTCAATGACAACAGGGAAACAGGATAGCAAGTTATGGATGTGAAACTCAACACAATCAGAGTTCTGATAGAGGGTAATGGCTTTGGCCCACCAATCCTTGGTTTCCAGGCACTGCCTTATGTAACCTTCTCCTTCTTTGAATATTCTATAAATCTCTCTCAATGGCTGTTCAAGTATTCTCCATTTCACATTCTTCTCTTCAAAATTCAGGTTTTGTCTCATCTCTTCAGCTATTGAATCATATGCAAAACTGAATACATCAAGCAACAAACAGCATTGTCGTGGATTGATTTGGATATTGTCGCGAAACACCATCAATGCCTTCAAACTTCCGAGTACCTCTCCAATCTGCCTAAACTGCTCCATTCTGAAACTACAAACTCCAAATATCTGCAAATGGGGTGTTGAGATTTAATATTTTATCCTCAAGCAAGAACCGAAAAACAACGAGAAAATTATCAGAACATCAACTGGAACCACATCAATATGAAGCAAAAGAATATGACTTACCAGATAAAAATGGAACAAATAGAAAATGTATAGCCCCTTCTAAGACCAAGAAACCAATGTCCCTGATCATGTTACAGGTTGTTGATAGACGGACCAAAATTGGCTGATTCCTAAAGGATTCTCACAAACTCAACCCGGAAGAAAATCAGCAAAAATCATAGGTTTCCTCTACCAACCAAGAAAAACATACCAATTAAGCTAATTTAAAACTAGACAAAATGGTTGAAGACCATGTAACAATGTATTATTGCATAGGTAGTGGAATTTTCAGGAGAAAGGTGGCGACAAAATTGTTCTAAAACTGAATAAAGATTCACCAGATGGAAAGAATAACAGAAAAGGAAATCTTTGCCAGGAAAATTGGGCTCAATTAAACGAAGCTGCTACGAAAGGGGACAACAACACTTTTGTTTATGGTTGCACGGCCTGCTTTGTGTATGGTCAATTGTTCAAAATTTTCTCCGGAATTTTCGATGTTTGCTGCTCTAAAAATAGAACCCACAGAAAGTTTGAAATCTCTCCCTAATTACTTGATAAGGTTTATGATAATTAGAGAATAATTATCCATCCTTACTCCGTAGAAGAAAATAAATATAAAAAAGAAAAGTAAAAAAAAAAAAAGAGCTCGCATAAAAATATTTTTATCATTTTTAATGGGTTTAAATATAAATATTGATATTTATTTCTTAAGTATTTTAAAATTTATCTAATTGATATAATCAAAATCAAATTAAGTATTTTTTATATATATGGCTAATTACACTATAAATACACTAATTTTCAACCTTTTTCAATAAAGTATGTGAATTTTAATTTTTTTTGTTTAAGTGTATCAATTTTTTAAAAAATTTCAATAAAGTATTTTCGTCAATTTTTTGTTAACTAGTAGTGTATATGTTATCCTCATAATACAAAATTATAATTTTACCTTTTTTTCTAAATAGACTATATGAATTTTAATTTTCTCGGATTGAGTACATCAACTTTTTCAAAACAACTCAATCAAGCATTGCCATCAATTTCTATTTTAATTGATGATGGGTTCGAATACCAAATTATATTTTTCTCTCTTTTATTAAGAAATTTTCTCCTTAAATTATTCTATCATTTTAAAATTTGACAAATAATTAATTGTCTATACTTACTCCATAGAAGAAGGTATCTATAAAAAGAAAAGTTAAAAAAAAAAAAAGTTGAGCTCGCTTAAAAATATTTTTATCGTTTTTAATAGGTTTATATCTAAATATTGATAGTTATTTCTTGAGTATTTATCTAATTGATGTAATCAAACTCAAATTAAGTTATTGTTTATCTATAGGGCTAATTACACTATAAATACACCAATTTTCAATCTTTTTTCAATTAAGTATATGAATTTTAATTTTTTTCGTCCGAGTATATCAATTTTTTTAAAATGATCAATCAAGTGCTTTTGTCAATTTTTTTGTTAATTGGTAATGTATTTGTTATCCTCATAATACAAAATTATAATTTTTCCCTTTTTTCTAAATAGAGTACATGAATTTTAATTTGTTCAAATTGAGTATACCAACTTTTTCAAAACAACCCAATCAAGTACTCGTCATCAGTTTCTCCTTTAATTGATGATATATTCGAATACCAAATTATTGTTTTTTTCTCTTTTGTTGGAAGAAACTTTCTCCTTAAATTATTTTATCATTTTAAAATTTGACAAAGAATTAAAAAACATATTTTTTGTTATAAAATCTTGAACTAAAATTAATTAGACTTGCTCGTTAAATTAAAAAAAAAAAAAGCTAGGGTTTGAGCTAAAAGTTAAAGGAAACACAAACGTGAGATTTTTCGTTAAGAAGATTCATTTGTGTTTTTCTTTAATTTTCACTCTTAGATCTAACTCGATTTTTTTTAAAAGCAACCTAATCGAGTTTATTTTAAAATTTTATAAATAAAAAATAATATTCTTTAATTATTTGTCAAATTTTAAATAGTAAAATAATTTGGAGAGAAATTTTTTTCAACAAAAATCGAGTAAAATTATAATTTTATATTCAAACATGTCATCAATTAATGAATAAATTAATAAAAAATATTTAATTAATAATTTTAAAAAAGTTGATGTACTCAAACAAAAAAATTAAAGTCCACGTATCGATTGGAAAAAAGTAAAATTCTAATTTGATATTTCGAGAGTAACAAACACATCATTAGTTAAAAAAAAAAATTAACAAAAGTAATTGATTGACGAGTTTTGAAAAAATTGGTATACTCAAATAAAAAAAATTAAAATTCATATACTCGATTGAGAACAAATTAAAAGTATATATATATAAGTGATTAGCACCTTCTTCTTTTTTTTAAGTTGGGTTCTAATCTTAATGTTAGTAACTTATAGATGCAAGTTGGGGCTCGATGACCAATTAATATTGTAAATTTATGTATTATCAAAAAAAAATATTGTAAATTTATATGCATGTTTGGTAGTTATACTCTTAGTTAGTGTTGTTTTTTGTTTAAAAATGGTGTTTAGTTAATGTGTGCTTTGTTTTGAAATCAAAGTAGATGTTATGTTAAATAGTTGTTTATTGTGGGATTCTGTTTTTTCAAAATCAAAATGACAACTTTCTCTGTTAATTGTTTTTAAAATTACACATTTCAAAGATATTAGTGTTTTATGTAATAATATTTCAATTTTTTTTCTTTCTATATATATCATTGATTTCATTGAAACGATATGCATGTATATATTATCACTCTATTTGACCTTTTTTATTTTAGTTTTTTAACTTAAAAACTACTCTAATAAAAAGTTAAATCATCTAATATGAATGAAATACAATTATTAAAATATTTTAATATACTGTAGTCTTTATCGGTCATTTTACATCTCAAGAGCACAACAATATAATTTAATTAAATACTATTTATATGTTTTAAATATTTAGCATAATAATTAATTACGAAGCACTGTTTTTATTTCATAACCCAATATCGAACAAGCCTTATATTGCAAACACTTTAATTTTAATTTTTTAAAATTGAGTAAACAATCCATTCAGATGTTGATCGATCCAGAGTGTAAGCTTATGTTAAACAAAAGCCTAAGTCATACTCCGATTATTAAGGTGGGGGCTGTTTTTATACATTATAATTATCTTTTCCCTCTTATATATCCTGAGGAAAAACATTTTTATTTTATTTTTTAACAAAAGGAAGGAGACAGAGAAGGTAAGCAAGAGAGCATTTGCCAGCAAACACAGCTTGGCAATTTAACTCGGTTTAACGGTAAAAATTACCTCCGTTCTATTATAATTTGATAATTTCAGATTTTTATTATTAATTTACGTAATTTGAACTTAAAATGTCGATTTTTGAGCAAATTCTATCCAAATCCGTTAATTGTAACGATCAACTTATTTTTTCTATTATTATTTTTTTTTTGCTGTTAATTTTGTTTAAAAATGCTTTCTTTCATTTTTCAAGAAAAACTCTTTCTATTTAAAATTTTTACATATTAATCCCTTTTATTTTTCATAGTCAATCAAATTGTTATTTGTGTATAATTTTTTTCAATTTTAAAAAAATAACATTCATGTAGTATTATTATCCATTAAAACAATCAACTTCTATAATTAAAAAATACAAATCTATTGGTTGAACTTGATCAATTGAAATGATCAATAATTAATTTTAACTGAAAATTTTCTTTTGTCCTCTCAATAAATTTATTCTTGCGATCGTTGATCATTAAATTTTAAATATAACTATATTTTTTTTAATATTTTTTTATCTTCACATGTTTTATAGGATTTTTTTTCTCACTATTGATTGAAATATATAATATGCATTTAAAATTGTTAGAGTTAGAAAATTATTTTTTAAAAAATTTTTAATTTAATTAAATTTTTAGGTCTCACAAGTGAATGCTCTTAAAAAATGAAGGAAAAACATTTTTATTATTTTTTAAAATTAATAGTAAAAAATAAATAAAAGCAAAAAACAAATTAATTGTCAACTAGGTTGATCTGTTACAATTAACGAATTTGGATAAAATTTGCTTAAAAACTGATATTTTGAAATTTAAATTATATAAATTGATAATAAAGACATGAAATTGCTAAATTGCAGTAAAACAGGAACAATTTTTGTCGTAAAACCAATTTCACCGAGTAACAAAGTAAAAACTAAAACAATTAAAAGGAGGATGTTTTAGAAACTAAAAGAATTAAAAGGAGGATGTTAAAAACAACTGTAAATTATAATAGCTTTATGAGATATCATAAAATTATAGAAATTATTCAAAAGTTTGAAAATTGAATGGAAACCTCTTATTATATCCAAAATATCCTTAATTACTATTTTAAAAAACAGTTAAAAAATAGAGGAAAAATATTAAAAGTGAAAAAAAAGAACGAAATTAAATAGTGAAAATAACATTATTCATGTATTAAAAAAATCATGTCCTATTTTTTTTATATTCTTTCTCTATTTTTTTTAATTCTTAGTTTAACTATCTTCTTAAAATATTAATTATGGATATTTGGATATAAAATGAGATTTTTATAATATTTTTTTTAAACCTGAAGGCAGCTTTTCTTAAATCTTTAAATTTTAAGTGATTTTTTTAATTTCAAAATACCTTAAGAATATTGTTGTCAATTACCTTAAAACAAACAATCCTAACATACATCTCACGAAACATAGGTTTAATAAATCTAATGAGTGATTTTTCGAAAAAGTAATGCTAATTTTATAGGAATTTTTTTAAAAAAAATATTATGCATTACGTGAGTAGATCCCATAAATCCAATGATTTTTTTGATTTTTTTTTTTACTCACACATCCAAATAAATCCAATGATTGAATGTTTTTTTTTTAAAAAAAAAAAAGATTTTGGAAAGGATTAATTTCAATTCACCCTATGAGGTTAGAGATGAATTCTCTCGTGATTTCAATTGTTTTAACATTCCCCTCGAAGTTTTAACATCGAATCAATGAACAATTTTTTCCTTGAACTTTTGAAATTTTGATCAAATAAAATCTCTTACAAATAATTTGGTGAGATAAAATCTTTTACTTTCAATTAAAATTTTCAAATGATGCCACATATATTATTTATATTTAAAAATAAAAATATAAAAAATCATAAAAAATTAATAGAATATAGGGAACGTAAATATAAATATTTGTTTTTATATAATACTCAGAAAATATCAAATTTTTTAACTATGAATTTTTTTTTTTACCAAATACCCTTTTCTAAAATGCAAAAACAAAAATAAACAATAATAAAAACACGTAAAGTCACATGACCTACATGTTTTATTATTATTGCATTTCAATTAGGGGTATTTTGGTCAAAAATATTTAGTTGGAAAAACTGATCAGAAGGACAAATTAAGCATTTCAAATACTTTTGAAAATAAATGAAATGCAATTAAAAATATAAAGGTGTATAGAAAACTTTAAGTATTATATAAGAAAAGATTAATATATTTATCCTAAAATTTATATATCAAACTAAAAAGTTATAGGGAAAGTTTAAACTATGGCGCTCATAAATAAATTTGCATCACGTATAGATGTCAATATTAAATTGTTTTATTAAATATATTGTTGCTTTGTTAGTTGATAATTACACCCTTGCAACAATGAAAAAATTTAGAAGTTGTTTATCCTTGGACATTAGGCTTTTTTAGTTTTAAGGTTTAATCTTTTGTGGTCTTCCTAGTTTGTTTTTTTTTCTAATTTTTAAATTTTTGTTTTTCAAAATAAACCATATAAAAGATAAGATAAATTTTAATTTAGTATCCTATATTTTTAAATATAAATTTTGTACATGGTATCATTTAAATTTTTTATTTGAAGAAGAAAATTTGTCTCATCAAATTATTTTAAGAGGGTTCCAGTTGATTAAATTTCAAAAGTTTAGGAATTGAAAAAACTTTTTTCTATTGGTTTGGGTAACTTGACGATGAACATTGATACGTGATCGAAACCTTAAGAGGAGACATTGATGCAATCGAAACCTTACGATACAAACTAGATCCATCCCATATGTCAAGGGTAATTTGAAATTAACCCTTTCGGAAAGGATTATTCGGCATAAAATTAGCATTGTTTTTTTTAAAAAAAATAAAAAAACGAAATCATCATTTGCATGTTTTCAAATTTTAATGTAATAAAAATGAGGAAATAAAAAAGAACTCGACCTGTTTTAATAATTTCAGAATTTTTTTTTTTAAATCATTTTAATTAGTAAACACAATTTAAGAAAGTTCGAGTAAATAAAAGAGAAGGACACGGTTAAGCAAAATATAAGAAAATGCAGGGCATGAATGTAAACAACTTAAAAGGTTACAATAATGGACAAAAGACTGTATATTATGTGTCTTCTACTTGATTTTGGGTCGGTATGTTGCCTGGTGTTGCAGCCACCTACCGACAGCCAAGTAGAAGAAGTCACGCCACCATATGTGGTGCATATTCCTCTCTGGTTCTTCCAAACTCTTGACAACCAGTTGTTTTACCTGTAGATGTGTTAATGATACGATGGGCCATTATAATGTATAGTGCCCTCCACGTAGTGAATGCCTGTGGTTGTTTGATTAATAATGCAGTTGCAGGCAATGTCAGATTTTTCATAGAGATTTGTGGTCAAGAAGAGTTGGAGAGATAGATGAGTTATTGCCATCTATCTAATCTAGCTACCTTAAACTTGTGGATTTAATCAAACAAGGAAAAATCTTGAGAAAGATAAAATCAAACACTGATATAAGTTGGCTATCCTCATCTTGGCCAACGTATTGTAGCAATTACCATTAATGCGGTTGATGGGTTTCATTAATGATCAGTTAGGAAAAGAGGACAGAATGTGCTACAGTATAAGAAATGTTAAGAGATTTCTTGTGTTTATGACAATGCAAGTGATTAGATTATAATGAGTTTGGTTCGTTGTGATTTGCAAGAGAATTAACTGATTGGATCCACATGACACCAGCCATTGCAAGTGATGTTATTTGAAAAATCCATTTGTGCGAGCTGATTTAACTCTTTAATCTGTTGAATTGCTGAAAGAAAAACAAATTAGTTGTTTTTGTAAAGATTGGCGTGTAATTGTGGAGTCCAGGGAGGATTAGTTTGGAGACTAACATTAGTTGTTCTAAAGGAAGGACAAGGCTTAAGTATCATACAAATAAGCTGTTACTGGTCATCATTGAATTGAATAATCAATATTTCAGTTGTCTTTTGACACATCACAAGAAATGGTTAGCTGGAATATTGGTTTAAACTTTAGCGTACAAGCACGCCTTCAAATTTTGTATGTTTTCCTAATTACTAAACTATAATAAATTTGCGTTCGATTAATTGGACGTAAACAGCAAAATCGAAGGTTGAATCAGAAATACTGCTTCCTAGTTATTATGGATGTATGGATGGCCAGGCAATAAAAAGTATAGCTTTGTGCAGAAGGCCCTTAATTTTTTTTTTTTTTATGGGTCTCAGTAGTTCACAAAGACGCCGGCAAATTCGTTTAATTTAACGAATGAGTTATAAGAACAATGAAGAAAATTCATCTACCTCCAAAGTATCACCATATTTATTATTCCCCTAGGTTTTGGAAATTATATATTTAATTCTTTTTTTTTAATATGTTCATTTATTAGTTGTCATGAGTTTATTAGTCCTTTCATCAATTTCTTGCTTTCCCAATTTATTTTGTTGTTCTTTTTATGAAAAATAGAAAGAAAGAAAGAAAAAAGCAAGCAAAATGGACAAATTTAATTAGAGGATAAGGCATTTTTGAAAGGAAAAAAAAAAAAAGGAGTAAATTGAGATTGGTCAATGCTTGTCAAGAGATTATTTAGTTATTTTAGATATTATAAGGATCAATTAATTAATTTTGACAAACTATAAGAACTGAGTTGCAATTAACTCCTTTCACTTTTAGTTCTTGCTCATTTACAACCTTGTATACAGGGGTGTAAAATCAAGAATCTGAATTCTCTTATCAATACCCCTTCTTGCGTTGCCAAAATATAACCAGTGAGTAAAAATTGAATGCAATAAAAATTGCGAACCAACCAATCACGCAATTAACGTGAAAGATGTTGGTTGCCTCACTAATTCGATGGTTTGTTGATCATTGAGAGGAATATCCAGTGGTGAGTATAACTTGAGAGGAATATCCAGTCCAATCTAAGCCAGGATAATGACCTTGAATTAATGTACCTAATTGCTAATCCACCATGCTTTCATACGGTTCAAAAACTCACATGACTACTTGAGTTTTCGGCTCTAACCACTTTGGTTGAAAACGACTTGTTACTAACGTTAGAGGTAAATATTTCCCGTCTCTGCTAGGGCCACATTTGCAGTACTAGAGAAGTCTTGGGCTTCTCCACAATTTTAATTTTTCCGAAATTTAAATAAATCCCAGCTCATGATTAAGCAACTAAGCAAGTATTGTTTTTTTCTCACAATAAATTTGCAACATTACCCTACCTCGACGATGTTTGGGTCCCTTTACATTCCACGATCTCTCATTAAACTTCTATAAAAACCCACCAAAATTCTACACCTAACCTGCAGATTTGGCCAAGTTACTCTAAGTTCATATAAGTCGCAAGGCAAAAAAATGAGCGGAGGTGGAATGGAGTCAGTAGCCAGGCCACCTTCAAACATGGGCAATGGACCAAACGGGCAGCACGCAAAGGAGCGGTGTGGGAACTTTCAGATGCCTTTGCACTACCCAAAATACACCCGAGCCGAATATGAGACCATGCCAGATTGGAAACTTGATTGCCTGCTTAGAGATTATGGTTTGCCCATCACTGGAGACGTTGAACAGAGAAGGAAGTTTGCCATGGGAGCTTTCCTTTGGCCCCATTAATTAGGCTTGGTAGTTTGTTTCATTAACTGTGATCATATAATTGTGATGTGAGGCGATCAGGTATTGTTATGTTGTATGCACAAATATACCTGTTGATTTGTTTTGGTGTGCTTGGATTGTATTATCAGTTTGAAGGGAATTAGGACTAATTAAGGGCATGATGTCTGGGAGGAGTAATTAATTCATGACGTCTGGGAAATAAGTTTAGTTGTTAGGTATTGTGTGTAGACAGTCGTTGTACTAATGTGCTGTGTAATAATCGTGTGGGTGTTGTTATGGGATCTCTTTCTCTTTCGTGGTATGGTCAACAATCTTTGTGATCTCCATTTGGATATTGTCTTGCATATCTGTTTTTTCTGTTGGTAAAATCACCCTTTTGCCCCTTGTTTTTGTGACAAATGTTACCCTTTTTCTGTTGGGAAAATAATGTTTCACCCTTTTGCCCCGTCGATGACTGCCATGTATTATATTGTTAGACACAGGCCAAACTGCCCTTTAATAAATATAAGGACTGGACTAAAGTTTTTTCCTGAAACATCAAGCAGCTTAAACATTGGGTTCACCACTATCCAGTTGCCAATGGGGTCATTTAGTGGCTGCCGATGGGATGAGCAGAGGTGAGCACTATTATGTTAAAACAAAAAAATCGAATCAAATCAAATTAAATTAGCAATTTCAATTTAGGTTTTATAAAAAAAGAAAAAAAAATTTCAATTTGGTTTGATTTTTTTAAAACAAATCAATTTTCACCTAAAACCGAATTAGTATTTTTTTTAACACACCTACCCAAGGCTCATAGCATTTTCCTATGATTTTCTTTGCTAAAACTTCAATTCAAACTATTAGCATTTCTTGAAATTATAAAAAAAGCAACCTTTCAGCTTGATTCAAGAAAAAATTCAAAATTCAAAAAAAAGATGAAAAAAAAAATTGGTTTTCAATCGAAAACTGAAAAATTGAACCAAAAAATTCAGTTTTTTTAACCAAAAAACCAAAACTCAATTTGGTTTGATTTCAGTTCTTGTTTTAATCAATTCGATTAATCGAAAAAAAAATTGAATCAAATTGAAAAACCGAATGATTACCCCTAGTTGGTTTTTCCTAAAAAAAAAAATGGTTCTTGATATTATTTTATCATCACTGTGTATTGAATATAAAAAAAGATAAGGACACAAATAATTCTCTTAAGAGTTTTATTTTACATCAATATTTGCTTCTTAAAAAAAGAAAAAAAGAAAATGAAGCATATTTGATAAGTTAGTTGATAAATCAAGCTTCACTTTGCATGCTAACATTAGGGATAACAATGAGTCAAATATAGACCATCTATTTGTTCCAGCTAATGAGTATTGAGAGGAATAACGATAAAAAAATATATATTTGTTAATATGGTTTTGAAGTATGGATACCTACTTTATACATTATACATATATATAAACATAAAGGGGCCTAATTGTACAAACTTTATAAAGGGACCAAAATATTTTTTATACAAACTTTGAAGATCATAAAAACTTATAAATAAAGGATCAAAATAACTTTTTATAAAAACTTAAATAAATTATTTTTTACTAGTATTAAATAGATGGATAAAATTGGTTATAAACCGTATGAATTTATAAGATATTTTTTTAATAAATACGGAGATAATATTTTTTAATTAGAATAAAAATTGAATTAGTAGAATGAATAGCTATCCCTAGCTAACATTAATAAACCATTTATATACAATATTTTATCAACAGAAGTGCGTGGATGGCAGTGTATCGGCACTTGGGAGATGAAAAGGAGCTAGGGTCTACGGCTCCGATAATCTTTAAGGAACACCTTGCTGAAGCATGAAATGTTTGTTGTCTTTCGTTAACAAACAAAATTTTCTTTTTATTTGCTCCCTTCAGCAGATATTTCCGACTTCCATTCCTGAGCATGTAAGACTGTACGTACTAGATCACGCGCAACAAAAAGAATATATTAGTTATGTCAACTATTATCGATAGTAATGGCTCTTTTTGGAAAAATCAAAAATCAGAAACCAAGACACTGCAATTTTTTTTTAGGTTAAAAGAATCAAACTTTTCTTAAGCTTTATTTTATTTAAAAATCAATTTTTAAACTCTTAATTTGTGTTTTGACCTCTCCGAATTTTGTTATAAATTTAATTAATTTTATAATTTTCAACCATCACCATTCTTTTTTAAACAATTAAATTCGTGATATTTTAATATGAGTTTTTACATACATATTGGAGAAAATTCAATCTAGTTTTTATAAAAATTATAGAATTTTTCAAGGTCATAAGTTATATTTTTTTAACATTAAAAATATAAAATATAAAATAATTTCAAATGATTTTATTTTTTTAAAAAAAAAGGTTCAGATAAATCTCATCCAATAATTTTCATCTTGAGAATATTTATCTATTTTTTATTTTTTTTAATAAATGATAAAAAACTAAAAAATAAACTAAATCTCAAAAAAAAAAATTCAAGAAAGTAAAAACACAACTAAAGTTTAGAAGATGCTTGACTTTTTTAACTTTCTTTTTTTTTTAACGTTAAATACTACAATTTTAATCACTTGCAAAATAATCGATTCATTATAATTGTGATCAGTTAACTAAAGTCTACGCTTCTTCTTCTTCTTCTTCTTCTTCAGAGTTGGATTTTTTTTTTCTATTTTATTACAAAAATGATGTATGAATGGATTAATCATAATTTTATAGCCTCTCTTCTCGTTCATCTCAAAAGCTCTAGGTTAGAACCAGCAAAACGAGAGTAGAGACTTAATTGGTTGACTGATTCAAATATATGGATTCTATCATTTTTTTTAATCTGTTATTTATAAATCAATGTTTTGATATTTCACAATCTATTGGTAAGGTCTTTCCGTCTATTTTAGTTTGGAAAACTAACAAAAAATGCCTTTATATTTTGTAGACTTTAATTTACCCCTCAAAACCATATATACTTTTTAAATTAACTCCAGAAAAAAATTTTCCACGTTATTTATTTTAATATATATATTATTCGAAAGCAAATTCACTCAAAACAAGAGCACCAAAAATATAATAAATATAAAATATTTTAATAATATGTAATCAATAAAATCATAAAACAAAGAAAAATAAAAATTCAAATCACTTTAAATTGAATTAATACAAAAATTTTATAAATATAGGTCCTTTAATTTTATCACAGGAAAATAAAAACAAAACTTGAAGATGCTTTCGGTTTTTTTTGTTTTTAATAAGAAAATTGAGAGGCAAGCTGCCCACTAGGACAACAAGATGACAGAGTTCAAGAACCAGATATAGATTAATTTAATAGATGGAAGAAAAAGAAAAAGAAAAAATAATTCAATTCAAATCAAATCAAATAAACATATTTAGCATGTTGTTATAAAATAATGAATGTCCATCTACTTTTTATATCCTTACTATTCATAATCCTTAATGTGATTCAATTCACAATTCAATATGAGAAATTGAAAGGGTGATGCAATTGATGTACTTTTAATTATTCATAGTCCTTTCTAATTCTCATCTCAGTTTTGAGGCCTATAAATAGGCTTGATTGTTCATTTGTTGATGTACAAGTTTTTTAGAGAGATTAAGAGAATAACTTGAAGTTTTCTCACTTGTATTCACTTTATAGTGAATTCTTCTTCTTGCCATCCTTCCTTTAAATTCTCATATATCTTTTATTTTTCACAACATGTTATCAAGCACGATTGTTCTACCAAACGATGCAAATCATCTAGCTTATTAAGAGGTATGTACCTAATCTATCTTTTATTTTAAATCTAATAGTACATATAATATATATTTGAAAACTTGAATAATCTAATATATATTCTAATAATCTAATGCATGTTGTTTTGAAAAGTTTGAATATTATTATTATATTTGTTTTTATTTTCTAACATCATTATTATATCTTGTATTATAGAATTTTGATAATGTTAAACCTCACAAAGCTTGATTTTGTGGCCCTTGACATTTCGGGCAAGAATTATTTATCATGAGTGCTTGATGCTAAGTTAATATCATCTACTTTTCATGCTTCAAATATGCTCATGCAAGTAGCATATCAAGATCATCTATTTTTCATGCTTTGAATATGCTCCCGCAATAGCATATCAAGAAAAAGAGTTTAAGAAATATTATGAATCGATTTCATATTTGCTCATGGCTAAATAAAATAAAAAGCTATTGATGAAAAAGAATAAATCTCATCCAATTGGATCTATTCCATTCCCCGAAGTAAATGTGACAATTTATAATAATTTTATACATAGATGAAAATGTGGTCGAGCCATGAATATGGTCAAAATAATTATCATTATAATCGTAATGATCATAATATTACATCTCACCACCGAAGTGGATAACTATGAAAAAGAAAAGAAAAGAATGAAAATAGATAAAGTCGACATTCTCAACGAGGACGTGTTATAAATATGATATAAATGGACATTATCGGTGTACCAACCGTACACCAAAGCACTTCATCAAGCCTTGTCAAACCTTGTTGGAAAAAAAAATATATATATATAGGCTAATTTTATATATCAAAGTAATAGTAATTGACATTAATTAATTATTAGTTTTTCTATTTATAAATAGAATGTTTTATATTTCTTATAATTTATGTTGTATATTGATGGTTATAAATTTATTTTACTATTTATTTGTTTGTTTGTGTTTATGAGGAATATATTGATTTATTTATTTTCTATTGATTTATTTGATTATTTATTTTATGTTAATATTATATATGATAATATCAATCTAATAGAAAGCTCTAGAAGAGCGACTATATTATTATCTAAAGAGATAGATTTTGAAGGCTCTAGAAGAGCGATTATATCATGACTTGAAGAGATAAATTTTTGAAACTCTAGAAGAGTGAATAAATTATTACTTGAAGAGAAAATGTTTAAAGACTCTAGAAGAGTCGATATATTATTACTTGAAGTGACTAATTTAAAGGCTCTAGAAGAGCAAATATATTATTATCCGAAAGGATAAATTTATTATGAATGATGTACTATTTTCTTCAAAGTCTTATAGAAATTTGTTAAGTTTCAAAGATACTCATCTGATTTGATATCATATCAAGATAGCAAATGTGAATACTTATATGTTATAATCATTATATCGGGTAGAAAATATCTATCAAAAAATTTATCCATTTTCTCTTCTAGTATTTATTACAAACATTGAAATGATTGAAACAAATATTGTAGTAAATCGAAGTTTACTAATTCAAATACTTTTATTATGTGACATGACCAATCGTGCTATCTTGAGTCTTTCATTATGTGAAAAATTATTAAAAATTCATATGGACATTTATCGAAGAACCAGGAGATTCTTCAATTTAATGAACTTTCTCATGTTCCGCATGTTGCCAAGGCAAATTGATGATTAAGCCATCATCAAGTAAAATTGAGATTGAATCTCTAGTATTTTAGAATGTATTCAAGGTGATATATGTGGATCAATTTATCCACCATGTGGACCATTTACATATTTTATGATTTTGATAAATGCATCCACAAGATGGTCATACATATGCTTATTATTTACTCGAAACTTGATGTTTTCGAGATTGTTAGCAAATAATTTGATTTCGAGCATAATTTTTAAATTATACAATTAAAACAAGTCACCTTGATAATGCTGATGAATTTATTTCTCAAGCATTAAAATATTATTGATTGGCTATTAAAATAAAGGTTAAACATGTTGTTGCTCATGTTCATACTCAAAAAGGTTTAGCAAAATCATTTATCAAAAGGCTCGAATTGATAGCTAAACCGTTATTTAAAAATAAAACTCTCCGTTTATGTTTGAGGACATGCAATCTTACATGTAGCAACACTTATTCGCATATGACCCATGAGTTATAAGAAATTATCTCCTCTTTAATTGATTTATGGTCATGAGCCAATTATTTCTTGTTTAAAAATTTTTAGCATTGCAGTGTATATCCTTAGTACTTCTCTATAATGAAATAAAATGAGCACTTAAAAGAGATTGAGAATATATGAATCCTCTTCGATAATTCAATCTCTTGATTCATGAACAAGAGGAAATTTTTGCAACTCAATTTATCGATCGCCATTTTGATGAAATAGTTTTTTCAACATTAGGGGAAGAGAATAAGCAAAATAAGCGAGTTGAAAATGTTGAAAAAAAATTACATGGAGTACTCTATCTTATATCACCTTGATTCTTCTAGAAGTAATGTGAACTAGAAGTTCAAAAGATAATTCATTTATAAGATATTGAAACCAACTGCCAGATGCATTCTCGGATCTTAAATGAGTAACTAAAATACATATCTCTCGCTAAGAATGCTCCTATTATAATTAATGTCCCGGAAGGATAATCTATTAATATTATAGCTAACAACTTTAAGGCATGCTCGAAGCGTGGAAGACCGATCGGTTATAAAGATAAAAATCTCTATAAGAAAAAGGCAAGATAAAAATATTCACAAAATGTTCTAATATATTTCGATAGTAAGCTTCGGAAGAAGTCCAAATACTTGAGAAAAATCAAGAGATTTTGATAAATTATATCAATGTAGGGAGAAAATAGGACCGAAAAGAAATATCTATTGATAAGACTTTTGCATATAATATTGCAATTGATATTATGGATGAAAATAAGGATCCCGAGCCTAAATTATTGAAGAATATCGACATAAAGATGATTGGCCTAAATGAAAAGAGCAATCTAGGCAGAATTATGTTCTCTTATAAAAGAGTATTTTGAACCCATAGCTAAAACACCCGAAGATGTTAAGCTAGTGGGATACAAATATGTATTTATGAGAAAATGAAATAAGAAAGATGAAATTATAAGATATAAAGCAAAACTTTTAACACAAAAGTTTTCGTAAAGAATTGACATTGACTATGAGGAAACATATTCTCCTACAGATGGATGCAATTGTCTTTTGTTATCTCATTAGCTCGGAAAATATATATGAAAAACATTCAAATACATGCATTTAATGAATGTGATCACGGTTTATTTATTCATTTGAAATGATATCGGTATAAAAGTCCTAGAAGGACTTAACATGCCGAAGCATGTAATACATATTCTCGAGAAAAGAATTCAATTAAATAATGAAGATCTCTATTAGGATTATTTTAGTATTTGTTTTATTATTTGGTTTTTAGAAATTTAATTTATACTTTTTATATTTCATTTTTATATCTACTCGTTTATTACTAAACCATGTGCATGTGATATAATCACTTCAATGATTATTTATTGAAAGAAAGTTATAAAAAATAACCTTATTTGTTCATATATTTTTATTTGAAAAGGGGTTTGTTTTATATGTTGATAACTTAAATATTATTGAAACTCCCGAAGAGATTCCAAGTGTCATAAGTTACCTAAAAAGAGAATTTGATGTGAATATCTTAAGAAAATAAAATGTTATCTCGACTTGCAGTTCGAGCACTCGGAAAATGAGATTTTCATTCATCGATCAATTTATATCGAAAAAGGTTCTACAATGATTCTATATAAAGATCATTCATTAACTAGCCCAATGGTAGGTCATTCACTTAATATCCAAAAAGACCATTTTTAACCTTGAGAAGATAACGAAGAACTACTTGGTCCCGAAGTATCATATGTTAGTGCCACCGGTGTATTGATGTATCTTGCTAATAATACTCGACTTGATATAGTCTTTTCTATAAATTTATTAGCAAGATATAGTTCTGCTCCAACATAGAGACATTGGAATGGAATTAAACATATATTACGTTATCTCCGAGGAACAAGTGATATTGGCTTATATTACTCTAACAAATCAAAGAATGGATTAATTGGTTATGCGGATGCGAGTTATTTATCCGATCCACACAAAGCTCGATCTCAAACTGGTTATGTATTTACATATGGAGATACAACTATATCATGACGTTCTATGAAGCAAAATATAGCCGCTACATCTTCAAACCATGCAGAAATACTAGCAATTCATGAGGCAAGTCAAGAATGTGTTTGGCTAAAATCAACGATCCATCATATCCGAGAGACATGCGGTTTATCTATCAAGAAAAGAAATTCCAACAATATCATATGAAGATAATGCTCGCTTGAATAGTTCAATTAAAGGAAGAATACATCAAAGTGATAATCCAAGTAGATTTGTTCACTAAGGTGTTACCTACCACAACTTTTGAGAATATGATTCACAAGATTGGAATGCGTTGTCTTAGAAATCTTAAATAATGCCTTCAACGAGGGGATACCAAAATGGAGATTAATGTGTGCAAGGAATATTGTACTCTTTTTCCTTCACTATGATTTTTTTTCCATCGGGTTTTTTCCTAGTAAGGTTTTAACGAGGCATATTCCTTGTACAATGGACATTCAATGGGGAGTGTTATAAAATAATGAATGTCCATCTACTTTTCATATTCCTATTACTCGTAATCCTTAATGTGATTCAATTCACTATTCAATATGAGAAATTGAAAGGGTGATGCAATTGATGTACTTTTAATTATTCATAGTCCCTTCCAATTCTCATCTCAATTTTGAGGCCTATAAATAGGCTTGATTGTTCATTTGTTGATGTATAAGTTTCTTAAAGAGATTAAGAGAATAACTTGAAGTTTTCTCACTTGTATTCACTTTATAGTAAATTCTTCTTCTTGCCATCCTTCCTTTAAATTCTCATATATCTTTTATTTTTCACAACACATGTTGATTTTTGACTTTGTTTTTTTTCTATTTTGAAATGAACTAACTATATACAAAAAATTATTTTTTAAATTTTAAGTGAAGTTGCGATATTTAATGTTTTAAAGTTCGATTTTTTTTAAAATTGTGTATTAATTTTTTTATTGATTAAATATTGAATTAATTATATTTTTTTATTAATATGATTTTTATAGCGAATTTTATTTTAAAATAAAATTTTATATACACATATTTAAATGAATCACGTGGGAAGTCGAAAGTTAATTGATAAATTATTTATATTGTTTTATTTTTTTGGGTGGGGGGAAGGGGGTGGGGTTACACAAAAAGATTAATTTCCATTTTTTTTTTTTTTTTGATAACGGAAATGCAGGAATGATGATATTAATAAATAATTGAAATATTAGGAAAGTAATTGATAGAAAATAAACGTTCGGATAGAAAGTGATATGTCCCATTCATTTTGAAAGGCTAAAATGAAATAAACCCAGAATGAACGGGCTGAATTAGTGAATCAAAAGTCAAAATATTACAAAACGTACGCAGGCCCAATCGAAATCCGTTAATTCATAGTTGGAGATAAAAGACCAAGGTATTACGCCCATACAGAAAAGGAGGCCCATGACCTTAAGCTACGCATAGTACGCACATTAGCAGACGATGCTTGCCGGCACTCCAGCGAGTGAGTTGCTTCTTCACTTCGGTGTATAAAAGCATTGATATTTAGCGCACAGACACGCACGCAAATCCAAAATTTCGGGGATTCCCTTTTTCCCTCAAAAATTTTCCTCTGTTTTTAAAAATCCTCTCCGCGCCAGATTCATAACTCAGATTTTCATATCTCTCCGTCGATCCCAAAACCCTAATTTTCTCGAGAAAAAAAAAGCAAGAGTAGCAAAAATGCCGAGAGAGATAATCACGCTGCAAGTAGGACAATGCGGGAACCAGATCGGCATGGAGTTCTGGAAACAGCTTTGTGCCGAACACGGCATCAACAAAGATGGCATTCTCGAAGATTTCGCTACTCAGGTAGGTCTTCGATCCCCACTTTCTTATCTTTATCTTCTGTTTGGTTCTTGAAAAATTGTATTCTATTATCTTGACCTAAATTAGGGAATTTAACTGACTACAGTGTTTTCCTTTCTGCTATTTATTTGGAATTGTAAAATAAAAATATATAATTTATGAAATGTTTTAATGAACTTTAATATGATAGAGTTTGTATGAATGTGGGGGTGGATTAATGTCAATTTGTTGAACTTGGTGTGATTCAGGGTGGTGATAGGAAAGATGTGTTTTTCTACCAAGCGGATGATCAGCACTACATACCACGAGCTTTACTAATTGATTTGGAGCCTAGGGTAATAAACGGTATTCAAAACAGTGAATATCGAAATCTTTACAATCATGAGAACATCTTTGTTTCAGACCATGGTGGCGGTGCAGGAAATAATTGGGCCAGCGGATATCATCAGGTTTGTTGCTTGGCTGTCCTATAAGAAAAATAATTTGAATTCTTTTTTTCTTTTTGGGGTATCCATGGTAAAATATTTCTTGGCTTTTCGAAAGTTTTGCAGCTAGGTTCTTATTGTCATCAACTGAGTTTTGTGTGATTTCTGGTCAGGGAAAGGGCGTTGAAGAGGATATAATGGACATGATTGATAGAGAGGCAGATGGAAGTGATAGTCTTGAGGGTTTTGTCTTGTGCCATTCGATTGCTGGAGGAACAGGCTCAGGTTGCTTTAATTGTCATTGCCTTGTCTTTTAAAGTTCTGAAGTTGTGATGCATTTGTGTAGTACTCTCATACAAACATCTTTACTGATAAATTTGGTTCGAATCTGACGAATGGTCCAGATTTGAACACTTGAATTAATGCAGTTCTGGTAAGCATAGGTTGGTTCAAACTTAGATTGCTCTTGGTTTATGGTAGATACCTTGTGGATCACACTAGATAATGTTGTGGCCACTGGCCACATATTCAAAATGGCTGCATAGTATTTGAATTTAATTGTAGCTAATATATGATGGAACCCAAATCAGTGCTCTTAGTTGCTTATTTGCTTACCTCTTGAGTGCCTGCATTATATGATGAAGGTATGGGCTCTTATCTGCTGGAGACTTTAAATGATCGCTATAGCAAAAAGCTTGTTCAGACATACAGTGTTTTTCCTAATCAGATGGAGACAAGTGATGTGGTAGTTCAACCCTATAACTCACTTTTAACGCTCAAGAGACTGACTCTAAATGCGGATTGTGTTGTTGTTCTGGACAATACTGCACTGAATAGAATTGCTGTTGAACGCCTACATTTGTCAAATCCCACATTTGCTCAAACAAACTCTTTGGTATCTACTGTAATGTCTGCCAGCACAACTACTCTGCGGTATCCAGGATATATGAACAATGACTTGGTTGGTCTTCTTGCGTCTTTAATTCCAACACCAAGATGTCATTTTCTTATGACAGGATATACACCACTCACAGTGGAGCGCCAGGTAAGATTCTAACTTGATTCCATTTAATTTGTTCAATAATCATATTTTGTTTCATTAAGAGTCTTATAATTGATTATGTAAATAATCAGATTCTCAGTTAATCAATAATTAGAATCTCATCAAAAGTTTTATGGATTTTAGGGAGACCTATGTGGACTAGTAAGTGGCTCGATCAAAATAGATCATTTTGGTGTCTCATTTCTTTAAATATTTTCTCTGGGCATGCTTATGCCAAGGATGATTTTTTTTTTGCTGATGATATGAAATTTTTTTGCTGATGATATGAAATAATCTCATGGCAGGCTAATGTGATTCGTAAAACTACAGTACTGGATGTTATGAGAAGACTTCTGCAGGTGAGAAATTTCAGTCGTTATTGTTTAACCAAAGCGCGGTTAGTTATTCACCTTACCTTTTTTGTTTTGCTGCAGACCAAGAATATCATGGTTTCCTCTTATGCGCGAACAAAAGAAGCTAGTCAAGCAAAGTACATTTCAATATTGAATATTATTCAGGGAGAAGTGGACCCTACCCAGGTAATAACCTCACATCGTTTATGAACCTGTTTACTGTAGAAAACTGCTTGAAAAGATGACTGAACTTGTCAAGTCCTTTATTCACCAAAAGGGCAACATATTGGGGAGGTCAATCCTTAGTGCTTACTACTGAGTTTTTCTCCATACCTGTCTCATAATTGGGCATTATTTATGTGATAACTCAGTTTCAGTAAGTTGTCTTTTTGTGAAGTCAGCCCACCATTGGGTCAGTGTGTTGATCCTGTTTTCTCTTCTAGTTTTGCCAAGACTCCCTTTGTGCTTCTTACATGGCACTTTGCATATGTCATTACAAGGAGATGCTGCTATTAATTGAGTTGGTATTTCGCATTTGGAAGGTTGATAAATGCATGCATATTTTTTTTCCGTTTTGCTTGCAAGTAAATTCACCAGTATTGCATTCCCTACTCTTTTATCAGGTTCATGAAAGTTTGCAGAGGATTCGTGAAAGAAAGCTTGTTAACTTTATTGAGTGGGGCCCTGCAAGTATACAGGTCTTTTTCTGCAGTAACAAAGAATAAAAATTTCTCTCTTCATCCTATCTTATGTTTTGCTTCTTCAAATCGGGTTATAGTATCTGCTGATGTTATCCATTTTTTTATTCTCTTTTGAAGGTTGCTCTTTCTAGAAAGTCTCCCTATGTTCAAACTGCCCACAGGGTAAGAACATAATTCATGCCTTTACTTGCTCTGTTTTGGTTTATTTTTCTTTAAAATCTTACAAAGAATGTAAATCTTTGTAGAGACAATGTTATTGAATTTTGGATCTCAATTTTGAAGATGTTCAATTTGCCATGTAATGTTTACTGTAATTGGAATGGCATACAAATTTGAGAAAGAATTGCTCATTTGTAGGTAAGTGGTCTAATGCTAGCAAGCCACACTAGCATCCGCCACCTCTTCAGCAAATGTTTGAGCCAGTATGAAAAGTTGAGGAAAAAACAAGCTTTTCTTGACAATTACCGGAAATTTCCAATGTTTGCTGTAAGTTGTGTTTCTCACATGCTTCTCTTCAATTATCAATTTATGGATTATGCTATACATTCTGTTGTCTTCAGCCAGTTGTCATGAATAAAGAATCCATCTTTTCGATCAGAAATGTTGCGGTTTTTTGTTTATAATGCTCCATTTCAGATGAGTGACATGATTTTGTTAATCTCCATGGACCTCTTTTGCTGAGTGTAGAATCCTTCAAGTTAAGATGTGCTAGCTTTTTAGACTCTTTTTTTATCATCTGATGCCAAATGTTATTCAGGACAATGATCTTTCTGAATTTGACGAATCACGGGACATAATCGAGAGTTTGGTTGATGAATATAAAGCCTGTGAATCCCCAGATTACATCAAATGGGGAATGGAGGTATAAACCTACTGGCCCTGACTTCCCCAGATTACATCTTATCTGTATGCTGCTGATTTTATGTTTTTTTTTTTTTAATTATTATTATTGCAGGATCCCAACAACATTCTAACAGAAGAAGGCAATGCTAAAGGAACAGTGGATCCAAAGTTGGCAATATGAATTACGAAGTAAGTTAAAAATTTATGCTTTTAGGTAATTGCTTGCTTTATAGGTTCTATTTGTGTTTTCTCTCAGTGAAAATTACTTCAATGAGTTGAAATTTATCTGATATAAAGTTCAGATAGATCTTTCTTGCCAATCGATTGTATATATAATTCCTTTCTGAAGCATGTCATTTCAACTTGAGTATGTGTGAGACTTCTGGCTGTAAAATATTACCTTTATGAATGTCTATGCAAAATAGATTGCAAGGTTCTGTTACTTGCTATTCTTTCACGTTGGGTGAGTTGTCTGTATCTTCTTATTTGTTCTTGGATCCCTTTATCTTGCATTTCTCGGTACTGTTTCCTTACTGCAGATAAGTGACTAGCTTTGAATTTGGCTCATTTGCAGATTGTAGTTAAGATGCTGAAAGCACAGTTGAGGACTGATTGTAAGTAAATGTGACAAATTTATGGTTTGAGATCTTTTTTTGGGTGGGGATGAAGATTGGTGATTTACTGATTTGTGGTGTGTCAATTGTTTGGGTGTTTGATTTTGTTAATCTTCAAAAAAAAAATAAAAAAATGAAAAGAAAAGAAAAGGAAAGGAAAGGAATCTCAATCCACGCCTCAGATTTTGAGTCTTGTTGTATCAGGTTTTTTCATAATCTTTCAATGTTTACTAAATTTCCTGGAATCTAGGGGATAGAGACAACATTTGCAGCCAGATAGTGAGATTTCCTGCTTGGATCTCTTGATGCTTTGCAGGTGTTAATTTTATTTGGGGCTAAATTTGTAGTATTGACAAATGACAAGTAACATTATTTGATTGTTTTATCATCCCCTTGTGTAAGATCTCAAAACATGGCATGTGCAGCATTTTCTGTGGTCCCGTCCATGGTAGGTTGGTAATGGTCCAACAGTGTCTATTGATAAAGGTATAATGGTTTGCGATCCTCCCTTTGCTATGATATGAGGGTTGCCCATGCTACCAAGTGGCATTGCGATGGTCCAGTACGGTTTGTATAAATCATGAAGTTTATTTTGTAATGTGGTGTTTGCTGTTTCGTGCTTTTTGAATGCATTGCATGTGTTGTTCTGGTGGTTTATTTCATGCGATTTTGAATCAACTGACTTACAAATGCAAGCCCAGTAATGGTGCTTGCCTTTTATCTGTGCATTAATGACTTGCATAGGAAATAAGAAGGGAAAACAGATTTTGATGATTAATTGCAGCGACCAGATTGGATCCTTTTGCCTTAATTTTTTGCTGATTTTAAGTTTCTCTTGAATGTAAGCAGAGCATATAAAATGCAACATGGTAATTTATCCATCATGTTAGAGAGGAAAATTTCCTTTTCCTTCTTATTTCCTAGGCAGATGTGCTAATCACATTCAAAATTGAAACCTGCTTGACCCTTCCATGGATTATTGCTGTTTACTAAACATTAAAAAACGAGAATACCTCAAGGTCATCCATGGACATCTTTGGGCTTTTTCTTGATAGAGCAATTTTTTTTTTGGCGGACAAAACAATTTAGTGAGGGCATTTTGAATTTGAATTTTGGCTCCCAGCCCGTTCTCTGTCTGGAATGTCCTTGGTGATAGCAAGGCGAGAATGACGAAGGTAGAGCAGATGAGGCCAGGAAAGACAACCTGTACTAGTTTTTAAAATCACAAAAACCTCCCATTGTTCCAGCAATGAATAGCTATGTAACGGAATTTTCACAACCAAACATGCTTCATCTTGACTTTTTGCCTCACTTGGTAGGCTTATTTTTTCTGAGGACAACGTGGGTAATGGCCCAGATATGAAGAACGTAAAAACCATCATTTGAAATGTTCTCGAAGAAAATTTCCTACTGAATGATTGTGCTCAGGCTGTTAATTTATGTAAGTTCTTTTAGACATACATTTGAGAAAACATATTCGATAGTTTTTCAGTTTTTTTCACCTGAGCTTAGTTGGAAGCCAACTAAACGGTTTGCCCGCGAATTGGTGTGGCTTAACAAAATATGAGTATATTTTATTCTCTTTTAGCATCACAGTTCAAGTAAAAAAATGAAAAAGAAAACATCGTTTTTCACTACCAACTATAAAGATGAGAAACTATTCAAGGATTTTTTTTAAACTCATGTTTGACATTAATTATAGAGATGAATGACTATTTTAAATAAAAACACTTCAGAGTAAAAATTTAAATCACGATTTCCTGCAAATATAAAAAGTTTAATATTATTAAATTAGAAATTCATATATAAGCATCATTGTTTCTACTATTATATTAATTGTAGCTTAAGAACGTTGGATTCTTCCTACATTGAAGGTTTTTTTTTCGGTTCCAATTTCATATTTAGTAATCCATCATCCTTTGATAATCAATCATCTTGTTAGAATTTTCAAAATTAAAAATTTTAGATTGAATCCAATTCTGTTGTCAATTATTATTAGCTGATGTACAGGTTTAAGAGTGATTTTTATCAAAATTTCAAAAGTATCAGAACACTCAAATCTTAATTTACTATCTTATCTTGAATCAATATTCAAATTTCCATAGTATCTTGAATCAATATTCAAATTTCCATAGTACCATGTGTCAAATTGAAAATCCTTGGATACCTCACTACCGTTTGAAATCAAATTTTACAAATCTATCTGTCCATCATAAATCCTGAATCAATACCCAATATATTAAAAAAAAAAAAAAAACACAAGAAATTAGCCGTTAATTCCATTACAAAAACAGGAGGTGAGATGAGGTTTGGTAACACGAACAGATGGGTCAAGCGACAACTCGACTGACAGACTGTAAACAAAAAGAATTAGAAAGGTTCGTCCATCACATGGCCTCTGTAATCAAAACCGGATTTTAAAAGATAGATACCCAATTTCATGGGCCCCACCCTCACACTGCACCCAATAATAAAACAACGGCACTGCCAAGTCCGACTCGTATTAGCAAATAGCGGTTTACCTCTTTTCTCTCTCTCGCACACACACCAAACCTTCTTTTATTTAAACTCTGCTCCCTCTGTTCTCTCCTAATCCTCCTCCATCTCTCTCTCTCTCTCTCTCTCTCTCTCTCTCGTAAAGACGAGCACATTGTTCTTATTTCTGTTCTATCTTTCTTTGCAAAGCTAGCTGTAGCTAATTTTTTCTGTTCTTTCTTAGTTTTAGAGTTTAAAGCAAATCAATGGCAGTTTGTGCTTCATCTAAGTCTTTTATTGCTGTTTTGGCTGTTGGTTTTCTTATGTTCGCTATTTTCTCGCCTTCTGTTGAGGGCCAGTCTCCTGCTCCTGCTCCTGCACCTACCAGCGATGGTAATTTCTTCTCTTCTTTCCGTTAGCTTTGATTTTGTGGATGTTTTTTTTCCCTGCTGCTGTTGGCTTAGTTTTAAAATCATGAAACCCGTTATAGTTTCCTTGTTAGTCTTCTCTCTTGCTTGAGTTTCTCCTTTTCCGTTTAAATATTAAAACTGAGAGCCCATGCTGATCTGCGTCATTGGCTTGTACTTAAAGGTTAAAAGTAAAGAACGAAAGAAATTTTGCTGGTTCGAATGTAGATGGTTTGCTTAAAACCTAACCATAAACCAAGGAGGGGTTTTCCATTAGCTATTCAGTGCTCGTTATACGGTGCTTTTAATCAAGTGTAAAAAAAGAAAAAATCAAGTGTAATAGTTCTCATTGAATGGTTTCTGATAGATTTTGCTTAATGTTTTTGCAGGGACTTCAATCGACCAAGGAGTCGCATACCTGCTGATGCTTGTGGCTCTAGTGCTCACATACCTGATTCACCCACTGGATGCTTCATCCTACAGTTTCTTTTGAATTTTTTTAGGACTTGTAGAGATGAATCGTTACTTGTCTGGTCTGAGAAGGAATTTCTTCTGTGAATATATTATGAGTGATTGGTGGCGGTGGCGGCGGCGACGGCATTGGTTTTCAAAGGATTGATTCAATTATTTTATTTTATTTTTTGAAGTTGTGTTTTTATTTAAGCTTTCAGTTTGGTCTCTAAATACTACTTTGATATTGGATCCTAGTTAACTTCAGTTTCTCTGTTCCCGTGTCCACATGTTGGTGGTGGCACGGAATCCACCAACTGGAAGAGAGATTCTATTGACCACTTCTTCTCGTTATTTTGCATTAAACATGGTTGAAACCTATTTTATAAGGTAACCTTTTCCCAATCGTTTTGTACATAAGACCAAATCTTTGTAGTTTTGTCCTTGGATAACCTGTATGCCTATATCTGGTGCAAAACCATCAACAGCACTTCAGAAGTTAAGTCGTGTTGTTTCAAGAAGATAACTCAGCAACAGTTTCATTTTCAAAAATGAGTTTCTTTTACAATTGCCAGAGCTTGGAAGCGTGAAAAGAACAAAAGGAAAATAGTAAAATAAATGAAGGCATAGTTGCATTACAGGAAAGAACTGCAGTGTGAATGAAAAAATCTATCCTGGAATTCCCAGGAACGGGATTTCTTATTGTCTATGAAGCACTCAGATCCTTGCCGAGTTGCCAAAGCTTACGAAATCATTTCAAAGGAGCCCCGGGATGACTCTCTTACTGCTCTTTTTTTTTTTTTTTTTTTAAAAAAAAAGACCAGTCAATGCAGCATGCTGCAATCGCGCTTGCCAACGTTTCTTGCGAATGGGAATCACACTCTTAATTGACGAACAGAATCAATGCTGTTGCTTATCCCTTCAATGTGTGAGCTGGTATCTACGATATAAAGTGTATTTGACAACTTCATAAAAGGAAACAACTATTCCAACAGAAGGGCCGGCACGTGCAACACGGGGACCAACTCCTGTAAACAGTCCCTTGACTCCCCCATCCCTGTTCCACAACGAAGTTAGCAGCCATGAAAGCAAGTAAAAGAATATACCTAGAAAACCACTGATCAGTTTAAAAAAAGATTCAATTAGCAATTTTTCTTCTTTGCATTTGAACATCTGGCTCCTGTAGAATTATTCGAATATTTCAAATAAATGAAATAAAGAAATAGAAAATAGGTCATGTATTAGTCCAAACAGAGTCTATGATCTAAATGCAGCCATGAAAATTCAAAGGCATAATAGATGATAGACGTGGAGCAGTGCGATTAACAGGACTGGACAGGTGAAACAAAACAAAAGACCAGCAGTGATTTAGTTCAAATCTTAAGCAAAGTGGGAAGCACAGCTTACTTCTGATTGTTCATATGAAAAAAATGGTAAGATTGGTCGCCCAGAAATATGTGAATCTTAAATGGCAACAATATGGCTCTGGCAGTAGTGAACTTCCGCTCCATCAATGATCAATAATGCAATTTCTAAACAATCTAAAGATAAAAAGAGAATGGCAAAATGTGAAAATATTGACCTTCGAAGACTAAGATGTAGACTATGGGGAATTAAACTCGTGCCCTGTATGCATTCAAGCTTTACTAGCAGAACCAGCATTAACAGATTACTTCTTATCTTTGGTCACAAATTCAAGTTAAAGCACGTCTGATTATAATTAACCACAGAACGACTTCAGGACATGGTTTCTCAAAAATAACAAGGGATAGGTCAAACCCAAAGATTCACCCCATGGCCAAAGTTGCAGCTTACAGTATCAATCAGGATAATGTGATAGTATCCTACAGATGTTGCTCTGTCTATGTGTCCATCATTAAGATCACAAAAGCACCATCTAGGAGAGTCATTAGACCAGGCATGTAGCTACAGGGGATTACTGCATCAATTTACTGGCTTAGGATGGTACCACACCACCAATGAACCCACTCAAAACATGTAGATAATTGCCTAGTTCTTAGGCACATATATACACACTTCCTGGTGATGAAGAATAATGTAAAAACAGCATACCTCCATATCTCCAGCAATGTTCGTGATGTAGTCATATTTAATGCCCTAGTTGGATCCTTCTATACTTGCCAAAAGAAAAATATGTGTTAGTGATCAACTAAAGTTTTTATCTCAAAGTCAACTAAATATGATGCCAATTGCCCAACTCCAATAACAACTAACATGTGATCATTCTAATATACATATTCATTTCAAAGCAGCAAATCAGTGTCAGCACAGCAGTTGCGCATGTCATCACATCCCTGCTCAAAAGATAAAAAAAAATTGATGTGGCTGTAAATTTATTTAACTCAATTATTTGCTTAAGCAACTTTATCTCATTCAAAGAGTATAAGACTAATGTTCAGTGTCATGCTGTGACAACTTCATTGCAGATACAACAATTAGGTTCAAATATAACAAGGATAACTAAAATTTCAAGAAACCACCTCAACATTAGTAGTTCTGATGTGAAACGGTTTGCCAACAGCATACCTCTATTTTATTATTTTTCCATCTTGTGAAATTTTTTTATGAGTGTTAATAAAGGGTGATTTTAGAGACCCACCTCTATCTGCCTTCTGGTCTTTGCGACATCAAATGGACATGTAGCAGCTGCTGCAAGGGTCCCAGCAACAAATCCAGCAGAAAAATTTGCCCCAAGGAGACTTGAAGCCCCAGCTTCATCACCCAACAGAGCAAGAATTTGTCTCCTGATCTGCAGGAAAGCAGCATTGCATTCAAATGTCTGTGATCCAAATACATTTCAAAATCATCGTTTTTTTTTAGATAATGTAAACTCACAGGCTCAAGGGTTGCCCAGCAGATTGCAGAGTAGGGAACATCACGAGCAAGTTGTGCTCCAAGGCCAGTCCAAAGGATGCGGTAGCTTTGCACTGTTATAAATAGTTCATTAAATTATACGTGCAAGGTTGAGAAGGCAATACAAATAATCACAGAAATTTATATAACTTCAGAATCCCAATGTCAGTAGAAATCAAATCTCTGACTGTCAAAAAGAGATCAAACCAAATCCATATAAACTTGGATGTCAACTTACACTTTTGAATGTTGTTTGTGCCCCGGACTGGGTTGATGACCTCAATTAATGTCTTCCACACTCCTGAAGGCTTCACACCAGCTTGTATTTCTTTAAATGCCTATTTTAGCAAGAAGAAATTAGAATGCAGAACTGAGTCTCCATAATAAATAGCTCTCTCAATGCATGTGGTAGTAAACCTTCATCGCACAGCCAGCCAGGTCCTAAATATAGTTAGTCAAATTTTTTGAAGGAATGGCAGTTCAAGGATAGCAATAGGAAAGCAAGACACATGATTTTGAGATTAACAATTTAAACATTCTTCCTCATTATGATTGTTGTTCCCATAGCAAGTTAATCACTCAACAGAATTAGTAATCTAAGCAGCTGATCCAAAGTTGATTACTCCCTGATTTCACCTGTCAAACACACTCACTGCATGAACATACTCCTGTTAGAAAAGAACACATTCTTAAATGATTTTTTATTGACATCAATTTTGTTGGATTGGACTAAATGCCTACAACTCAAATATTTACAGTATGTGCAGGCCAGATTTAAGTGACGATCTTTACAATAGAGAAACAAGGTACATGGTAACCAATCCGATAAGTCAGTAATCCATAGATGTGATGCTAAAGAACAAAACCAACAAGCCAAACACCTGCATGCGGGTCCTTGCCAGCTCCACTGGATAACAAGTAATACAAGATAATGAACGTGCAACTGCCCCTGCAACAAGTGGGACATAAGGTGTCAAGGCTGGGCAATTCCGAGTCATAAATTCTTCCATTGAATTCCGGAAAATGTCATAACAAGGCATGTAGATCCCCACCTAGTTCACAGTATGAGAAAACACAACCACCATCAGCAAAAAATGACCTGGAAGATGTGAACAATATCTTCATGACTAAATTGCTTTCAATCCATTATCCAACACTCTGTAAAGGCATAAAACATAAAAGAGGAGAAAATCACTTCTAAGCTTGAGACTTACAGTTGGCACAGCCAAAGCTAAGCTCGCATTTGTGCCTCTCCATAGCCTTCCAATCCCTTCCTGCACAAATTCACCCCTGTCAAGCGTCTGAATAAGTACATGCTTGCCAAGCATTGGTTCACCCAGATAAATTACAAACAAGGCTTACTAGATACAAGACAAATAACATAGCAGCACAAATATGCAGATTTGCAAATACAATGTGACGATTGCACTACTGCGATGGCACTAAGAATTCATTTCATGCAGACAAATTCCTCCATGCTTTCTGCTTTCCAACTATCATCTATATTAGCACAACAGAACTGCATCCCCACCCGTCTAGCTTGGTGGAGACACTGTATTTCTACCATTCAAAGTTCATACTGCTAATGTAAAGCAAATTAATAATAATTACAAAAAAGAAAAAAACACTAAAAACAACTCCTAAAATTCTATTTTGCTTTCTTATGTTAACAATTCTCCCCCAACCAATAAAAACTCAAATTTTCTGCTTCTTTAATACATCAACAAGATACATTAAAGTGTTTTATGTTTCTGAAGATGACTACGTTGTAAGGTTTAAGATTGAATTTCGAGACAAAAAATCTTTGCAACAATTTGGTACATGGTTCACTGAGATTGAACTACATCATAAAAACACTAACACCTTTTCTTTGAACATTTTAGCAAGCCAAAAAAAATAAAAAAGGCACATCATTTAAGCAAGAGGTTGGTCCGTTACTTAGAAACTTATGCAACATAATCAAGAATTAAGTAACTCCACTAACCTGCCGAATCACTTTATAGAAGACATCCAATGTTCCCTTGTACCGATTACATTCAGAACCACATAATTGCTGCGCGCCAGGAGCTGCATGCGATGAACTTTTCACATCAGGAAACATCTGGAATAAAAATTTTAGAACAACAATTAACACTGTTCAACATGCTATTTATCAGTCTCCTAATTTCCTTTCTTTCCTTATAAAAGCCGATTACAATATAAAAACAAATCAATATGCAATCATGTTAATAGCAAATAGAGTACCATATTCGATTCAAAACATCCCATTCCACATAGACCTTGGTAAGGAACTCCTGCTGCCTGTGCTTGCAACCTTATCTATGAAAATAAACAAATCATTAATTAAAGATAATCACTCACAAAACATGTTTAATTAAACAAGAACGAGAAAACATGTGATAATGCAAAAATTAAAGGAAATTGAAATTGAAAGTTAGTTACCTTAGCAACATCGAGAGGGTTAACAATGACGGCGGAGAGAACAGCAGCGCCAGCTGCAGCGAAAGCTCTCTCTCCAAAACCTAAATCAAAATCTGGTGCTGATGGAACTGATTTTGATTCCTCATTTTTACTCGTAAGAATATTACTACCTTCTTTGGAGTTGTTGATTCCTTCGATATCAACTCTAGTTGCTGCTGCTGCAGTTATCCATGAAGGCAAGCTCTGCCTTGAGGATCCCACCATTTGCTCCACTTTTTCTAAACCAAACTCTGTTATTCATATAATCCTTTTGTTTGTGTGTGTAATTGAAGAAGTCAATTTTGATATTGATACCTATGGCATTGAATTTTATGGAGAAAGTTGGGGTTTGAATTGAAGAAAAAGAGAGAGGAGGGAGTTCGTCATAAGAAAGTGACTCGGTTGGTTAAATTTGTTTTCACTTTCTAGGGGATTCCAAATTGCATGGGGATTTTATTTTGAGGAATAGAAGTCGTGAAGAAATGAATAATGATCAAAATGATTCGTGGCGTGGAAACAAGGGCGCCAAACAATTGGGGAGAGCTGCTGCTCTGTAACTTGTGAGGTGGACGCCGACCAGAAAAATAGAAAAGGACTGACTCACAAGGCGCAGAAATAGACTAAGACTGTGGCCCAGGAATTGTTAGTCTGGAATTGGTATTGGTGTTGGCATTGGTTTGGGCCGAAGAACTTCCTTAGTGGAAAGAAGCTAAGCCCATAACAGAAACTACAAATCATCAATCCCAAGGAAACCTCCTCAACCAACGGATTCAGCTGATGCTCTTGGAAGCTGGGTTCTAGAAAGAGGTAACTTTCTTTTTCAAAAATATATTGTAGGAGAAAAAATTCGTAAATGTATTAATTTGGGCATATGGGTTAATGTCTACGACCCAGTCCCAACATACGAAAACTGATCAGAGTACTAAATACTTAATGATTAAAAGATATTATAGGGGTTTACAAAAGCAATGAACTATCTAATTGGAAATTTCGTAAAGAAAAATGTTACAAGTCACGGATACTGTGATTGCTATTATGTGATTTGTTTCGTCTACATACTTGCCATTCAATCTTTACTATTTTAATTTATGTTGGGAAACACCACTCTAAATCAATTGATCTAAATAAAAAGGACTTATTTAGTACAGGAAAAGAACATACTTTAACTATTTGTGAATGTGCAATAGATTGAAGATCAATCTTTTCTTTTCTTTTTTTTTTTCTTTTTTTTGTTTGGAATGAAGGCCGACCTTCCCATCTCCACCGTAAGGATGAAGCTCATCCCTTAAGTATGAATAGTCCAGGGCTTAAGCCACAGGCTTCGCCCCAACTTGTTTTACGTTGTTGGATATTTGTTATATGGATTCGCGCAAAAACTGGCAAGACTTGGAAAAAAGCATCAAGGATTTTATTAAAGAGCAGGTGCTAAAGGAGTGAATCACTTTCAGAATGTATAAAAGTAGAATGGGCAACAAGCACAACAACGTGATCCAAATGGATCCTATTCAAAGAGACGAAGTTTGACTTTCTGTTTGATTCTCAGGGATAAAATCAAGCTGGGCAAGGAAAGAATGAAAAAAAGAAAAATCAAATCAAATCATAATAGAGTAGTGGTTTACCGAACTAAGCATAATAAAATCATCCCCTGCCGTAAAAAACATCCAGAGGACTATTTGAGGGGGACAATGGTGTACTATTTTCTTTTGTTCTTGAATCTACCGGTTCCACCAAAATTGAAAGAACTTTTCTTTGTGAACCGCAACAATGTAGCCTGGAATGGCAGAATTTAACCGTAGGCGAAATGCTAGCTGAAAACAAAATCAATTTTGCTGCAACCCCAACAGCTTTTTGCCACCTCCAAGGGTTGAATAACATTCTAATCCAACAAACAACAAAGCCGGCGGTCATCCTCCTCTTTTCCTCTTGGACATTGGAATCATCACCTTTGATCTTCTTTTTCTCACTCAACCTCCAGTCAAAAACAGTCTTTCCATTGCTAAAACATTCGTTCAGTTCTTCCACCACATCAAGTGGCCTTCCTTGATGTTGTGCCACCTTTTCCTTGAGAATTAACCTGCTTTCTTCTAAACGCGCAAGTGCCTCTTGCCTATCAATCGGCTGCCATGATCGTAATCTCTGCATAATGGTGTTAGGGGAAAGAAGGGGTAAGTAAGCCTAAGGACATAGAGTTGTCTGCTCGCATTTTTATGATTTCCAGTAAGGGGTCAGACATGAAGATATGTTAATGGTACTTTACAGTTCATTTCGTCAAACAAATTTCCATCAGTATTCAATCTTTGTGCCTTGATGTGGTTGGATCTTGGAAAATCAAATATATACTCAGTATTTTTACTTTCTTGTGTTTTAATTGAGCAGGCCTAGCAAACAATTTTTCAACAGTAACTAATTTGTAACTACAAGCAATGTCCTATATTCGATACAACTACAATAAGAAGAATGCGACTTTTATTTTGAGGACTTTTGTGCTGTATAGAACTATCAAGATTAATTACTAGTGATTCAAAGCATAATGTCTCTAAAATAGGATTGGAATGTCAGATTCTGATTAATCCTAATGAAACTAGCTAGCTGATAAAATAAGCAAGTTCATAAAATCTGAAAGAGTATTTTCAGTACGCTAATTCTGAGTTATCTATCTTGAAATAAGTAGAGGAAAAGAATGCTCAACGTACCTGTAAACGCATAAGCGCATTCCCTACTTCATTTAATGAATCTTTAATGGCAATCAATCCTTCCTTCTCCTGAAATGGGTTCTCCACTCTGTCACAATAACGACCATGTTCCGAACAAAACCTGCAGAAGGAGCTGTTGATGTTTTTTATTTCTTCAGTTAGCCCATCATGCAAACCCCATGCTCTCTCAATGAGTTTCTGCAGGTCCTCTCTTAACTCCATCGAAGAGGAACAGCGCACCAATTAAAAGCTTCCTCTATTAGGTTTTTCAGCTTTGCCAGCTTTGTTTATTTGGTTTGTGCTAGAAATGGAAAGGTTGAGACCATATAATGTAATGGAAATTGGAAGGTGGGCCTCTTCTTAACTCCTTTTTTATTTTTTAATAGTTTCCAGTTTGGTTTCTTATCAAATCAAAACAAATCATTTCGTTCCTTTTCCTTTCTTTCTTTTTGTGTGGGTTTTGCTTTAAATAGAAGTTTTGTTTGTAAATGAGCGGCTTTAGCTCTTTATACCCCACAGCCGTGCTTTCAGAGCATGAAGCCAAAGCCATGCATATGTGTCATCATGTACATATATACCATTGTACATATGGTTATGGCCTAAGGACCATTAACCTAGAAATTGTTGTGGCAGTGCAAAGAGTTCATTGGAGATCATGGCGTGTCAGCAGATGGAGCATGCTAAAATGATATATTATGCGATTTAACATGATCTCATCAATAACATTGCTCTGTTCAAAGATTTGAAACACTGGAATCCTCCATTGAGAATCTTACTGAAATCACTCGAAGATCGAAAGATAAATAATGGGTCCGACTTCTTGTTAGGTGTTAATTCAACTAACCAAAATGAGCCCAATCCTGTAAAACTGGAAGCATACTCATGTCAAAATGGGCCGGGCTGCACATGTTATTATATCCGGAAAAATCAACCCTTTATGATAGACAATTATGAAATTTTATAACCTCTCCCCCTGTTACATTTTAATCTCAGCGTTATTATCCTAACAGGAACTGGCTCTTTGCAACGCCATAAGACTAGAAGAGAAGTTTGAGAGGTCAGCCTCCATGAGTGAACATGATCCTGCAAAAGATTTGTGGACCAAGAAAGCTTAGATTTTTTTTTAAATTTATTCGTCATTGTAGACAAATCCTTGAGAATAATCATGTACTTGACCAACTTCACGGGATAATTATTTAAACCTGAACGAGGAACAGAGAGGGACATGATCATGATAAAAATTCAACAAGATTGTTTGTAGTCTCCTATCAAACCAATTAATTAAGGTATGCGATAACTCATCCATCTTCTTCTCTATCTATTTTTGTATCTCTAAACAAAAAAGGAACATCAAATTAATAAAGAAGTGCCGAAATCAGTTGCCTCTCTGTGAGGACAATCTTATATATTATATACAAGAGTAAGAATACAAAAGGACCAATGTGTCCATGCATTACGTGTACAACATACAACAGCCTATATAGCACCACTGTATACAACTATCACCAGCTTAGTCTGTTAATTAACATGTCGTTCCATTGTTATACGGGATAGTTTATGTTTGTTTTGACATGTCAAGGATTTTTACAATAAAAGAATAAAAAGTGATTAAGTTAAATTGATTTTGATCCATTTGTAAACTTCAAGCGAAGTTTGCAACTTGTTCAGACCGACTGAATTGTATATTGAGTATTCACAACAGCAATTATTCCAAATTCATAATATGAAGTTTCTAAATTTATTTGCAATAAAAAATACGCATTAAATCTATCAACTTTGAAATTAAATAGTTTATAAATTAAGAAAATAAGATTGCAAACTTAAATATGCATAAAATTTACAAGAAATTATACTCGTTTATGTTTTTCTATTACTTTTTACGTTGCATTACAAGGTTCTATGTTTCTTTAAAATTGCTGTGATCTTGTTTCATTAACATTGATTCTTCGTTATTTCTTTGTTACCGGACGTTAATCTTTTTTTAATTATTAATGCTATATTTTTCGTACTTACCTATTTTTCCACATGATTTGAGAGTACATAGCTCATGAGCTGCTCGTCAAAACATGTTAATCTTTCCATTGCTTCACAATTTTCTCTATTGAACATAGACTCCATATTAGGCCTAATAACTTCTTGCTTTTTTGACTTCCGTAATTTGTTGGGTTTCCAAATCTATTTGAATGGGTTGGTGAAATGCACCTTAAGCTGTATGGTAAGTACTTGCTTTAAGTTGTATAGAAAATTCAATATATCAAACTTTCAGAGTCTTAGTTGGTTCGGAGAAAAAATATTCTTATGAATGCTACAGTCAAATTAAGGAGCAAATGATGAAATGATTGTGGCTTAAAATTCAATGAGATAACAATTTTATCGTGTTATATCAAAACTAATCTAAAATTATTATTATTATTATTATTACAATGAAAACAAAATAAGAATTCAACAAGGGAATAAATAACTTCTCACTCGTCTACTAACACAAAATCAATTAAGTCTACTCGGATGACCAAGTTTTTTAATAGAATTGTAAGGTCAGGTTACTTTTCAAAATTTTTATTTTTTTTAAAAGTGACACTATTTTAAGTGTTGACGTGTATAACGAACTCGTGGACACTGAGTATTACTATTATTACTATTTTCACCCCTCGATACGTACGGCCAGCGGAATGGTTTGAGTTTTTTTTGGCTAAGCAATGGGTGGGTGATTTTCTTTTCTGCTATATATAACTTTTCCTTCCGTACTTTTTTATCTGTTCTTAATTTCCATTCAAATGATGATTATTCACAGTAAGAAATTCTCTTATCTCCAAAACCTTACCATTTTGGGCTTTGACGCTGCATTTTCACTCCATGAGCGATGGAAGATTGGCTAGAGAATGAGAAAATTAATCTGTGTGCTTATTTAAAAACTTTATTTTTAATTTTATGAATCCTAGTTTTACCTGACATCCAGGTCAAAAAAGAGATCAAAGCTTCTTTCTGATGTTTGTCGATATTTGGGAATAAATTTTTTTTTCCCGCTTCCATTTTCCACTTTTTCTTATTTATTAATTTTCTCAACTTTCTTTTTGTATCCGTATGGATCCTTTCTGTCTAAACCATTTGAATTCTTGAAACAACAAGATACATGGTTGTGTCCAACATTAAATGATAAACGAGGAATATCTCATCGATTGGATTCATTACACGCATTTTGAAGCGGCTTTTCCTTGATACATCTGCCTAATTAATGCATTATTTCAAATCCCCTTGTGATTGGAACTAGAGAATGAGAAGATAGAAAATGCAAAAGGGTTCGTAAAATTTGGGACTTCGAGTTCTCGCCTATCAAAGCTGAAAATCGTATACCTTTTGATGTACCCCGATCTTCAAATATGAATTATGCTATTAAAAAAAATATAGAATTAAGTACTATCGAGCTTCATGTCTAACTGTGAAAGTAAATGTTAATACGGGTCATTTCTATATATATAAGAAAACATGTGTCCTTTATCAGAAAAAAATTATAATCATTTTGTTCATATAGTTATTTTTATTTTACGTGTAAGTATTTAATTAATTGAATTTTGCAATTCAAAAAATGTTGAGTTATAAATCCTGAACTAGTGTACATTTTTTTGAATAAATAGGTCAAGAAAATACAAATCAAATTTTCAATACATCCCGATACATACAAGAAATTATTGACTTTACCGAGAACTGTACTTTTTTTTGTCTGATAAAATCCATAGATATTTTTTATTATAAAATCTATGTTTATTTGAAAAGAAAAGACATAACTCATGACGTCCTTAATAATTTATCTGGTACGTACAAAAGCACACCGTTCACAAGTCACGATTCCTTTCTCTTTTATTTTTTGGCCTTATCAGAGGGACGGGGTTTAAGACTCGAATTAGCACCCTAATTCAGATAAAGTCTGATTTGTTATTTATGAAGTGGAATAATTTATTTAAAAAAAAACACACACACACTTTCGGTGCTTTTGTTTGCATTTAGCTGGATGAGGCAGGAGACGATATTAAATCTTTTATCAAAAAATCTGTAGAACAGGTTTTAACGTACTAATTCTGTTAGAAGTTTTGATGTTTTTTTTAAAAAAAAGTCTGTAGGACTGCTGAGTCACACCTGTTTCTGCGAAGTCTTGGACAGGATTTTCGGGTTATGGGTTGATCATGATAAGAAAAGCAAAGAATACATGTGTTATACACGGCTTGACCCGTGAGTACCTTTTGCACTGTAAAACCTCATGTAATTTCTATCATATGGAAGGGGTGCTTGCTTATAGTTTGAACCACACAAAAGTTCGATGCAAATATAGGATTAAACTGTTTGATTTTTAATGTTAATATAGTTTGAACCACACAAGAGTATTGAGGAGAGAGGAGACTCTAGACTTTCATTCTTCAATGTGTTTATTTATACGTCATTTTCCAAATGATAATGTGGTTGTGACATGAGCCAAATCAGATTCAGAACCCCAATAGTGGCAGAAAATTAAGTTAGGATATGCATCTTATACATGGGAAAGCAACTCGATCGGCATGATAGATTGTTTCAAGTTGACTTTAGTCCTTAGATACATTCCGTTAGGATACATATTTTACAGTTGGCACAATGGTACTCTACCAAACCAATCAATCATGCCCCTAAAAAAACAAACCTGAAATTTTGGACTAGACAACGCTATACCAACTTAACAAGGAAAAGGAGGGATCTCGGACAACAATATTGTTTTTTATATATACAGAATATTTTAAGCGGAAAATGATAAATTGTAAAATGAGTTAGGAGTGGATTAACTTTTGAGTTCGATTCGTTCCAAAGTACCAATAAATTATTCCTTTTCAAACAAAAAAATTCAATTTGGACAATCTAATTATAGATTTGTGGTCGATATTAAAAACATAAAACATTTACCAAAAAAATAAATAGACAAAACAAGAAATGAAAAGTAAAAACTCATGATAACCCATATATGTTTTGCCTTGGATGGTTAGGTATTTCACAAATATCTCACGCTGCCCCAACCATTTACCATGTGACGCCAGAATTTGAAAGATAAACGAGCAATTCCCCAACTTCTACTACTAGACAAGGTGCCAACCACAAGACACGTATGCGGCGGCATTTCATTGGCCATAAAATAAAAACATTTCTTAGTAAAAGTAGAGAAGACCAAAACTGTAAATCTGCAGTGTAAATGTAAATAAGGTCAGGTCCTGGTTTTGTCATTGTCACTGTACAAAAAAAAGGTTTGAGACTTCGGCAAAAGATTTGCAGAAGTGACCAAATTACAGACTTGCAAATTGCAAGTGGGTCTGAAATCTGAATCTGATATTTCACATTTTCTTTAGTTTTTGTTACTGGCTTGCAAGTGGGTCTCCTTTTTACAATTGCAGTAATAAAAGCAAGCCTGCAATGCCAAATTACCTCCCCGAACCTTTTTGCAAGCTTTGACCAGTGGTACAGTAAAAAGACCACTCTCTTAGCCGAAGGTTGAAGCACGCCCGGTCGTGATCAACATAAGATTACGGCAAGCTGGAGGTGGCATGTCTTGGAGTTACCGAAAAGCCAATGGCCTACTTACTCTGCCACCTACACCCATCCTTTCCAGTGTGTATTGTGCTAGACTTTATGGTCCCATTAGTGCCTCGGACAGAGCAAAGCTCCCTCCCATCAGTAGAGAAGAATTTTTGTTAATGGTCTTCGTCTAAGGATCCCACTTGGCCCATGTGGCAATTTCAGTGGAGGAAACATAAGGTCGCACGACACAGGATTTATGTCCCTTTTGGTTTTTTTTTTTTTTTAATCTTAAGAAAATTATGATGTTGAAGTCCTCATCCTTTGTTATAACAGATTACTATTACTAAACTTCAAGCTATCTGATGTCCATTTTGATTTCAAAGTCCAAACCTTGTAGATTTAAACTCTTTTAAGTGTAAATAATTACTTAACTCCATTTAACCAATACAAATTATAGCTGGCATCCCCAAATGGATCTTCACATTTTAACCAGAATAATTGTTAGTAAATAAATGCATTGTAAACAATCAGTCAAGGAACATTGTAGATTATTTTACTGGAGACGTCACATGCAAGATACTAATTTAGACCCCAGCTATCTCAAATCGATGCAGGATACCATTGTCACACTATCTACTAGATACCAGAAAAGCAAAACACAACATTATAGTCAGGATTTTGGACTCGTTATTACTACAAAAAGAATGGCTCACAAAACGTTGAAGGAGGGTATGGCTCTCGAGTGTCTGAGGTGGCCAACCGTTCAACGTGGAAACCACTTTAAACATAAGAAAATTATAAATTATTACTTCCAATTTCGAAAAAACAAATTAATTAGTAATTTTTATTTTATTTTAAAAACATTTAATTTAATATTTTTTTCATAATACTTATTTTCTCTATTTTTAAACAAAAAAATATTAAAAATATTAAATAATTAGTTTTTTATAACGGAAACGCTTAATTAATTTGTTTCTCAAAATTAAAATAACTAATCTATTACTTACTCGTTTAGACACTTGAGTAGGGCTTTTTTAGTCCAACAAGTAAAATTATATCATTCACACAAAAACATACAAGAGGTCAAAAAGTGAGATTAAAACAGCTAAAATACAACCTTACTTGATCCATATTCACAATCCTGCCTGCAATCTTTGCAACAGAAAGAATAAGCTAAACCGTACAATTTTTGGACACAAATACTAAAACTAAAATAGAAAAACAAAACAAGTTAAAACAGTACTAATCCAAAACTCCGCTCGAAATTTACCAAATCATCACATCAATATGTAAATAACTTAAACCTTAAACCCATATAGAGAGTAATTAAGGTTTATGATTCCCATAAATAGAGTTAATTAACGTTGCGATTCTTGAATTAAGCCCCAAAATACTTGTCAACATCCCATAAACAGGAACCTAAATCACCATCTAAATGTACCGAAATATCAGCATAATCTTCTCTCAAAACAGTATCCGGTACACTACACTCCTCAAAAAAATCGGTGCAGGATTTTCAAAATCCCAAAACTCTTTCAAACAATCCATGACCAAACACTCATCATCATCATCACCAACCTTCAGTATTTCTTCTTGAACCATTTCTGGTGGTTGTCTCCTCCAGCAACTATCAGTCTGTACAGCAGCATCAACAGCAGCCTGTGACTCTGGACCCGGTTCCTCAGTAGATTGAAATCTAAGCACAGAAGTGGGAGAACATAGACTGTTATGAGATTCTTTACCAGAATCATACCCAGAAATGTTAACATTAATATCAACATCTGGGGTATGTTGTTTGCTCACCGGAGGTTTTGTGAAATTGGTTAGTGCATCTGGTCCTTTAATACGAATAGCAGCCTGATCATAAACCATGGCCGCCTCCTCTGCTGTATCATAAGTCCCTAACCAAAGCCTGGTTCTCCTGTAAGGGTCTCTGATCTCTGCTGCCCATCTACCCCATGGCCTTTGTCTCACACCACGATACTTTTTCCCATCTGGATAATAACACTGATCCTTTGAATATTTTTTCACAACTTGTTGCCTATTTACCACTTTTGATGATTTCTTCGCATCCTCTGCTGCTCTGTCGCTCCCATACTTGGCGCAATTTGTAATTCTTATCTCGTTAATATGCTTTTTAACTCTTGGATGGTGGCTCTTGGGTTCCTCATTTTCATCACCAGATGAGTCCGTGGCATTGCCATCAGTAACTGAAATCCGTACAATTCTTGTGGCTTTTGAGTCCTCCCAGTTCACCAGCTTGTTGGTCACAGTTTTATGCTCCGTGTACTTGGTAGAAAAGTGATCCATTTTTTAATGGAATCAAGGCCTATGGGGGTTGGTTTTTGGGTGAGAACATCAAAGGTGGGATTTTTTTTAAGAGAAATTGATTATAGGAAACGATAGAAATAGGAAATATTAAATAGGCTTTAAAAACACTTACAAATAAAACCGATCTGTGAATTAAAGAGTATAAACGAAAAGGAGAGAGAGATAGAAAGAGGGATGCTGAGGGAGTGTGGAGTGAGTGAGCAAATGAATTAGTGAGAGAGAAGAGGAGATACTTACATGGAATAGTCAAATGTCAAAAGGCTTATGAATCGCAGTTTTATAGGAGGATCCTAAATGCATAGTAGGGAGTAGGTGGAGACTAGAGAGCCCAACCTTTTTCTTTCTTCTTTTTATTTTCCAGCTTTTTATGTCGGTTTAGCGAGTGTGAAACTGTGAAATTAAATCTTAATTAGATTTTTAATTGGCCTATTTTTTGGTTTCAAAATGGTTTAGATGATTACAAAGGATGAGATTAAAATGGAAAAATCCCAAACGACTCGCCGCGTTTAGAAAATTAGGCGTTTGATTCGGTGACACGTGGCAAATCTTGTTGGCCTGGTAAAGAGATGAGAAATGGGGTCAGTGATTGAACTTGGGCCCCAAGCAAGACACGCGCCAACATATTTCCAGAGTCCACACCCCAAACAGTGGGATAATGCTTCTTCCCTGAGAGAATGACAGTTGTTCATTCTCAGCCTTTTTATCGTAAGAGAGGGTGAAACTGAAATGTGACAGTCGCTGTGAGATTAGGATGCTGGCTTTGAATTATGGTCACGTGGCTTAAAGGAGACCAGTTCTGTTGATAGCGTTGGTGAGATCAATTGCTGGGTCACAGACATGTCAGTTGGGATCTTTTTGATTGTTGAGTAGATTAAGGTTGAGGAGTTTTAATTCTCCCAACATTATTGCTTGTCAATCAAGCATAAAATATTTAATTGTAGCAATTTACGTAATTCTTTATTCAATTCATTCATTTGCTATAATGGTTGTTTTTCAAATTTTTTTTTTTTTTTGTTCCTTGGGCTCATCTTCCGTGGATGTATGTACATCGAGTATTTAATTTCCACTTGCACTGATTACCCCTTTTTTTATTATTATTGTTTCTTTAAGTCCACGTTCGTCTTTTTACTTAAAAATAGCTAAAATTAAGAGATTCAAATTTTGGTTACTTTCGTAGCATGCATTCTTCCAACGCTACAAGCTTTTTTCTTCCTTTTACCACATTAAAGTGGCAAAAATATACTATTCCTCTTCTTATTGTTTTTTTACCACATGAATCGCTTTTCCAATTTTCACTATATTTATGACTAATATTATAAACGAGATTTTGCACCCCCCCCCCCTCCCTCTCTCGCCCAAAGAATATTTGGTGATGAATATGTGCAAAACACAACAATATTCAGAAAAATAAACTTACAAATAGAATATAAAGTGCCAAATTTTTTATAATGTCAATTTCAATTATTTTTAAAATATGTTCTAAATCCTAAACTTCGAAATGTGTTATCTCATACATAGAAATATAGAATAAGCAAAATTGTAATCTTACAGTGGTCACGAAAGTACGAGTGATAATGACTCAATTATTTTTGCAGTTCACAGCATAATTAGGGATCAAGTAACAGCAAGACATTCGTTGAAAACAGTAGGTTGAGAACGAAAGAGACCTTCTCGTAATTTGTTCAGTCATTATTTCATTTCATTCGCGTGACCTTCACTTAATTCTCTCGTCTGTACTTTGTACTTTTAAAGCAGTCCAATTTGTATTTTCAAGCACAAAAAAATTGAAAAAATACGTTACCTTTTTAATATCACAGGAATGTTTATGCGATCACCCTGCACGTATTAATAATTTAAAAATACTGACGGTCTCTTTACCAGGGGAAAAAAATGATGATCAACCCAAAGAAGTATCTCACTCTATTCCCCAGCAAAATGAGAATGTTGTTGTTCACTTGCCTTCTACTCTACTGAATCACTCACATAGTGATGCAAGAGTTCTTTAAAATTCCGATTCTCTGTTTAAGAACTCGTAATATAATCTCCCTGCACATCGAACATGAGAAATACACATTTTGGGATGGTAATGGGCAGGGTAAAAAGTGGTACCTGCTGTAGTCTGTCCAAAACAATATCAATTAAAAATACTAAATTGGCATTGAGTCACGTAAAGATAAAAATTACATACCAGTAATATAACTTTTGGATATGGATACTCACTTTACACCTTACTTATATTTATTATTTTTCAATAAAAAATTACAAGTAAAAGATCAAATTGAATAATAATAATAATTTTAAGAACCAAATAACCTTTTTGAACATTATATTGATTAAAATAAAAAAAATTTGACTAATTATTTTTAACAAGTATTAAATGAACGGATAAATCCCTTAGGATTGAGTATGAATTTAAAAAATATTTTTTAATAAATATAGACGTGATATTTCCTTTAATAGATAGAATAAAAAAAATCAATGAACATGATGCCTACTATTGCCATCCCTTTAACATGTTAGTTCCACGAATGATGTTGCTACATAATAGTAACCTTAAAAAAATCTGTGTTGTCTTGCACAGAACCCCGATTGGACAGAATAGTAAATCATGGGCCCCATGAAAGGCCTATGGAAAACTTTATGATATAAATAAACTAATAAATACAGAGCGTTGTTAGTGTATTTGTGACCAAGAATGGCAAAATGATCCGATCCCAGATCATCTTGCTTCGATTAACGTGAGAATTTTTTGTATTGATTGGAGAACGGGATGTGATGCTTTGCCCCGTAATTTTTTTTGGATAGGAATGGGGCAGGGATGAGATTTGCCCATCTCGTCCCGTTTTACCTCGTCAATAATGACTTATAGTAGAGTTCATGTGATTTGATCTCTTGTTTAGGAAACAAAATTATACAAATTATGTGTGCTCATTATAAAATCCGTCAAAACGGGATAAAATTAGGTGAGACGGGACAGACAAACAGTAAAACGGGACCACGTTTGCCCTGTGGGGATGGGATGACAAATTCTGCCCCGTTCGGAACATGGGGTGGGGATGGAAAATTTTTTAATGGGGTAGGGCGAGGATGGGGATTGCGATCCTCAACCCGCCCTGTCCCATTGCCATTCCTATTTGTGACCTACTTGTTATTTGTTATTGTTGTGCTTGGAGATGATGATTTACTCTTGACCCTCAATATTCCGAAGATGCTCAATTTATGCCAATTTATCTAACTCAACAGGTTTTAAGATGGTTTCAAATTAAATTCAGATTAGCTTATTCTTCTTTTTTTTCATTTTTTTTATTCTCAAGGTATCTCGAGTAAGAAGCGGACTAGTTTCTCACAACTTAGTCGGATGCACAATGCGATCATAACTATTTAAAAAGTTTTTTGCATATACATAAACTTGAATCCGAGACCACTTATTTAAACAATTAAGATTAGCTTCTTTCGTGTTACTTTTTTAACATGATATATCATGGTAGTTAAATTTTGGAATTTTAATTTAAATTAATGGTTAAAATTTTGTTATATATGTAATTTAAATATTGTTCCATTTAAGTAAATATGAATAAAATATGAAGTGTTGAATTGTATTTTTCCCTCTCACTAAAACATATGATCCACTGAAAAAATAATTTAGATCCTCTCCTCACGCGAGAGAGAAGAGTACACTCTCGAACATACTGAATATTAATTCGTAATAAATAGCAAATAAAATGAAAATATTTAGATTTGGAAAGAAAAATGTAATTTTTAGCACCTTTCTCTCTCAACAAAATAATGCAATAGAATGAACAATATCAGAGGACACGAAATCCTTTCCTTTTCTGGATTAAAATTCTAAGACTTGCTGTCTTTTGGATTGAATGACTTTTTTTCCTTCTTCTCTATTCTTCTTCCTTAAAAAAATAAAATAAAATCTCGATTTGGAGATAAGCTTTACGAAATTAATGGTTGTATTATTCATGGAACCAAACTTAAAAGAAATCCTCTTCTAGCCAAAAAGCAACTCACACATCAATGCTAATAAAAGATTGGCATTACACCATGAACCAGGAATCGAAGTTGTCCCCCCTCCCAACAATTGTTCGAACTCTAGCGCATGATTTTGTGTTCGGATGTGTTCAAACTTCCTCAAGAATAAAGAATTAAAAAAAAAAAAAAAGAGAGAGAGATGTGCTAAAGACATAATCCTAGGAAGTTGTTTTTATTGGTTGCAAACAGTCTTTTTTTTTTTTTTTTTTTTTCAGGCTAACTTTTCTCTTGCATTAATTTTTCAGGCTGGCTCCCTTCCTATATTTAAAACTGTCTAATTTGAGAAATTTTTATCTTATTTTTAAAGTAACTAATAATAAAGGATGAAGTAAAAAAAAAACATATATGAAAATATTTTTATCACTTTTAATCCATCTAAATGTTTTCTTTTTCTTATGTCTATTTCTCTTCAAGATGGCTCCTTTTTTCTTTTTTCTTTTTTTTTTTTTGGCCAACTTTTCTCTTCCATTAATTTTTCAGAAGATAGAGGGAGATGGGGCTGGATCCCCTCCAATATTAAAACTGTCTAGTTTATTCAAGTTTTTGGATAAAATTTACAATGAAAAATTTTAAAATACCTAAAATAATAGCTTACAATATTTACTCTAAAAGTCTACCTTGAAGAGAGAAGAAAAAAATCTCATTCAGACCTACCCAAAGTGATAAAAATATTTTCACCTATACTTTTTTGTTCTTTTTTTTTTTTCGATTCTTTCTCTCTTCTTCATTTAATTTGTGATTGATTTAGGAGCATGTAATGTAAAATAATCTAATTACGATTATGATTTAACATAATTATTGTTTTCCTTCTACATCATGACTGTCCTCTCTTTTAATTCTTAACTTTAGATTCAAAATCAAAATAGGATTCAATACACAACAAGAAGTACCAATCACAACAACAAATAATTTAAAAATTTTCAAAAAAAAAAAAAGAAAGATTAGATTTAAGAAACAATCCTCTCATATTCTTTCATGAAATATGAATATTATGTCACCGAAGCTTTCCCGTTTCAAAAATAATAAACTATCAAGTCTGTAGGTCAAAGAAAAAACTCTTAATCCTTATTAAGTATTAGAAAGAAAAATCAATTTAAATATCAAGTCTTGTAAATCATGATTTGATTATAAGTGAGACTCTTTCAAACTAAGTTACGAAAAACACTAACTCACACTTATGAATAGGAGTGATTGTTTGGTTTTTTAATTCGGTTTTTAACATTTTAATTTAATTTTTAGTTAACGGACCTTAAAAAAAAAAAAAAAAAAAAAAAAAAAAACTAAACTTATACCAAGTAGAAATTTAGTTTTTCAATTTAAAAAAAAAATTATGTTTTACCAAAAAAAAAACAAAAAGTCAAATAAAATTCTGTTCACATTCATATTTTTAAGAGTTGAGTTAACCAAAAATAAAACAGAAACGTTAAGAATCAAAATTAAAAAAATCGAATGTTCACTCCTAAAAACTGAAATGTCTTGCCAGTGGAGGGGAGCTGGATCCAAAAAAGAATGCTAAAACTCTAATTCTACTTTCTAGATCTAAATATTTCCTTTGAATTGATTATTTAAGTTTAATGATTGATTATTTAAATTTTACTAAAAGACCACTAAACAAAATCTATGTGAATTGTTTGTCCAATATTTAAGTAATGTGATATACTAGGAGTACCACAATGGCAGTCGGACTCTTTATAAAAGAAAAACCCTAATATATAAAGATTTGCATAAGAGACATTACAAAGCCCAACCTAAAAAAAAAAAAAACCAACCGGGTTACTTAAAGGAAAAGGCCCAACCCAGAAATTAGTTAGCCCAAGATGGTCAAAACCCAGTACTAGTTGTCAGAGGCCAGAAAGTTGACCGTCCATCTTTTGATATTAGCCACTTTCAAGGCATCATCCCACATCACTTGGAAGTGGGATCGAGGAAGAGAACCATTCTTTTATATTAGAAAGAAGCCTATTCCTATCTTCCACAACTACTCAAGTAAGGTCGTGAAGTTCGTATAATTAGGTACGCATTTTTAAATGGTTTTCTTAATCGGATTAATCTGATACAGTGGGTATGGTGGAATTGATTTTGGGACGTACGGGATTTGTTTTCTTTTTTCATTTTACGGTTTATTATAAAAATATATTAATGCATAAATGACATGAATTTTCAAAAAAACAAAAGTTTTTGTTCAAAAATAAATAAATAAATAAAAATTGAGACTTGATTATATGAATTTCAAACAAACGTAAACTTTTCTGGTGAAATAGGGAGTGTAATTGATAAAATAAAAGAGACAGTATTTTCTAATTTCTTTTAAAATCCAGGTATTTTTTAATTTTAAAAAAATTTACACATCAAAGTTAACTTTGTTAATTTGATGTTCAAAATCCTAATTTTTGAAAATATAAGGTGCAAAGTGTCGTGAAATTCGAAAGATAATTAACTCTTTATAAATTGATCTCTTATTTTACTTGGTAGTTATAATTAATGTAATATACATGTGCTTAGGAGCCTAATTATTTTGACAAAAAAATCACATTGTCAAATTAAATACTTTGTATTTTAAGAGCAAAAATATTAAAAACAAGGTCTTATTCGGCTTACCTTAAAAAAAAAAAATCACTATGAAAAATTAAGGAACCATGTTTACCAAGTATAAACGTTTAAAAATAAAAAATGAAGGTCTTATTCGGCTTAACTTAAAAAGAATAATGAAAAAAATAGCATAAAATGAACCAAACAAGTTTCTTATTTTATTTTTTAATTTTATTTTTGTTATGAAAAATGCTGAGAACAACTATTTTGACATTTTTCAGTTCTTAATAAAATTACGGAAAACACGCGTTTTGTTTCATGTTAAATTAGTAAATGGGTTTTTTTTTTTTTTTTTTTTAATGTTTCCTACCCAAAAAAATGAAAAATATTTCCACAAGTAAACAGAATGTGAATCTTTTTAAATCCCCTCTCAATTCCCAAATATAAACCAAACATAATTAAAACAAATTACCATAGAATTTCTGTTTTCAACCAGACATAAATATAATATTTCCAGCAATCAAATTTTGAAATAAAAATCCGTAAACTAAACTAGCAGTGAGGAAAATTTCAATCAATGTCACAAAGCAGAATAGCAGGTATCATATCCCTCTCTTGCTATTGACTTAACGACGCTGGCACACTAACAGTAACCCATAAGCTGTCCATCCACTTTACTTTTTAATTCCTAACCTAACTCTGGAAAAGAAAAATAAGATCTCACGCCTTACGCTTTGTTTCTTTTTGATTCTGTTTCTTTCTTCTTCTTTTTCTTCTTCTTTTTTCTTGAACTAAAATAATAATAATAATAATCTAACGTAAGTATGGCCATCTGTCAGCTCCACCAGGAATTCGAGAACCTCCTTTGCAGCTCTACCACGGGAGGGAGATTCTTCGGAGAGAAAAAATAAAGAACAGCAGATAAATAGAAAACCTGACCAGGTCCAACCACTAAAAAAAAACAAAAAAAAAACCAAGTCAACCTCATTCATGTATTTTCCTGTATCTTATTACGTCATAGAAGGGACCAAAATATAGACATGGACCCTCGTTGATTGATGAATGATTCTCTTTGATCTTGCATCACTTCTTCCCACCATAACCCTCTTCCAAGTAAAGAATATTTGTATTGTAAATATAAAAATATAAAATTAGCATGCTACATAGAATCAGGATTAGGTACATATGTTTCTCTACCGTCATGAACTGCCTCGTCAATTTGATTTTATCGGTCTTTTTTTTTTAATTTTTACCATCAACACTTCAGACACAACAACTTGTCAATGGATGTTGATCCTGCACCAAAAGCAACAATCTCAATCAGCATTGTCGATTCATTAACCAGATTAGTAACTTCAGAGTGCAAAAATGTACTGTAGCTGTAGGCATATTTATGATATGTTTGCTTCCAAACGAGAAATTAGGCAATCGATACAAAAATGCACTGTGGCTGTAGCTGTAGACACAGAGTCCAAAAATGCACTGTAGCTGTAGGCACATTTATGATATGTCTGCTTCGAAATGAGAAATTAGGCAATCGATACACAAGGATATGATTAAGTATTCTCCAAGTGAAAAGATTCGTGACGCTATTGTGCCCTGTGTATAATGGCCACAGGAGAAATGCTCTGCCATGAGATATTAACATATACAACCATGCTGGGAAAAAAAAAAAAAACATGTACTATTTTGCAGTTATACAGTAGATTGATGTTTAGTAAGTGTGGTGACAGGTTGAAGGCCATTGTCTTATCATTTCACGAAAAAACTTGCAATCAGAAAAGACCACTCCATGAGTTGCCTTGTGAAATACCAATATGACTAAATCCTGCCCTTACAAGAAGACAAGAAGATGAAGATCATGAAACTTAAGTTCTTTAGACCTGACAGCTAGATCATTTTAATGCAACATGCTCCAAAGTGTCGCCAAACAAAAGTGGCCATTACCATTTCCCAAATTCCATGAGAAGTTCATGCTTGAAGCTCAAAGTTACCAATCATCAAGTAAATATCAACAACAATTTTAATCTATGTGTTTTGAAAGAAAAAAAAGACAAAATATAAGAACATCCAATTAATACTCACCAAAAAAATAAAATAAAATAAATGCTAATGATTCAGAATCAATTAGAAATCTTACCATTTCAGTGTGTTAATGGTGCATCTTGGCATCTCACCACTTTCAGTCTCCTTCAACGTTACACCTCCACACAAAACTTCGACCGCCAGCAACCCTGTCTTCATCCCTTCAAAAGCAATTCCAACACCCGTTTTCACATCCATCTTCACCTTCAATTTCTTGCTCGTGAACTGATCAAGAATCTTCGATCCAATTTCATCCTCGATCAGTTCATTGTTCACTTTTGTCTCAATTTTCAAACTAGTCGTATTCTTGGTTTCCAGTGTGAACTTAGGCAAGCTCGTCGATCCCAAATTCACTTCATCGTCCCCCGCTGTTATTTCCACCTCAGACTCTCCAAACTGATATATAATTTTTTCATTAGGATTACTAACTTCAATTCTTGCAACCATATTGGCGGTAAGGTACGTGCCATCTGATTTCTTGATGACGTTAAAGGTGGAGAATTTAAACGATTGGAGGTGGAGAACGGGGAGTTTTGGATTGAACCAGATGTAAAATAGACCACCTGAGATTACCAGAAGGAGAATGGAGATTATAATGAGAAGGATTAAGCAGCATATGCATAGACGACACCAATGCCTGGACCGCCTTTTCCTTGGCTGGAATGAAGGAGGCAGAGGCAGGGGTGCTTTTGTAGGTGGCGGCCTCGGGGCAGATTTTACTGGAAGATTGGGGTCTCTGTAACCTGGTGGTCTTTGGAGAACCGGTTTCATTGGCTTGTCTGCCATTGATTATAATCTTGAATTTTGATTCTTCTGTTTGTCAAGAAATTAACCGTTAATCAAAAGAATGATTTAACCAGCAAGAAAGGCTAAGACTTACGATTGAAATTCAAATTCCAACAATACATGTCCCAGTTTTAAAAAAAGATTAATCAGTGAAAATGTGAAAGAATTGAAGGGAATATTAGACATGCAACAAAGAAGCAAAATTACCTAGATAGAGAAATTGCAGAAGTAATGTTGATCAGGTTAATTACTTGTTGAGGATTTCAAAATCTGGGGCATGGAGAGATATGCAATGGGATCTGAGAAAAATGAAATTATTGTGAGACAGAGTCACTTTAAATAGGGGGAGGGTGGGGGGCGTTGGGGGAGTGGTCTCCTGTGGAAGCTTGAGGTATCAATGGGAGGAATGAATTTAGCTTTCAAGATTCACGCGCGGCGTCGCACGTGCTGACATGGCGGGAAGGTTTTTGACAGTACTGTAAATTTGTAATTTGCATCTACAGCGGTGAAAATGTTCCACTAGAGACCGGCTGCGCTCTCTGTCGTGTTTTTTTTGCCCCTTTTATGTTTGGTTTGTTAATCTTTTAAGCATGTAAAGAATGTAATTATCAATATACATACATATACATATATATATATATATATATGTAAAGAACGGGGCGATATTGTTTTAATTTGTCTACGTTTGTTTTCCATCGATCATGCATTTGAAATGGTTGTCTGTGGTTTCATCTTGCATTGCTTGGATGAAACAAAAATCAATAAGACATCAGGCAAATTTTGTGGAGGTTGATGGTCCATTTGGCTTTTATTTTCCTTGTAAAAGAATACTGGATATGCTTTAACTATACACTTAGATATTTAATCAGGGATCGCTTCAATCTTTAATACCGTTGGATTTAATTTAGTGATACATTTTTACTGTTTCATTCAAATATAGTGGTTTAACATACATCATTCATGTATAGATAGCGGTATTCTATTTCACCACTTACAGAGTTGTTGTGGTTCAATGTATACATGCTTTCACAAATGTTCATGCACAAGAAAAAACAAATCAGTAATACACTATTGGAAAACTGTTATTTAACGATGGATTATTAAGTGTAATGACGTTGCTAAAAGTGTTTAGCGATAGATTTGTGAGTCAAAAAAACTATTGCTAAAACACTTGTCGCTAACCCTAGTGACGGACAAACAATATCCGTCGCTAAATCTCTATATTCCGTCACTAATTGATCATTGAAAACGTTATCTTTTCACTAAATAATGCATCTTAATTCCCTTATTAAAATCCGTTGTTAATTAACGATCGATATTCCGTTGCTAATATTCGAAACTAATTTCATTGTCACTATTCCGTTGTGATTTTCGTCGCTAAATGTAAAAAAATTACAATGCTAATCCATCGCTAATTTTATTATTATTATTTTTTGTTAGTTTTTAAATTTGTGATATTCTCGATAGTAACTAATAATTAGAACAAATCAGTATTATAAAAATTTAATTTTTTATTAAAATTTTAATCTTATAAATTAAATTTAAATTAACATTAACAAAAAAAATATTCGTTAATACGTAAAAAAAAATAAATAATAAAAATAAAACATCAATCTTGATCATCTATTCACCTATCCCCCTCCCGAGGTTCGTTGGGAGAGGCGATGGGGTCTTGGTCGGTGGGTGGAACCGCAAGCAACCCGGACGTCTAGGCTTGCCTATGCAACATCGAGGCAAGCGACTCATACCGAGAATGCGGCTCTCGTATAGCACTTTATTGTTGGATGACAATGTTATGCGGTTCGTCTTGTTTGAATTGCATCTCCTTCATCGCCCCCTTGTACTCGCCTTTCAACCTCCTAAGAAATATTGCTAGTATGTTGCGATGACACGAAGGACGAGTTGACACCACTTGACCGTGATAAATAATGTGATGTTGTGTGCCTACACCATCTAGCCTATTTTTCTTCTCCCTTTCTATAGTCTCGAGGTATATGATGTTCTTATCCACTTGTGGCTTTAGGATTCCGTCCACTCGTGGCTTCGGGATTCCTTACACTCGTCGCTTCTCAATAACTTCTCTTATAAGTTCGTCAATATGCTCCTGCGTAATCAAAATAATTATAACGTTAAAAGATTAAATAATTTTTTAGATTATATTTACATGTATAAATTTTAAAAATTAAAAACACTTATGATTGTATGTTGGATGCATAAATCAATGAAAGAGCTATCTCGTCGCTTATGAGTGGCCCTAAACAACTCCAAACACATTGGCTCACGCCCTAATTTTTTCGTTTGAAAAAAATGAATCACAAATAATATGAAATACAAATTAAAATTTCTTAAATATTTAATAATACAAGATATAATTTATCAAGCGTCGGGCGTGCTCTTCCAAAGAGATAGACCCTTTTGTATGCACTGGAAGGGTCCGCACCATGGCTATCGATCTCCTACATTTGATTCCGCGATGCCTCGCTTCGAACGAGCCTTGCAATCGGGTGTGGCAAAATCTTGATGCCACGAGTCCTTGACCTCCCGTCTAATGAAATTTGGTCATTCGAGCGACGAACCATAGTTGTAAATGAAGTCGAGTAGCGCTTCCTTGCCGAGCCTCCCAAGCATCTCTAGCTTGCACCTCGATGACCGGATCCTAGTAAAAAGGTTCTGCGCAAATAAAAAAATTAATATTAACTAGTTCATCTAATGTTAAATTAATATTTTAAATATAATAAAAACAAATAAGTGATATGTTATGTTAAACTCACTAAAGTAGAACTGTTTGGTGAGCTCCGAGATGGACTTCCATTCCGACCTACCTACGTCCAACTCGCCTCTTGAAAGTTATGATCATCCTTGTGAAGTAATCTCTACTAGGCGGAATGAAACCGTCGAGCATCACAAAAAATAAAAAAATTCAATAATTATTGAAATGATATATTAAAATAAAAAAATAATAACATTGTCTTTAGAAAATTATATACTATCCATGAGCCACGTAAACATACTATCGACCGGAGGAGCTTTGGGAGCTCTATGGAGTGACGGACACATTGGTGGATGTGGCACTCTCTCGCTGTCTTTGTTGGAACCTCTGTGGCTGGTGCGGGAACCTCTCGTGGGTGGGGGAGCCTCTATGGCCGTAGCTGCACTAGATATGTTAGCTCCGTAAGAGGAAAAGGAAGAACATCCCAAGCCGTGGGAGTCGCCGGACCCACGTACAAAGCCCAAAGTGGAAGATACCCGACTAACGCCGGTAGGGGACCCCGCAGGTTGTCGCCAATCGGGGATGCACACTCACGACTACCGGAATATGATCATGTAGTGATTGTGGGGGGTTGGTCCAAACCACGCATCATAGCCTAAGACATGCATTTTTTCAAAGCATAACGGAATTTCAATTGTATCTTTTTTTTTTTTTGTGAATTCTAATGTATAATAAATACAAGAAGAAAAGAAAAGTAAGCTAATTAATAATTAATCGTTCAAATTTGAAAGGAAATTGCAATTGTAAAATGAGAAATTAAAAGCAAATGGAGGATGTGAAACTATGATGTTACTTTATTTGAACTTGTCCTATGCATGGTTAATTTAATTAGTGGTTGAAACTTTCTCTCAATTGATGAGAGTCTGAGAGTCTAAATTAACTAGCTAGTGATCCCATCTCCTCCTCGATTGTTTTCCTTTAATGGAAATTAATATTAAAAAAACTAGAGTTGTTTTTTGAAAGAATTCTCTCTCTCTCTCTCTCTATATAGTTGAATTAATTCAAAGAAACAAATTAAGTTTATATCATTTAAAACTGAAAAAAGAAGACTGGCCAGTTCGAGAACATCTTCCGTTATAATACATTATTCGTCTCCCGTAGAGTCAGCATACTTTGCTAGTTTGTGGGCTACCAGGTTGCCTTCTCTGTCTATGTGAGAAAGACAACGCTGATGAAAGTGGCCGGTACTAGGCAATGAATGTCTTCAATTATCATACCGAAGTTACGTAGTTAGAAGAGTCTGTCTTCACAAAGGAAATTGCAATTGTAAAATGTGAAATTAAAAATACATCTATTTATGACCTAAGTGGATTGAAGCTTTGAAAGGTTCATTAGTCATTAGTCAATATCTGGGCAGTTTGCAGCCTGTACACAAACATTTCTACAGCACCACCCGTACGTTTTCAAATGTATGCTAACAACTACCCATAACTAAACTAAAAATGCTCATTTTTTTTTTATGATCATATAGTATACGATGAATGAATAATTAAATTAAACACAAGCGTTAATATAAAATTGTTTGAAGTACATAACCTGGAGTAGACAACATGCCTATGATGGCACATAAAAATACAATTATGATTCAAGTTTGGGACTCCACGGCGTGAATATAAAACTAGATGAGACAAAGGTGGTGGCGACAAGTTACAGCTCCCTTTCCTATTGTTCTGGGAGGTGGGTGTGCTGGTGTCAATGGGATGGTCTTATTAAAATCAATCTATTAGAGACAAAAATATTTTGTTAACAATACGCTTTTTTTGCAATGAATTCATCTGGTCACTAAAGTTCAACCTATTAAAGATATAAATATTCAATCAGTAAATGATAATATATTGTATTTGTCACTATATTCAATCTATTAGAGAAAAAAATAGCAATATTGAAATTTTCTCTGTAATTTAGAGATGCTATTATTATTTACATATGACAATATCTCATGATGCGTTACACTCATCAGTCTAAGATAATTTATTAGAGACAAAAGAACTTCATCAGTAAACCTATTTACCAGCTTAGCTACAATTTAGAGAACTAGCTAATTGAAAAACCACAAGACGTGGCAATTTATGAAAGGAACAGCAAATTGAACAGTACATTTACAAGCTTGTCCTTTCGTAATCGTGCAAAGCAAATTTTCTTTATCGCATTTTAATCTATGCAGTCATGAACAGGAATGTAAAAATAAACACAATACATTGTCGTCATTCTACGCTGGAATACCATTATTTCTTGAGGCTGTGTCGAGTTGAATACTGCAAGTTCGTCCACGTGGGACAGGAGCCTCCCTACTGTGTTATCTATCTATCTATCTATTTAGCATGAAAACCAACCACACTATTCAAAAAGCGAGAAATAGTTGGACTTAAATCCTTGAATTAATTTCATTAACGCTCCGGTGCCACGAAATATTGCTGGCAGTGACACAGGAAGTTCGGTCTTTGAATCCTACTTTACTTGGTTTGGTGATTCGGCGAGGTCGGTGTTTGAGAAGCTCCAATTTTGTGTTGGAGTGCTATCAGGCCTTTTCAACGATAAAATTTAACTTAAAGAATGATTCTTTTTTTTACTTATAACCAAATATGTATAGTTTTTTTCTATAATCAAAATAAAATATCATAATAATTTTTGTTTTCACACATCAGATTTTAAGTTGATTTTTATCAATTTATATGAAACAGACATATGAAATATTATTTAATTTAAATTTCGTTATTAGCATTGGCTGTTAATAGATTCTCATCCTAAAATCTAATTAAAAAGATGAAAATTTTCCTAATACTTGGAACTATTCACCCAATTTTTTCTGTGACCTATGTTAGATAACACCATTTTTTTTCCCGCTACTATAACAATGTGCGAAGTTGTCATTAGATGAATTGTCTTTTCGTTCTCTTGGTGTCCGTGATTATATGAGCTGAGTTCTAGCTCGTGAACCAGACAACTTGTCACAAACTAACCAATGACGCCTTATATAAATGAACTGATCGTAACCGGGAAAAATCTCTACAATAAAAACGAAATGAGGACTTTAATTAATCAACTCGAAAAGCACATAAATTCTCATAAATTCGCTTCGATATTTCAAGGGTCCAGGTTCAGTGCTGATAATGGTTCGAAAAAAAAATGCAGCGCAGCAAAAATACAAAGGCAACGTCAATCTTGGAACGTGACGTTGCCCACCCAACGCTTTGTCCAATTATAATAGCTACGATTTGCCCCCTTAACCAATGATTCACTTCGTTCCAATTTCCAAATCCCACCATAAGTTGGCGGTACTGAAAATCAGTAATTGTCAAGGGCCACGTATGAGATACGGATGGCAGATGGGGTCTGACCATCTGAGGACTTAGGTTCTTAGTCACTTATTATTATTATTCTTTTTTTCAAATTTTAGATTTGAGGTTCTCGAGTAACTTACTAGCAAGCAAAACGAAGAGTTTTCACCTTGCTCCTTAAATCATTTCTCAATTGTTTCCGGAAAAAGCTGAACAATCCCATAATTTAAATAACCCAACCAGAATTTAAAATAATCGAAATTCATTCCTTCGAATATTGGAAAAGAGAGAGATGTGTAAATATTAAATAAACTGATAAAATTGCATATTCAGTAAGATTAATTAAAAGCACAAGTAACATAACCTTAAATCAGACAATTCAACCAATTCTATCACTTTAATCTATAACATAACAAAATCTATATCCAATTCAGACTTTCTTGAATGAATCTTAAAAATCCAACCTTAGTATTTTAAAAAATACAAGAATGATTGAAATCTAACAAAGCATCCTTAAATTAAGGAAAATTTTTGAAAACAAGTCTCGCTTTCGAAAAAAAATGAAGGAAAAAAAATATTACATTTCTTTTAGCAGGACACGGAGGAAATTTATTCTCAAGCATTTTGATCTTCGCATCTCTCTCCCTTATCTCGTCATGTACATTTCCTTTGTACGTTTTTTTTTTCCTTCTAACAAATCAAGAATTAAATATTTTTTTTCTACCATAAAAAAAAATCTCACCAATTTTTCAACTATAAAAATTATGCGGGCTAATCTTATTATTTTTTTTTTCACCATTTTTCCAAATCAGTTCAGTGGAGTCAACTGCCGATGAGAACCATGGAGGGGAGCTGCAAACCGTGGGCTGAACAGTGAAGGAGCTGGAGACCCATTGAACATTCAAGGAAACCATTACAAGGGTTAGCGCCGAAAAGATTAAAAAGGCTTTAAATGGGCTTGTTGAAGAAATATGGGCTGCTCAGGCATCTAAGGGGCCGGCCAACAAAGAAATGGATCTGGTGAACATCATGATTTTGGGCCGAGACTGATTGAAAGGGTTTTGACCCAATTAATTCAAGACTTTATAGGTGGTTGATAGAACTTTTGTCCAAATTTATAGTTGTATTGTTCTATGTCAGATTTATAAAATTGAGGAGAAATGATTTAATTCTAGTTTAATTATCGTGCGGAATTCTACGACTCTACGGTGGACACTTAATTCTACTGTACTTTCAAAAACATCTAATCAATATATTTTTTGAAATTTTAGTAGAATTTTCTTCTTCATTTCTTTCAAGAACCTCTCCAACTTATTAAGAATTTTATGTTTTTGCAATATTCACATAAATTTATCATTCTTAATGCCTTTTTGCTAACCACCACCTCAAAAAAAAAAATCCAAATGGCGAGTCAGATTGTAAATTTATAATTAATAATCCATGAAGATGAAGGACTAAGCGGGCGGCTAATGGGCTCCTCTAGGAGACGGGCCATGTATGCTAGCCTCTGCCTGTCGCACTTCCCCCGTAAAACACTCTGATGTCTAAACAATAACGACGTCGTATCTGTTGAATAATCAATACAGGAAACATCCCGTACTTCTTCCTATTCTCTCTCTCGTGCGGCTCCGTCCCTGGTGGCAAAGATGGAGTTCGTGAACCCTGAAGGTCTTCGTCTGGACGGTCGCCGCCCCATGGAAGTACAGTCCACTTCTCTCTATCTTTTTATTTTGCTTCACTGCTCTCTATCTTTCTCTTTTGCTTCACTGCTTCTTCTTTGTCTTTTCTTATTTTATTTTCCTTACTGATTTCAGATGAGGCAACTTAGAGCAGAAATCGGTGCCGTAGCGAAGGCAGACGGGTATGTTTGACATTTCTAGCCACTTCATAAAATTTCAGCTTCTTAAAACAAAAGAAAAAAAAATGAAGTGAAAAACTATCTTTTGTTTTGTAGTTCTGCTGTTTTTGAGATGGGTAATACTAAAGTAATTGCTGCCGTTTATGGACCCAGAGAGGTAACTACTTACTCCTTTTATATTAACTTTAATCTCTCTTTGTTAATTAGGTATTTGCTTCAGCATAGTCTACTTTTTGTTATTTTCAGGTTCAAAATAGGAGCCAGCAGATTAATGACCAAGCATTGGTAAAATTCTTTTATTATGATTTCTCTTATGCTTGCGTGTTTAATTCTCATATTAATGAAAATGCTTGTGTAATTAATGTGTATTTTAGGTGCGGTGTGAGTACAGCATGGCTAATTTTAGTACGGGAGATCGGAGGCGAAAACCAAAGGGTGACAGGTAAACTAAACTGTTATTTTTTTGAAAATCTTCTGCTTGATTCTGCCTTTTTTAGAGTTTTGGAACTGGTTGTTGTATGAGATTTTGAACCAGCTATTTGCAAGTAGGCAATCCAAGTAAGTTGAAGTCGACATGTTGACTTCTCCGCTATCTCTGACAATGCACTTCGGATTTGTTGTGTCTGTTATTCTAAACTACCAATATCACCTGTGATAATGCCATTTCCATTAGTACAAATGGTTGGCTCGTGTCAGTGATGTGTTTTATCGTTGCTAGTATTTTTTATTGGTTCCAAGAATCACAATATATTCTGCACTTCAAATCGACACTAATATATGACATTGTTGGGGTATTTTGATTTCTCATAGATGAATGTTTTCCCAGGCGATCAACAGAGATTTCGTTAGTTATTCGTCAGACAATGGAAGCATGCATATTGACGCATCTAATGCCTCGCTCTCAGGTCTTTCTGCAGCTGCTTGACATCTCTCCCCTACTCCAGTGGATGCTGATTATTCTTCTTGTTTTTTTTTTTTTTTTCCAAACTAAATTGTGGTCAGTATATTTTGCAGATAGATATATATGTACAAGTCCTCCAAGCTGATGGTGGTAATGTCAATCATTTATGAATACCCTGTTCGCTCAGTTCATTTTATCAGCACATGAAGTATTACTCGTTCTCTTTTCCAATTTTTAAGAGAAAATGTCTCTAAATTCAGGCCATAAAGGTAGAAATTGCTGATATTGTTACCGATTTTTCAGTACATGGTCTTTACCATTGTGACCTACCTGCTGGCAACTGTTTCATGATGATCATGCCTGCAGAATTGATGGTTACACTGCAACAAACTTTCAGGGACATTTTTTTTTTTTTTTTACTTTTCTGCATTTGAAAACGAAGCATAGATGGTGTTAAATAAACCGAAAGCATGAAAGAGAGGCAAGAGAAGAATATTGGAACAAGTCAGACCTCTTCTCCTTGTCTCCGATTGAAATAGAATACATCATGGATATATTTTCTGTCTTGCAAATCTTAATCTCTTACTCACCAAACCCCAAAACGGCCAACACAAATTATGAGTCAAATCAATCAATCTCGTGCCGGTGCAGAGAGGCATGAACTTTGGAAACATCCACTGTTTTCTAAATAAGCTAAGGCATGAGGAGCCTATTTCTCGTAGTAGTTGTTGTTGCACAATTACTGGAAATTTTTCAGATGCTTCACTATCTTGCTATAGTTTTCGCATTCAAGATGGAAAATTTCTGTCCTTCATTAGGCCATATGTTGTCTGCAGGAACTAGATCTGCATGCATCAATGCTGCAACTTTGGCCTTAGCAGATGCAGGTATCCCAATGCGTGATCTTGTTACTTCTTGTAGTGCTGGATACCTCAATAGCACTCCTCTTCTTGGTGAATTATTCACTTCTCTCATTTGAATGTGCAGTTTTCTTTCTTTCTACACTGATTGATTTTATCACATTGAAGCTATTTATTTTGTGGACCCAGATTTAAACTATGTTGAAGACAGCGCTGGAGGTCCTGATGTCACAGTTGGAATTCTACCCAAGTTGGACAAAGTGACACTTCTTCAGGTTTTTATACTAGTCTCTATTTCATCTAATTGTCCTGGTTAACTTAAAACCCTTTGTTTCTTCCATGGTGATTTTTATTGTGAAAGGTTTTGATTTCAACAAATATGATCTGAAAGTTCCATTAAGGAAGTTACTCTCGAGTTGTGATAACAAAATTTGTGGAGTGCAAAATTTCTACCAAAAGTTGCTGTGTCATTTCTTTTCCTTCTAGCCAGCTATTGTCACCCTTCTATCCCCTCTAAATCTTCTTCAGGGATAAAAGGGAAAAGTAAGATGAAAGAAAACACCAAATGGCCCTTGCTCTCATAGAATGATCTTTCCCACTTTTTTTGGATACAGTTGCCAGAGTATGCTTCATGATTCCACCTCCATCACTTTCTTTTCTAATATAACTTCTGCAATGTTTTGGTCAGCATGATCTTGTTCTTCAACTCCACTGCTAGCGTGGGAATTAGGAAGACTTTTAGCAAATCTTTCTCCTAGACCCCTCATTTATGGTGTTCTTTAATGCAGATGGATGCTAAGCTGCCAATTGATATCTTTGAGAATGTTATGCAACTTGCTGCTGAAGGCTGCAAGGCAATAGCAAATTACATTCGTGAAGTAAGTGATAGCTTGAATAATGATTGAATGATCTATGCATCTTATCCATGCCTCATGAAATTTATATGTTGGCATGCATCTTAAACATGCACAGTTTATCTGAACTATTTATTGTGTGCCTTTTGGCAGGTATTGCTAGAGAATACCAAGCAGCTGGAGTATCGACGGGGCCTGTAGTTCATAAACCGGTTAAAGGTTCCAGTCCACGACTATCATATATATGCTTGTAACTTGACAAAAAGGAGAATGAGGGCTAACAGTATCTCGTTTTTTGTTGTTTGGGTATTGGTGCTCATATCCAAGCCCCAGGCTTTGCTTGGTTGTTGTTGGACTTTCAGTTGTCAAGTCATCATTTGTTGCAGATACCGGCGTTGCCATCTCTCAAGTAAATGAACTCCATTAATTTGCTGAAGACCTAGCTTACTGGGAGAGATTGTTGCCAGCATGTTTGTATTTGTATTTTCATTTGTTGCTGGAAATGCTTAGTTTGACCAGAAACATTGAATTCGTGCCTTATACCATAATTTTTAAATTATTGATACACTACAGTAAATTTGGTTGATGCACTACAGTAAATCTGGTAAGGTGTGAGTATGATTTTTAACGAGGTGGTACGGTTGTGTCAACCTAGTGAAGGAATCCCTGAATATATATCTAGAAAATGAAAACAAGTAATTATGAGACTGATTGCATGAAAGCCACAAACAGTGATGGCTATATTAAGGCATGGTGAACATAGCTACAAATTATTTGCAGAAATATAGGAACATGTTGAACATCGCCACGACTGTTTTAAAGTTAAGATAATTCTTGACCCTGCAGCTATATACTTGGCAAAATGATGCATGCTTGGCGTACTGTACGTAGCACGAAAACAACACGATTACTTGTTGTTCGAGGGATTGCGAGTGCATTTGTCGAGTTTCGTTTTTCGGTTTTCGGTTGAGCTTCTGCTTCCTCAAGCTATTTTCTTCATATATGCGTTTATAAGCAACAATCAAAGTGGCGCAGCGGAAGCGTGGTGGGCCCATAACCCACAGGTCCCAGGATCGAAACCTGGCTTTGATATCAAAGTGGCTTTCAGCGTCCATATGATTTTCTTTTCATTTTTTTCCCATGGACTTAATTACAGCGAATTTTATCAAACTTCTATTATCTTTTTCCTTTTGCTATTTCTTGAATAATAAAAGAACAAAAATGATGATAAAATTGATGAAAGATTTGTGAGAAACTAATTGATTTAACAGTTTTTCCACTCAAATGACCCCCACACACATATATAGCCGAAAAAAAAAATTGCAAAGCATGTGCTTTGCTATTTTTTTAATTAATAATTAAATAGTAATAAAAATTTGAAAGGAAAAAAAAATAATCATTTAATATTTTTTGTTAACTGTCATGTCATCAGTAGATAGAAAATTGAACAGAAAAACTTGATTAATATTTTTAAAAATATTAATATACTAAAATAAAAAAATAAAAATTAATATAATCGATTGAAAGAAGATTCAAAATTATGTATTTATTAAGTAGTTTTCCTTTATTTGGCATATTGTTGGGTAAGTATCTTGTGCACCATGGGTATATCAAATCCAATTTTGATGGTGGTAACGTGAAAATCATTATGAATACCCTGTTCACACTTTGTTCATCTTATCAGTACATGAAGTATTACTCATTCTCTTTTCCAATTTTTAAGAGAAAAAGCCCCTAAATTCAGGCCATAAAGGTAGAAATTGCTTATATTGTTACCAATTTTTCAGTACATGGTCTTTACCATTGTAAGCTACCTGCTAGCAACTGTTTCATGATGATCATGCCTGCAGAATTGATGGTTACACTGCAACAACTTTCATGGACATTTTTTTTTCAACTTTTCTGCTTTTGAAAAAGAAACATGGATGGGATTAAATAAACCGAATGCATGAAAGAGAGGCAAGAGAAGAAAATTGGAGCAAGTCGGACCTCTTCTCCTTGTCTCTAATGGAAATAAAATACATCATGGATACATTATCTGTCTCGCAAATCTTAATCTCTTACTCACCAAACCCCAAAACGGCCAACACAAATTATGAGTCAAATCAATCAATCTCGTGCTGGTGCAGAGAGGCATGAACTTTGGAAACATCCACTGTTTTCTAAATAAGCTAAGGCATGAGGAGCCTATTTCTATTAGTATTTGTTATCGCACAATTACTGGAAATTTTTCAGATGCTTCACTATCTTGCTTTAGTTTTCGTATTCAAGATGGGAAATTTCTGTCCTTCATTAGACCATATGTGGTCAGCAGGGACTAGATCTGCATGCATCAATGCTGCAACTTTGGCCTTAGCAGATGCGGGTATCCCAGTGCGTGACCTTGTTACTGCTTGTAGTGATGGATACCTGAATAGCACTCCTCTTCTTGGTGAATTCTTCACTTCTCTCATTTGAATGTGCAGTTTTCTTTTTGTTCTACACTGATTGATTTTATCATATTGAAGCTAACATTTATTTTCTGGACCCAGATTTAAACTATGTTGAAGACAGTGCAGGAGATCCTGACGTCACAGTTGGAATTCTACCCAAGTTGGACAAAGTGACACTTCTACAGGTTTTTATATGAGTCTCTATTTCATCTAATTGTCCCGGTTAATTTAAAACCCTTTGTTTCTTCCATGGTGATTTTTATTGTGAAGGGTTTTGATTTCGACAAATATGATCTGAAAGTTCCATTAAGGAAGTTACTCTCGAGTTGTGACAACAAAATTTGTGGTGTGCAAAATTTCTATCAGAAGTTGCTGTGTCATTTCTTTTCCTTCTAGCCACCTTTTGTCGCCCTTCTATCCCCTCTACGTCTTCTTCAGGGGTAAAAGCGAAAATTAAGATGAAAGAAAACACCAAATGACCCTTGCTCTCATAGTATGATCTTTCGCACTTTTTTTGATACAGCTGCCAGAGTATGCTTCATAATTCTACCTCTATCACTTTATTTTCTAGTATAACTTTTGCAACGTTTTAGAACATGAGAATCTATACTCTGTGTTCAGCATTATCTTGGTCTTCAACTCCATTGCTAGTGTGGGAATTAGGAATCTTGCTTTTAGCAAGTCTTTTACTTTATTATGCTTACTGGGAGAGATTCTGGCCAGCATGTTTGTATTTGTATTTTCATTTGTTGCTGGAAATCCTTAGTTTGACCAGAAACAAATTGTTGATACACTACAGTCAATTTGGCAAGGTGTGAGTATGATTTTTAACGAGGTGGCACGGTTGTGTCATGGTTGTCAGTAACCTAGTAAAGGAATCCCTGAATATATCTCTAGAAACTGAAAACAAGCAATTATGAGATTGATTGCATGAAGCCACAAACAGTGATGGCTATGTTAAGGCATGGTGAACGTAGCTACAAATTATTTGCAGAAATATACGAACATGTTGAACATCGCCACAGCCGTTTTTAAGTTCAGATAATTCTTGACACCGCAGTTATGTAGTTGGCAAAATTATGCATACTTGGCGTGCTATGCATAGCACGAAAACAACACGATTACTTGTTGTGTTAGAAGAAAGATAAAAGAGAGAATCGGGAAGGAAAATGAAAGAGGCAGAAGACTGAATGATGGTTGCTAAAAGGATTAGAGTTATGTTTATAAGAGGGTGGTCTTGTCATTATAAAAGTTATAATGGCGAACTTCCTACAATTTGAACATTTTTCTTTTTTCTGAAACCTAATTTTTGAAAAGGAAATCAAAATACAAGATTTTTTTTATAAATAAAATTAAAATTTATTGAATATAAAATGTAATTTTTGAAAAGTAGAAATACAAAGTACTGTTGCTTCCAAAACAAGTGTTTAGCATAATTTACACTATTTCTTTTGACAAACTATGCTATATATATATATATATATATATATATATATATATATATATATATATTGCGTCCTAATTTCTTTATAGAGGATTTTTCTTTTATTCCCTTAATTACTTTTGATTCTTTTTTAAAGGATTCTTCAAAATAGTATTATTCTTTTTTGGCAGACTTTGCTAATACTAAAAAGAGAGAGATTTATTCGACCAAAAAAAAAAAAATCATAAAATGATTAATTTCTATTTAGATCACATAAAATTAATTTTTAAAAATACAATGATTCATAAATAATAAAATGCTAATCCTGCTATTAATTTTGTACTAGAAGTTAGTAAAGATTTGAGTACAAATAGATTTTATTTGAATAAACAATTAAATAAGAGAAAAGAATCTAGGAGTATTATAATGACGATAGTAATTGTGTAGAAGAATACATTGTAATTTCATATATTAAAACATAAATATTAGGTGTGGTATACTGAATAATATGCATCTTTTATTTTCTCTTGAACTTTTGCGAGAGTTTTCAACTGTAGATATTTTCTAAATTTAAATAATCAAAAAGAAATTTTAAAAATTATTGGAATATTTATATCATTTATTATTTTAATATTTGATTATATTTATTTTAATCATATTATAAACTTAATTTTATTTCAAATTTAGTTATCGAGGTATTAAAAAAAAATTACGTAGAGGATATGTAAAATATTTATTGGTGCTAGTCATATAGGATACGAAATCAAGATAACTCCCGACATATCATATTTATATTTTAATATTTGATAGTTTTTAATTTCAACATAAATCAAATTAACTTAAATTTTAAATTGAAAATGCCAAAATACTTTTTTATATTTTTAAATAAAACAACTGCCCACGTGCATTGAATAAAAAAAAAACCCTTTTTATTTCTTATTTTTAATTAAATCTCACTATCCAATACATAATTATTGGACTAAGCATATGAGACTTAGGTTGATCTAAGCCGAAAACAAAGCTACGTCAGTATAACGCTTTTTAAAACACTTCAGTAGTGCTTTCAGATTGAAATCCAAATAAGAAATTAGAGCACATGGAGCCATCTTCTCATCTTTCTGTTAAGAAAATTATGGTAGACTAATGGATTATTTATATTAGTTAATGAAAGAGCCCAAAAATCATTCAAATTAAAAACAGGAGCTCGTTGCTGTTTTATTTCTCCACATGAGTTTTAACGTACTGAGTGGTAATTTAGTATCGATGGATCTTACAAGAGCACCAAAATGAGAAGGGAATGATGATTAGTTTGTTTCCGAAGGGTATAGCATAATGGGCTTCTACTAGAAATGCATGCGACTTTTATCCATTATCGGGTCCTTCTGATCCAAAACTACAAGTTTAAAGGATAAGGACTTGGGAATTGAATAGGAAATTTTTAACATTTGCAAGGCCCATCATCCAAGAAAAAAGAAGACTGGGAAAAAAATGTCGAAGCTTGATGATTCGATTGGCAGTAGAACATCATGCCTCAAACAATGCTAAATTCCTCGATGGTTTTTCTTCTAACATTGCGGAACTCTGGATGAATTGATTGGTAGATCTCACTAGTAGCAACCTGATTGGTGATATACTATCACGGAATGTGTAGACATAGCATGGGTTGCCTTTACCTTTTTTTTAAAAAAAAAAAAAAAGAAAGAAAGAAACAGAGAGGTTTCAATAATTGGTACAAAGCAGGTCACGATTCTTTTAAAAAAGAAAAAAGAAAAAAGAAAAAAGGCAAATAAAAAGCAAGCTATTACAACATTAAGCAGTGCGATCGTTTCCTCCTGAAAATCAATTCTAAATCTCAAAGACCTCCTCTCTGAAGATCAAAGTGTTCACTACAAAAACTTGAAGGCACAGCTGAGAGTTCCAAACGCCCTGTCCATTCCTCACCTGGCTTCAAGGTGATAGGTTTCTCAATCACTGCTCCATCAACACATAACATCTGTTTGTACTCGTCGTCGCCAAAATCAGCCATCGCTTTTGATTTCTTCTCCCATGGATTCCACACCACTGTTTGTAGGCATGAATAATCGCAAAGAAACAAGAAATGTTACAACCCAAAGCTTGGAATACATGGAGGGATCATACAACTTTCTACTCCTATACAAAATTGTGCAGATGCATATGACTGACTCCTGTATAGTTTTAAACACACTTACCAACGTCTGGCAGTCCTTCCTTTCTAATAACGTATGTCCGCTTCCTCTCATGATCGAGGACTGCAATTGCATTGGGACAACTTAGATAAACTCGATCCACCTGCCAGATAAATCCAGACAGTAAAGAAATAAGTTTAAGAAAGGAAGAAGTGAAAAAAAGCTAAAGAAGCCAATGTATTGCCTCCCTAGGAAAAAAAAAAAAAAACTATGCAAGTAACTGACAAAAAGTGTTAAACTGGGAATTTGTATTGCACCATATTGCAAGCAACAAGCATGAACCTGAGCAAAATGTATTTAAAAGAAATTTAGAATTGAAAAAACTAAATCAGAATCAAAATTGACATAAAAGTTTCTACAAGAAATTTAAGCAGGAAAGATTTTAGGGAAAAAAGTGAAACTTAAATGTATGGTTTCTTTGTTGTTTCCATTTAAGACACTCTGCAGTGAGAAGAAATATGAACAAACACAAAATGTTTGGAAAATAACTGCTTATATCTTTTACACTTATACTAACTGATGTTGATAGATATCTAATTATTTGTCTTGGGAAGTGAAAAATTTCACTTCTTTTCAGATGAATGTTGAGCAGAAATTGCATGAAAATGCACATTAAGGCATTGAAGTACAGCTCCAATTGTATAGACTGCAGCGGGAAAAAATTCAGAAAAAAGGATTCAGCTGCTCTGTCAACTTAAGTACCAATTTCATCCATTTGTCTTTAACAAGGCCACAGGAGTAAATTAAAATTAAGAGTCGAATTTACCTCATATTCAAAAGTGAGGGCATCTCCTTGTTCTGTAAATCGTTCTCTTTGTTGGAGTTTGTCTAGGTAGTCCAGTGTTTCCAATCCTTCTATACGCACTTCACTGAAATAAAGATTCACTTCTGAGTAGGTCGAATTCCAAACAATGCATTTTCCAAAGGAAGCACTTGTTGTAATCCGGTGAAAAACCTTAAGCAAGCTAGGCTACTTTTTAATGGATTCCCAACGCAAGAATCATTTTCATAGAACACATATTTTTGGTAATAGATTTGCTAAGCTTTTTGGTTATTTCTGATAGCTAAGCAATAGATATCTGATTGGGATCGTAGAGAAATTTACGTTGTCTTTCATTTCTGAAAAAGAAAAAAAAGTTGTGCTTTCATTATGGAGTTACCACATTTTCGGGATGAAGAAATCTTTTATGTGCAAAATCAATCTGCAATACACCAAATTCTATTGATTTTTGAAAAATTGTTTAACTAAACAGATAAAGCACAATTTTCCATAGTTACAAAACCTCTGGAAACCAAGCATTTTTTTTTTTTAAAACGAAAACCTGGAAAAGCTCAAAAAGAAAAGGGTATTTCCAAATTTTCCATTTCAGAAAAGGAAGTCACGATTTGGCTCTCTTGCTTTTTATGCTTTCTTTTCTAATACATAAATATTTTATCCTTCTCTAATTTAAAGGCCAACCAAACAAATTCATGCTTTCTATTCTTGAGCAGGATCTGCTTTCTATATTAGCAACAAAAGGATAGAAAAAGAGAAAAAAATTTCCCACAGGTGAATGGATGCTAAAAAGCCTTAACCTTTTGGTTATGACATTTGGGTAAATAAACTTTGTACCTTATGTCAGAAACTGACAAATATGTGTGATATGCAAACGAGAAACTGAACGGTTTTCCATTTATGTTCCGAACTCTTGATGTCAATGTCAAGTCTCCATTTGCTGCAAGTGACACCCTAAGACGAAACTCAAAACTGAAACGGAAAGCAACAGAGACTTATCAGCAGACACTTATCGCTTCAAACTTAATGCAAGCACAGAGATAGGTTCAGCTCTTATTGTAGTTGTGCATGTGATTTGAAGGATTCTGCTGTGTTGGCCTCTTCAGCCTGAACTAGCCCAAACAGATTATAATTTTGACTTTTGAGATTCAATTGCAACAAAAAAAGGCTAACTGTTGAAAACCACTAATTCAAAAATTATGTACAGCCCGTGCACAAAATACCAATAATCCAACAACAAATTGAAACTAAAATCTTAGTCATGAAAAATAAGAAACTTAGTTTTGTTATTCACAATAAAACAATTCTATGAGCATAACTAGTAAAATCATGACTTATCACGATTGGAATATCCTTATCTCTGATGCCACAAATTGAATTGCACATAATGAAATAAAAACGCTAAGCTCATACCTATGAGGCCAGCACTTCAGGTCTTCTTCAGACGGTTTAAGCAGTAAATCTATGAAGGATTTTCCACGGGAATCATTGGGATGCAAAGGAGGAGGATTGTCATCCACTGTCCAAATCTTGCTCCTAGCAAAACCATGCTGCTCCAGAGATCCGCAGTTTCCAAACTTCACAAGCATTAAACTAACTTACGTAAGCAAAGATATGTTCGCTATTTGAAATTTCATGCATATAAATGAGGAACATGATGGGAGTACCTGTGGAAAACAAATAGGGATCCCTCCGCGCACTGCTTTTGGAGGCTTAAAGATCGCCTACAATAATTGAAAAAATCACATAATTGAATAAAATCTACTAATCAATCCATTCCCATCTGCAGGACTCTGGTATGATAGGCCAAGTCTAGGATAGCCTGTTTGGAAACTAAAAATTAGCATCAATTCAATGAAGCTGTCAATGTCAAGCATTTTCGTGCAGCTAAACTGCAATTCAAAATCGAGTTAGTCTCATATGTGAATACGTTCAGATGGTTCCATGAATTTAAATAGTCAGATCTACGCATGAAATGTAAGCTCTCGTGCAGTTAAAATGAAAGAAAAGGGGGGAAAGAAGAAGAAGAGCTCCAAGTCTGCCTCTTTTCTCATTTAGATTCGAGTATAACATTTGACAACGACAGCTGTAAAATGACAAATTGCCTTATTCAGAAGCACCATTGACCTAAGAAAACAGTGCAGGATTGTTAATATTTTGCAAAAGCACACACCTTACTGCTTGTGAATAGAAGTTCTTCCCCTTGCTCATTCCTCCATGAAACAACTTGCCCTCCATGCAGACTTACCTATTTTCATAAAATTAGGAGTCATGAAAGGGCATACCTCAACAATCAAATTTATCAAGTTATCCGCCGATTAGAAAACAGATACCATCTATCTCCTTTACAGTAAAAATTTTCTTTATTACGCATTCGTTGCTTTAACAAAACAGCCGTGAAAAAAAAACGAATTAAGAGAATCTCACCCGTGCAGACGCCCCTTGTGGGTTTCGAAGAACGACCTGGTCCATACCGTTCCAGTCTTTGGTATGCTCAATGGCTGCTCTATAATCCCATACAGCTGCAGAGTGCCCCATATTACAAAAAGACTAACTCAAAAGATTCTACTTCTATACCCACTCGTTGCAATCCAAAGACACTCCAAATAGACTTCTAAATCTCTAGTTAACCCTCCCCAATCACCAAGAACGGCAGCACTCTCTGTTCCAGTGAATTAAAGGAAACAAAAAGGTCCCTTTTGAGACAGTTGAAAATATCAGCAGATATTTCTGAAGTGCTGTGAGTTCAAATCACATGTACCTTAAATCTAGAGAACGGTATTACTAATTTCCTTCATATGCTAACATCTAAGAAAGATATTGAGATCCCTAGAATTCACAAATAAAGCCAGAAAATGAAACATTTGGCAACAACATAGGCCAACACCTATCTAAACTGATGAAGGAATCACCAAAAGCATGACACATTTACACCAGAAGAAGACAATCAAAAGATAAGACTAATTAAAGTGAAACTTCTAACTTTTTGTGAAATATTTTCTCTGAGTTTCAACCGTGTCTTACGAAAAACAAAAGAAAGGAGGACCCATTTCCCAACTAGAGGATCCAAAACACAAAATCTCACCAAAACAGTCTATTAATACTATATAATAATTACTAAATCAAAACCCAGAATAGTTAAGCAACTAAAACCCTTAAATTTCAAACGTTGATCCTTTTTAAGACTTTCCCAAATGCATAAAAAACTTCAACTTTGACATCATAACAATACCCCATTAAGAATAGGACTAATACATACATGGCCAACAATACAAGTATTTTTAAACGCTTCACTAAAACTGAGAATAGAAGGGACAAAACGCAAAGAGGAAGCAAAGGGTGTAAGCACCTACGAGAAGAACTGAATTTTAAAAGGATAATTATGTGTATTTATTGCGTGATTAGTCAGACAAAACTGTTTAGTTTTTTTTTTTTTTTTTTTTTAAGTTGCAGAGATCTAGGACGTTGAGATACGAGAAGTACACGTACTATGCACAAACGGTCAAAACTTAAAAATGGGAATTTTGAGATTCAGACAATTTTAATTCAGTATTTTTTTACTATAAAAAATATATACTTTTCTGAAGGAGAGCCCCCCACTAGGCACAATCATTCTTTATCAGCTTGAAAATGATGTATGACTGTGGGCCAATTTTGTGATTCGATCATTTGCATCATCTAGCGGATGATGTTTGACAATAGCACTGCCTTTTTGAAACAAATTTCGTTTTCAAAGGTTTGACTCCTCTTTTACCTCTTTTTCCAAATCTTAAACTATAGATTCTGTTTCTCCCCTGAACTCTGCACCTCAAGATAAGCCTATGGAGAATACATGCTCATGCTCATCGAGTTATCCATCCAATTTTGCGATTCATAAGATTTGCCCCAACCGGAATTTATCAAGGATAGCCCATGCTGAATAATTTTGTTTCTTTTAACAGTAAGAGGGACTCTGGAATTAACTTTGGATATATTATATTTTTGCATGAGCTGGTCTTAAATAATTATTGACAAATTAACAGAATCTTAAATAAAAATTTCAATAATCATAATTGGTTTGAAAATATACTCTAAATAATCACCAATTAATTGATGAACTATCCGAATCTATATATTCCATTTTTTGACTTCTTGAATTCATAAATTGAAATCAACCTTCGTACTTTTGCAAACATAATTTATCATAATACAAAATACAAATAAAATCTTTAAGTACCTTTCACTATTTATTTATTTATTTAAATTCAACTTGATGTTCTAGTAGGGGGGTTGCGGTTTTCTTTTCTGGGTGATTTGAATTTGAGCACTTTCAACGATCTAAGTTGTACTACTATTTTTTATTTTTATTTTTCCATTACATGATACCATTAAATCAAAATCTCATTGCTGAACGCTTCCAATTTCGAAGTGCATGAACGATGGCAAGAAAGGGGAAGAGACGTGTCGTACCAATATAAGCAACCAAACTGACAACTTTAAAATAGTGGGTACTTTAGTCGTAATAATCAGTCAACTATTAACGTCAGATTAGGAATTAAGGAGGCAAACAAAGTAGTGCTAAAACGAGACCTCCAAGTCACGGTGAGGCGAGTGCATGCGAGAGGAGAGGTTGGGACGTAACATTTCTACAGATGGGACTTGGCCACCTGGGCTCATGGTCATGGGTGGTGGATGGGCATCAAAGCAATGGTTAATCGAAGGGGAGACAATCAGACAAAGCCAGCAATTCTTTGCCTAAGGATTATATTTTTTTTTTGGATATTGCGTGGGCCTCCTAGGTTGTTCTTCCAGTACCCAGTTAATGTAAGGAATGAACTTTTTAGTTATGGAGCCCATGGATTTCAGATGGTCCAACCCATATTGCGTGATGGGGTTTCACTTTGCGTTTTTTTTTTTACTAGGTTTCTGTATGCCTGTTGCCTTAGGGCAGCAAGTTGATTTTGGGCGCTAGGTTTCTACCAATGTTAATCCCATTTAATTTCCTGATTTGGTCTTTTTGTGGTTTTGGACTTCAAATCCGAAAGTTTACTATTATCGGAATAGATCATCTTACCTTTTATTTGCATAATATCTCTTCTTGTACGCAAGGAAAAGTTTTTAGCCAGTGGTTCCATCATCCACTGAAAAGAAATATCGACGTTTAATGCTCTGAACTTTACATTTTAAATTTATCTTGATCACTGCAACTCAGACTAAATTTTTTTGTTGTATTTATGACAATCATTTGCCTAAAATCAATCGTGCCAATCTTTTAGAATTTTTTTATAACAAAAAAAAAATTGATAAATTTTTTGTTACCTAAGTATTTAACAAAATGAAAAGGGAATTTTATCAATAATAATAAAGAAAGAAAAAGTAAAAAAGAAGCTACTAAAAGAGAAAGAAGAAAAGAAAGATTATCTTATAACTCACCAAAGACACAAGAAAAACTAGTATGACCATTGTCAAATCGACGAAAGGGAGGGATAGAGTTAATTCTTCTTCTTTAACTTGTGATTACGGATATTAGAATTTAGAAGTTCGATTAACTGAGGCAACACACATTTTGCATGAAGAGAGAGATCCACAATTAAATTACAAAATTATCATTGATTAAGTATTAGAATTTTTTTCTTTTCTTAATTCTAAACTAAGACCAATTTTATCATTTTCTAATGCCTTTGAATCATCCCCAAATGTATATTTTCATAATTTGAGATATCTGAATTGTCTAATACTGGCATTCTAGGAATTGACCCAAAAAAAAAAAAAAACTTATTCAACTTGTCCGAAACGTCTTCTTTGTATCCTTCCTTTTATCATGGAGGAGAACCAAATAAGGCTGGAGGTTCAAAGTCTAACCTTATATTTTCTTTCCCTTCCCCTTAAAACCTCTTAAATAAACGTGAGAGGGTCTCGATGGTATTTTGCGTTTTTGTCAAAGAAGAAGATGGTTAACTCAAAGCAAGAGTTAACTACCTGTTTATAAACATCTATTGTCCATTCTCTTGGTTCTCCGGCCCCCGGAGATTACAGTTCCTGCGGGCCTGATTACAGGCAAAAGGAGTTTGGATCCATTTCACAGCGACCCAACTCATATCGTTTAAATTTAAAATCGAAAGCTACTAGCGCCGTCCAGGGCACAGGAGTCTCCTCCGTTATTATTCTTATTTTCAGTCCTCACCTCCTCAACAAAGTATCGTAAACTATTTGTTTTTCACGTAAGAGTTCTGCACATCGTCATCCACCATGCCAAAAGACTTTATTTTCTGTTCCTCGGAGATATCCATTGCACATACTAGCAGGTACGTTACAAATACAACACGAAGAAATCACAGTCGACCAGTACTAGAAAATTTGAAAAGGTGAACTTTAGGGGACTCATACCGCTTCAAGTACCCAGCAAAGACGCGACCACGTTCGATAGGATCTTTACACACTAATTCAAACGCCCAATGCCCAGAAAAGGAAAAAATTGTTTCCTAAATTAAATGCATATTACAAATGGACCTTCTCAAAATTCAATCATAATTCATAATATACACAAGAAAATTGCAAGCAAGAGCACACATCTTACATAGAAACAGAGTCTTCTCATGCATATATCAAAGAGTGTCCACTTCACTATTTGACAGTATTGCACAAACCGAAATACTGATAAATTAGTTCCCAAACCTTCCCTAAACTGAGTTTCTAAGTCTCTTCAATGTACATTACCTTTCAATGGCTATCCCAGCACTCTGAATATTGATAAAACACATCAGTTCTGCCATGAGAGAGCTAACTAAACACGTTAAAATTAAGAGTCTCACGGATTGGTGCCAATCCTTTTTTATCCATTCTATCAACTGCTAGCCGTAATTTTGGGCTTGTAATTATGCCAAAACTACATAGTTGCTTCGAAATTTAAGAAGGAACTGCAAGTAAACTAATTTCATCAACCAGCGGCCACAGCATCAGCTCTGGGGCTTGCATCTAAGAGTTGATGTAGCTTGGCACCAGAGTTCGAGTTTCGTTCATACAGGTCACTCTCTTCCTCAGAGGCAGAATTGTTGACTCTTGACAGCAAGTTTTCTGTACTAACAGCCGGGGCCCTCTGCTCACCAATGTTGTTTAAAATCATTTCTTGCGCATGTCCTAATTGTGCATTCTTAAGCTTCTCCTGCTAATTGAACCATTTTAAAAGTGAGCAACAGAAATCATGAACAACCAACGAAAAATTAAATAAATAAATAAACCACCTCCTGGCATAAAGGATTGCCAAAAGGCTGAAAGGGTGTACCATTAATGCTGCATTTTCAAGCCTTAGTTTCTCTGATTTCTCTGTAAATTGATTTATTTCAGACTTGAGGGACATATTCTCTGTGGTCAGTGCTTCTACTTTGTGTGAAAGTTCTTCAGCCTCAGCCTAGAGGTAGGAATACAAAGCATGATTTTCAGTGAAAAATTGATAATCTAATAGACGGATGTAAACCAATAACAGGATGTATTGGGAACAAAAAAGCAGTTGCAGATCTACTCTACCTGCTTCCTTAATCTTGACCTTCTAGCAGATTCTCGATTCGATTGTTTCCTCCTCTCCCGTTTCAGCTCCCTCTCATTCTGAGTATACCACCAGAATTCACAAGAAAATGCTCAAGACGGCATATAAACTATTCTAACTAGAAACAACTTCCAAAAACAGGGGAAGAAAACCAAAATTTGGACAATAGCACATGTTTGAAAAGAGAAGGAAGAAATGATTGGGAGAAATTAAGATATTTTTAACAGCAGATGTTACCTGTAACCAGCCTTCAGAAGGCAATACTACCCCAGGTTGAGGAATGGTAGTAGGACTCATCTTGGCAGCATTCACACTAGGAGGGTTCCTGAGCTCTAATGCAGTGGTCATGCCAGGAGCAACAGCAGCACCCAATACATTGTCAGTGGATGCCTTACCCTCTCCAGGAAGGGGGCTGGAATGTGCGTCTGTTCTCATATCTCCACCCGTTAGTATGATGATCGAGTACATAAATGGAGCTTCTTTTTTTTTTTTTTAACACCGGTCATAAACGAGGCTTAAAAACATTAAATTCAAAACCAAGTATGAGGTTCAACAATAGATGGTCCTTCATCTATTCCCATCCCCAGGCCTTTTCTTTTGTGCTAGAATCCTTGAATTCATTGCCACGCATGCAAACTATACAATTACATGGAAAATCTCCTCATCAGAGCATACTGTAAGGCTTATCAACCATTGCCCTCAACAACATTCGTCATTCCTAAATCAAATATCATTATTTCAGTTTTTCTCTGGCTAAGAGTAATTCTTGTATGGCTGGGCATATCCGAGACTTTACCCAAAACGAAATGTCATTGCTCGATTGACTACCATATTAAATGATGAAGAGCAATGCAACGTGTCTCTCACATTCAATAACCATCCCGTTGCAAACAAGCACTTCTTTGGTAAGCAATTTGTTTGGTAAAATTTTCTGGTCAATATAGACACTGACTTTGTCATTTCACAACTTGCAAAGCACTCGGATGTCATGCACACAGCAAGAAAAGAACAAATACTACTAGAGATTGAGTTTCTAGGTGTGAACACTGTCAATGAAGGATGAGATCATACCAGCAGTTGGTGTTCCCTCACGGCTCCTTTTCTTTCCCTAACAAAAGGGGAGATAAAGATCACAGTTAACATTCAGAAACATTTTAAATTTCAAAGCATGCCAATGCTCATCAAAGATAAAAGGGTTCACCCTAGCTGTATTCCCATCACTTCCATCACTGGAACCTTCTGTCTCCACACTGCACATGGCCAAACAAATTGAAAGTCAGTCAAGAAAGTCTCTCAAAGATCACCACATTGGTCACCCAACAGTCAAGAAAGTCTCTCAAAGATCACCACATTGGTCACCCAAACAAAACAGTAAGCTGATACAAAACTTGAAAGAAAATTTGGAGGATATGTCAGTGTTAGTTCCAAACCTTTGAGATAGCCTACCCCCATCCTCTGCACTCTCAGCATTACCATTGCCTATTGACATTGCAAGCGCATCGAATCCTTTCAGCTTCTTCATTAAACCTCGACCAGTATTTCCTGAAGATTTTGTAGGTGTTTCTAAACTCAAAGGGGTTCCAGCCTACATATTTGTACAAGAATTACATGTGGCATCAATACAAAAGCTTACACAGTAAAGGCGTTTGTCTGTATCTCCGACTGATGCATTTCTAACTCATTTTGTTCAACTTGATATTGTATATAGATAGAATTGTAATTGAAAGCTCAGAACGAGATTTCCAAAGAGCAGGATTCACTTACAGCAGGAGATGTCACCACCCCAGGAACTTGAGGATGAGATCCCTGGAATTGAAAGGAATGGAATTATAAGCATGTTATAAACTCTACAATAATTACACTACTCCACTTTGATCACCACTTATCCAGCCTTTCTCTAAGTTAGAAAGCATCGCAAGACTCCTTGAATAATCAATAACCAAGTGGTAGAAAAAATTCAGACTTACAATCGGAACAGCCGGATGTGCATACACTCCTCCATGTGAGTAGACTGCTGCATAAGGTGCCCCATAAGGTGGCATCATAGGCTGGAAAAATTGCAAAGTTAAAAAGTCTATTCTCAGAGCCCAAGTCTTCAATTTACCTATTACTTGTCAAGTACCAAGAAGAAATTTAAAGATGATGGCAAATCTTGAATGAAAAATACAACTCTTCAAAAGCCTTGAGCAATACCTGTGGTGGGCCCCACATATATGGATGAGTGGCATGACCAGAAGCCACAGCCGAGTTGTAATATGGTGGGAGAGCCATTCGGGGGCCGTAGTATGCCTAAAGATGTTACAAAATCACTTAAAATCACAATTGAATCGAAGGTGTCATGAATAGGAAAAGGTATAGCTGAATAGTCTGGTGATGTCTCAACTGCTGAATAAAAGGTAGAAAACAAACTCAGGCATTAAGTAGATAACCTGCATAGCTGCCCAATCAGGATACACATGCATGTTGGTCTGATCCTGCCAATACAAAAGGATTGACCAATACTCAGAAAAAAAACTTTGCAAATAAATCGCAGCAACCAAATCAAATTCAAGGTATCCTATCAGATTATTTTTGCTCGCTAGGAACGCATATGATCACTCAAATAGGAAATATAACTTCTTTCCCATCAGATTCTTTGTATTTTTTTTTTAAGGGGGGTTTATAATGTGACGATATCAGTTTCCACCGCTGAAATGTAAATATTTCTCAGCTTACCGGTGGTGCAGGTGAAGATTTATCAGGTATAGAAGACTTTCCCTCTTCATTGTTTCCCATGGTAAATCACCAAAAAAGAAATCCTCTGAATTTGGAAACGATACCAAAAAACTGTTTTAACTCTCTCACCTGCAACAAAAGGAGACAGGTTGACAAAGGTGGGGGAGACAGAGTGTGAACTGATTGAAGGAAAACTGAAGATAAAAGATTGCATCATGACACATCCAATCATTCAAATTAAGTCATTGCACGATTTCTAAATTCACTAAATACCCACAACTTGTAGAGTCAAGGTCTGTCAAAAAGGTCAGAAGCCGGCTATCCCAATCCAAAACAGCTTTGTGTAAGGCAAGACACCACTGATCTTCACTTGTAAAGACTACTTATAATACGAGTTCGATGCAGTTAAAGATACTGTCTCCTCAGCTTTTTTGAGACAAAGGAACATGAAACACTGTTTAAGAAACTAAGTATAGATAAAGCCTTATTGTCCAGTATATCTCCGTCTCAGACTAAACTTTGAAGAACATACTGGCTTCTGTCCAGGGATACATCGAATCATTAACATGAAAATTAACTATCAACAGGTAATTCAACCATAAACATGGTTAAGGTGATTGAAGATGTGTTTCTGAACTTCTTTCAGGAATTTCAATTTTTCATTTTTAAATATCATCTTCAAAAAAATAAAAATAATAATGATGATGATGAAGTCCGAGGGTATTATCGTCTTTCCACCATACCATTGGATGACAAAGAAAGTGACGGACCCGACACCAAATCCTTCACCAGGGGCATTATCCGTAAACAGAAGGACTAAAATACCCCTGAAAATTTAGCTGAAAATCTGAAATCTTTCTACACCTACACGATCAGGTTCTGTCTAATAGCTTTATGAGGACAGCTTCAATTATATACTATTCCCAGTCTATCTCGCGGATTTGAAGAAACAAAAAAGACAGAAAGAAAAACTTAGAAGTACAAGAATAATTAGCAAATTCACAGTTTAGACCCTAAAAACAGTGAAAACTAGAAGATCCAGAAAAGTTGCTAAACTGATCCTTTGTTTGGATGCTTAGAAAAGGAGAGAGTTTTTCCAAATATTTAACATTAACAAAACAAACTGAATTCGAAGTCTTCTCTTCTCTGTTATATTCGTTTCCAGCCTCAAAATGAACAGCTAATAGTAATTTTGATTTTTCATGTTAACATGTCTCAGAACTTTTACTTTCCTCACCTTTCTCACAATTTCTCACCAACCAAACAAAAACTTAACACAATTAAAAAAACAAAAAAAAATCTCTAATCAAGCACAGAATTTTAAGCAACGGAGAAGAGAGAACTTCAAATTCTACATACCGTCCAATTCTCAAACCAGAAATCTCCTTTTCTTTACTGATAACAAACCGTGAACGCCAGAGACTCGAATTAATCCTCAATCTGTCTTCAATTTTACACGAAGAAGAAAGTAACTTAAATTAGAAACCCTAATACTGACCTCGCAGACTCTGCATTTTTTTTCTCTCTCTCTCTCTCTTAAAAAACAGAGGGGGAAATGCCAGTTCAATTTTATTTAGATGGAGAGGAAACAAAGAGAAAAAGAAATGAAGGAGAGGGAGGAGCAAGAGGGAGCGCCAAGGCATCATCCACGTCAGGAGACACGTGTCGTATGTGAGGTAAGCGTATAAGTACAGCGTATATACAATGCGGGGTGTGGTGGTTGTTGAGCTGGCCCATTGATATTCGCGCTGGCTAAATTTATTATTTATTTCCAACGTCACCTCTGGCCGTAAACGTGTTAGTCAATGACTCGATCTACGCGTCTCTCTAGTTTTGGAGGTCCAACCTATTCCACCCGTCATGTGCCTGACGTGGTCTCTTTTTTCCTTCCTAAATAAATTAATTAATCTTTCCTTTTTAAATCTGTTCCCTCAAGAAGAAAAAAGATTTAGCAATATTGAATGGATCCTTTGGAATCCACGACTGGCCATTCATGAATGGGCTGATTGAGGGATAACGCCACATTTCTCAACCCGACCCACATTTGTTTTACCTGTATAGAAATACATGAATATAATATCTCATATACGATCTGATTTGTTTGCAACTTTCCCTATGATTTGGCCATTAATTTAATCCACGAAGCTTTTTCTTCCCTTATTGGATGTCATACTGTCGCGTACGAGCCTGTGCTTTAACAGCTGTGCATCAAAATATCACGTAACAAAATGAAAAGTGCATTCACTATGTTTGATATTTGGATACAGAATTTTTTTTATTTTTAATTGAAAGTTGAAGAAAGCAAACTGGAAATGACCTTTTCGGTTTTGTTTGGAATTTTGATTACAGAAAAAAATAAAAATAAAGGTAAGAGGGGAATTGAAGGGTTTATTGTGACTTTCCATTCCCTGAACAGTCAAAAATTCCAACAAATCAAACTTGGGTGCTGAGAAAAAGGAAGATAATAAAGTTTATAGTTGATATCTCAATAAACAAAAACAAATATCCTTAAAAAAAAAAAAAATAGAAAGAACGCAACAACCAAAACCATTGCTAAACCTCAAATAAGAGTATGTCTCTTGGGGAAACTGTTTGCTAGTTTAAAACCTGCTTCTTTATTTTCTGGTTCTACCAACACTGTACGTATTTTATTTCCTGTTTTTACCTCTAGTTGTTCAGGCTACTAACTGTTACTACATGAGCTGATGTTCTCAGTTCTCACAAGTGGTGCTGATTTGTCCTGTCATGGACTAATAGTGTTTGATTAATATCTATAATAATTCCTACAGGAATTGAGACCACACTCGCTTGAGGAAGATCGTCTTGCTTTTCAATTTTTTGTTTTTGTCTGTCTTGTCGCTCCATTTTCAATTGGGTAGAGTCGTGCCCAAAAGAACAACATATATCCTAATTACACCCAAATATTTCAAGTCTTGTACTTATCTTGCACAAGCTTAAACTTTCGGGTTCCATTTCATTAGTTCTATTATTCTATGTTCAGTGGTTACTCTCTATTCTTATGTAGATTATTTGTTAATTATGGTGCAGCATTCTTATCAGATTACGGATTAAATTTTAAAACAACATTTCCCGTTCGAGTAAAATATATATTTTAGAACGTGACGCAATATTGAAGTTCGATACGAGAACCTTTCTTCTTATTATCGTTTTTTTTTTAATGACCACTCAATTTTGAGTTTTCTAAGATTTTAGGGAAAGGAAATGAGGAGATTGGAGCTTTTAATTATCTGGAAAGAAGAGAAAAGGCGGAGAGAATGGAAAAGGAGGGGGAAATTTGCTACGTGGACCAACCGTTTTGCTTCTGATCCTAAGTGGGGAGAAGATGGAGAGAAATTCTCTCTAGAGTTTGAACATTTTTAATTTTATCAATTTACCTCTTATCTTTACTTTTAAAAAGATAGGAGGACAAATGTGTATTTTTATTATTAAATTATCTTTCCTCCTTTCACATTATCTTGCTTAACATCGTTTCATTTTCATTTCCATCTCTTCGTTTGACCAATCCAAACAAGGAGGAAAGTTATAACCTCTCCATTTTTTTTTATGGCATCCCTTCATTTTTATCCCCCTCATCTCCATTCCTTTCATTTCCTACTCACTCGAATAGTGTCGAATATGACTTTGTTTCTTCTTATATTTTATTGGAGAACGAAAATCGGGCTTTTTATACGCCAACATCAATAGAATATGAATTCCGGTTTTGAATTGCTGGATTTAAATAAAATAATAAACGAGTTTCGTTAAACTTAACTTCGACAATTCAACTGACATCGACATTTACCGTTATTAATATTGTAATAATTTGGACTGCCAAAATCATTCAAATGCTAACAAGTGCTCTTCATTGTTGTTCCCAAATTTAGTCGACGGAATGAGTTAATGGCCATCTATTTTTATAAGGATATGTTTGTCGAAAATGATGGATTAAAAAATAATACAGGGAATAAAAAAATGAATTGATGATCCATCTACTTAATTATTTGACCGAGAATAAAGATAAATAAAAATCAATATATTCAAATTTAAAGACATTAAAAACAAGTGAGAAATGATAGAAACGTTATCATTCATTGAGTTTTCATTCTTCTTTCCAAACAAAGAAAACACTATTTATTTTGCTTAGTTCTTTTTTTTTTTTTTCAAGACAGAGTAGTATGTTTTTTTTTTTCATAATAAAATAGTTTTATTCTTATTTATTAAAAAATGAAATATTTTTTATCTTACAGACTTTATGATATCTATATGTCAATACACTCGTTCACCTATATATATATATATATATATTCTGAAAAAAAAATCTTTTGAAAAAACAGAAAATCTTAATTCTACGCTACAAACCTTCTTTTGGCTGTCAATTCTCAAATTATAATCATCTTGCAATTAAAAGTTTGTTGGGAAAAAGAAAAATGTGTTTATAAGCAAATGGTTGTTACTCTAAATAGTCGTTACATTTTCTTCGTCTTTTTTGTCCTTTCTCCCTAAGAAGTAAAAACACTACAGCATGTCTTTAATGAAGGAAACTTTCGGTCGCTACTTTTAAGTATTTTGATGGGAAATAAGATTTAAAACTACTGTACTTTGAAAATAAAGAACTCACCTTTACTTCCCATCCGTCTCTTCCGGTCCATTTTTTCAGGGGATAAATATAATATAAATATATCATGTTTCAATATTTTTTCAATCAAACATATAAATTTTAATCTTTTTTATTTGAGTATATTAATTTTTTTAAATAATCAATCAAGTATTTTTGTTATTTTTTCGTTACTTGATCACTTGTCCATTATCCTCAAAATACAAAATTATAATTTTTTTTCTCAATGAAGTACATGAATTTTAATTTTTTCAGATTAAGTACATCAATTTTTTAAAACTATCAATCAAGTACTTTCATCAATTTCTTTAGTAAGTAACGATAAATCCAAATACCAATTTGATTTTTTTCATTTTTTGTTATAAGGAATTTTCTCCTTAAATTATTCTATCATTTTAAAATTTGATAAATAATTCAAAAAATATTTTTAGTTATAAAATCTCGAACTAAACTTAGTATGACTTGCTATTAAAAAAAAATAAGTTAGATTTTAGATGTAAAAATTAAAAGAAATACAAATATGAGATTTTTCATTAAGAAAATTCATTTGTATTTTTCTTCATTGTTCACATTTGAACCTAATTATGTTTTTTTTTTTTATCGAGCAATCTAATTGAGTTTATTTTAACAAAAAAGGGTAAAATTATAATTTTATATTTGAATACGTCATCAATTCACGAAAAAAGTAATGGAAATACTTGATTGGGAGTTTTGAAAAAATTGTTGTACTCAAACAAAAAAAATTAAAGTTCATATACTTGATCAAGAAAAAGGTAAAACCATAATTTAGTATTTTAATAGTACCATACACGTCATCGACTAATGAAAAAATTGACACAAGTACTTGATTGACACTTTTAAAAAAATTGATATACCAAAAAAAAAAATTAAATTCATATACTTAATTAAAAAAAATAAAAATTAATATACTTATAATGTAATTATCATATTTTTCCGCGGTAGCCCTAATAATCATACATTTTGCATCCAGTTGGAGTGGAAAGTAAAACCATAATTAATGGCTAGACAAATTGCCAAATTTGGCTACCGTGTAGCCTTGTGGCTAGACGTCTTCACTTTCCCCTTTTGTAGAACTGAAGATTACAATTTACACAAGAAAAGAAGGGTGCATCAACTTTTTCTGCCTTGGTCTAGTCGCCTCTGTAAATATTAGCTATTTCGGTTACGTTTTGTAATATGATTTCAATATGTTTTGAAAATACATTTTAAAACGTATTTGGATTGTAAAGACATCAAAATAATGTTTTTCAATTTATTTTTAAATAGTTTTGGTATCTTTATATCCAAACCAATGAAAAACGCATCAATTTGATGCTTTTTCTAATTGAAACATCAAAACCAATAGAAAACACATCAATGTTTAGCATTTTCAATTAAAATTTATTTTTACATAAACAGTTGCATGGCATTTAGTGCTTGTTAAGTAGTTAAGGTGGGCTTTTATAGTGTATCGACCTTCTAAAAAAAAATTTAAACATAGTTTTTATTATAAAAATCTTTTCATCTATCACAATATGAAAACATGATAAATGCATAACTACGCATATGATAATAGGTATTCATTATATAAAAAATATTGGTTCATATTACAAAGTGGTAATATTCTTTAATTTATCATTTTATTTATGTCGATTATTCATTCTTATCCTTGTATTTTTAATTTGGTCAATGACACTTGTGTTTTTTGGATTGTTTAGTTAACCATTGTATATTCTTTGAGAGTGTTAAATTGACTTAATTGCTATATATATATATATATTATCAAATCCCTATATCAACTATGGATGCTAATTATATGGCGATCGAATACTATTCATTATGAGATTCATATTCATGTGAGTTTATATCACCGTATAAATTGTTTTATATTTATCTTTC